CCCCCCCCCCAACCGCCCCGTCAACCGCACCCCAATCACCCTCGGCACTACCACCTCCACCCCCATCCCCGCCATCGCATCCCCCCGGCGTTCGGGGTATGCGAATCCGTCCCGATCATCAATCCCCCCCGGGAATACATAATTCTCGAGTACAATCTGATGAATGATGCCCGCGCCGGGGCCTCCAAAACCCCATGTTATATTTCTGGCTTGCGGATTCGAGGAACCGCGTAGACTTCGTGGTGCGTGGTGAGCGCGCGGGATAGGTCGCGGGTTGAGCCGTCCCGGGCGACGATCAGATGGTCGCAGTGGATGATGGTCGTCGGGATGGCGGTTGTGTCGAGGCCCGCGGACATGAATTGGATGAGCGCCATTTGGGCGGTTGCGTCTTGGCAGGCGATTCGCGTCGGGTGGAGAGGGAGGGAGGTGATGCCCCTTGTGATTGGGGTGTATATGTAGGGTTGGATTCGTTTGGTCGGATGGCTCCGTCGGATGAGCCGATGGACTGCCACGGATTATACCCGCATGTGGGAACATTGGTTATGGATAGCAATTGAATATCATTAGGATTATGGGATTGAAGAGTAAGGAGATATACGTGGCTGAGATATGGTAGTGAAGCATGTTTTATTGCGTTGTCCGAGCTATATCAAGGCAAGTATTACGATATCTATGGCATCAACCATCATCCAGCACAACACAAGAACATCACACATACTCCCGCATCTCCACCTCCCCCGCCGCATTCCTTTTATCCTCCCCCAACCGACCCTCCACCTCCCCCCTCGGCACCCCCCTCGGCAACCCCCTCGCCATTGGCACAATCCTCCACACCGACTCCGCCTCGACAAACACCCGATCCAACATCTCCAAGCTCCGTCCCATAGTCTCCGGATAAAACAAATACACCATCACCGGAATCACCCCCGAAACACCCACATAAATCACATAATACCCAAACCCGATCCTCTCAATCGCCACCGGCGTCACCAACTCCACCACTAGATTCCAGAGTCAGTGATTCGCAGTCGCGAGCGAAGAGATAGCCGCGCGTAGCCGCGCGGGGGCAATCTCCGCCGTGTAAGAGAAAGTTCCCCCCCCCCCATGAAGCCGATGGGGTAGAAGAAGTTGAAGATGAACATGAAGGCCACGTAGGTGATGGTGGGGAAACTGGTGGTAATGGCCAGCACGGCCATGCAGAGGGCCATGCCGGTGCCGCTGATCATGAAGCAGGCGCGACGGCCGAGTCGGTCGATGGCCCAGACGGAGATGAGACAGCAGAGGGTTTTCCAGATGAAGACGCTCGAGGCGAGGATTTTGGCCGTCGTGGGGCTCATGTGGAGGTTTGTTTGGAAGATGGTGGAGCTGTAGACCGAGATGAGGTTGCCGCCGCAGGCCTGGAGATGGTTAGAGTTGGGGTGGGTTTGGGGTGGGGTTGAAGCTAGGGTGGGGAGGGGGGGATACTTGTTGGAAGAAGTTCAGGCCCATGCAGAGCCAGAAGCGATAATGGAGGCGGGTGGTATCGTTGCGATTGAAGATGTCTCTGACGGAGGAGGTCGAGGTGCTTTCGAGGGCGAGTTCGATGCTGGCGATCTCTCGGGAGATGATTCCCGGGGGTTCGCTCCCCCGGTATTGGGTCAAGCTGGCGGTGGCGTCTTCTACGCGGCCTTGGGAGACAAGCCAGCGAGGGGACTCGGGGAAGGTGAACACGGCAAGGAGCATGATGGCTGAGAATAGAGACGGGATGGCGAGCGGGGCCCGCCATTGAGCTGTGGAGGAGGGCAGATAGCTAAAGCCCAGGTCGATCCAGTTACACAGTGCGTAGCCCGTGCTGATGAAGATGCCGGTGCAGATGCCCAGCTGGCCACGGTACTTGGTCGGAGCACATTCCGAGAGCCAGACCGGCACGGTTCCGCTGATCTGGCCGATGGCAAAGCCTAGGATGACCCGACCCACGACGAATTGCGCCAGAGTGGTGGCAGAGACTTGAAGCGCCTGGCCGAGGACGGTGATGGCGGCTCCGGTAAAGGTGGTCTTTCGGCGTCCGAGTCTATCACCGTACAAGGAGAGGGACAGAGCCCCGATCAGGCATCCCATCTAGAAGGATGCATTGCATGCTCCTTGCGAGGTGGCATGGTGGGATTTTTGTGCGCCGGTGGTGTCAATGGTGGTATATTCTTGTGACTTCTGGGTTTAAGGGATTGTTTCGTGGTGTGGTTCCTCGCATTGGAGTTGCCGCGTGGGCGACAATCTGTATGGTGGGTTTGAGGGATACAGTTAAAGAGTTTGTTAGTCGCAATTAATATTCCCGTCCTTTAATTGTATCTTGTCTGAGGTTATATGTATCTATAAGAGAGAGTAGTCTGACATGGCCGAGGCTGCCCTAGTGGTACAACCCTAACTCAGTATGCAATGACACGTTCCCATATAGTAGCGTGTCTTGTATCCGTTGATTATTTTCTCATTGAATAGCTCGAACCATCCTACTCAGCCCTTCCTCTAAGACATGGGGAGGATGTGCAAACACCATGCGGAACCACCCCGCTTCTTCAGTAGCATAAGCTGTTCCCGGTGCGATGTATACCTTCTCTTCTCGGAGCCTAGCAAGGATATCCTTGTCAGTAGCTGTTCGATCTTTCACCACAGCTCCCAGGTTCATCCATATGAAGAAGGCAGCATTACACTCCACATAGGGAATGTTGTGAGTCTGGAGGAAGTCTGTTGCGAATCGATAGCTTTCTACCAAACGCTGCCGATTAGTTGCGATGTAGCTCTCTGTGAAGTTGTCGTCTAGTAGGAGAGATGAGGCGATTTGATCTGCGACGCTGGACGGGAAATTATACAAACTAGTGAACTGTTAGCCTTCTCTAATGGTAGGTTTGTGGTGAAACCCTACGAAATGCCTTCCACGGCTTCCAGCAACACCTTGTTGGATGGGCTAATCAGACAGCCAATTCGTAAGCCCGTGGAACCGAAATCCTGCTCAAAGTCAGTCCTTCATCGAGTCAAAGTAGTTTCACGGGCTCATACTTTGCTTAAACCCCAAACAACATGCACCATGCTTGGATCCATAAACTCCTTGATATTCATGGATAATACCGATCTGAACTGCTGTGCATGAGGAAGCTGTGGATTCTCCCAGACAGACAATGCATAAATTTCATCACTAATCAAATGAAGTCTATTTCTAGAACAGAACTTCATATACTCCTGCAAGATATCTTCAGAGTAGCAGCGTCCTGAGAAAGGTTCAACGAACGACTCCCTGACAAGAAATAGCCTGACTTACCGAGGGGATTATGTGGCGAGCATAACAATAGCGCCTTGACCCGGAAACCCTTGGCTTTTGCTTCCGCATATGTCCGTTCGTACTCGTGAATAGCGGCAACGCTGAACGGGTCTGTGGTTCCGAAGGAGACCTCAAGTAGTTCAATCCTACAACAATTAGCCCCACTCCAAACCAAAAAAGGTGAAGTTGCTACCCTGGCCGCGTTCCAAAGATAGTTTTGAATGCATTAAAGTACGGCCGTCCGACAAGGATGTAGTCACCAGCATCGGCCAGCGCCCAAGCACAGCACTCCAGTGCATTGCTCACACCCGATGTGATGGCAAGATCGGAGGGACAGAGCGCAGTCCACGGGCTAAAAGCACGGTTTATGAACTGACAGAGGGCCTTTTTGAGTCGATGCGACCCACTAAATCCGTCTCCGTATGTCAATGCATGCGCGTTAATTTGGAGCTGGCACCATTAGTATGACCTCTGATCAAGTAGAACAGGGTAATCGTTACTTTGGTGTTGATGAATTCTGTCATCTCCGCGTGCATGAGAGTCTAGGTAATATTAACCTCAGGAATCAAAGGTCAAGGCATTCTCATACATTTTCAGCCAGACCAAGATTCACGATCCCATCAGGATTGGACTGCGGATCCCAGAGATCCCCCAAGACGTCGAGGAAGGTGGGCTTCAGGGCTGCAAATGCCCTGCCTCTTGCAGAAGTCAGCTCCATGTCGTATCTCTAATCGTAGGCGCTAAGGGATGTTGTAGAAGCAAAGCCAGGGGTGGCGCCAGAGTCAGGGTTAAGTTCTTCACAAGTGGGGCCTGTTCCGGGAAGGCGCACGGCGGCTGATGCAGTTATTGCGGGTAACCTCGACATTCTCTTCCCATCAAACCTGCTGAGGTTTCTTTTTTTCTGCGCTGTTCCTGCAAATGTGCGATGTGATGGCCGATGTCAGCTCACCCCCCGTCACCTTCATTGCTGGGAGTGGGGATATCCCTGACCGGGAGCGCGATGCCCTGGTCGACATTCACCCCAAAGGGTTCTTCATCCGTCATCCGCCCGCACCTCATGAACTCGACGAGGCTGTGACGCCCGAAATCAAATTATTCCAAACCATCCACATGGGAGCCGCAGTGGTGGACCCCAATCGCTGGAGCCTCGTTCTAGACGGACTCGTCGAGCGCCCTTTCTCCATCAATCTCGAACAGCTACGACAGATGCCGACAAGGTCAGTCACGTCTTTTCATGAATGCTACGGCAGTCCCATCAACCCTTCCACGAAGAATGTTTGGCGTATTGGAAATGTACGATGGACTGGGGTTCCATTGCAGTATCTGCTGTCGATTGCGTGGCCAAACCTCGAGCGAGGGTCGTTCGTTTGGTCCGATGGGTTGGACTCGGGTGCCTTTGCCGGGATCTCGGCGGATAGGTATCAAAAGGACCTACCCATCGATAAGGCCTTATCGCCAGAGGTTCTGGTGGCTTACGAGATGAATGGTCAGCCATTGACCAAGGAGCGCGGCGGGCCGGTAAGACTAGTGATTCCCGGATGGTTTGGCACGAATTCCACCAAGTGGTTGTGTCACTTGTCCGTGCAGGCAACCAGATCAAGGGGGCCCTTTACGACTGTATTTTATAATGAGATCGACCCAGCAGATTCGGAAGGCGTCCGGAAAAGGCCTGTGTGGAGGGTTGAGCCCAACTCGATGATTGTCCGGCCTCGTCCGGAGGAAGTAGTTCTCGCCAAGTATGTTGAGGGTTGGGGACGCGCATGGGGTGCAGAGGAGATTGTTCGGGTGGAAATCAGTCTCGACCACGGAGAAACTTGGACTGAGGCAACCGTGGTACCGCGGAAGGAGTTTGAGTGGCAGCTTTTCTCCTTCGAAGTGCACGCTCGCCGATCCGGCAAATATCATATTCAAGCAAGAGCAACGGATCAATCAGGTACCCAGCAGCCACTACTGGGGAGGCGAAACCATGTGCCAAATGTGCATATCTGGGTGGAATCCACGTCTGCCTAGGGAAGGAACCGGGTAAAAAGAGTAGAAGAAAGATGCTTTGCAGTGGACATTATAAGGCCATTGTCACCACCAATACCCCGTCTACAGTGCATGGTATCTCTAGCCGCTTGGCAGAGCCTTAGGACGGTTGACCTTTCTACCACCGTTGCGCCTCCAAGAACAACTGTGGCCAACCATTCGTCAAACCTTTATGAAGCGGCGAGACTCAAATTCGAAGCTATAGTTGATATCAATCAACCGCCAATAACGGCCCGAAATCATCAAGCACAGGCGATCTGTGATACTGCAGGTTGGGATGAGTAGGATCACCGATAATGTTGCGCTGGAGTTTCCTCTCGACCAGCGGGGGTAGTACGGCAAATCATAGCGGTCTTGGGCGTATCGCATGATATTCTGTTGAGGTTTGTGGGCTCAGAGAAACAGAAGATGTTGATGATGAGATCTAGGAGGCTCGAAGGATCGTGGAGGCCATAGAAACACAAACCGTAAATGTGGGACATGTGATCCTCGCCTACCAGCCAATCGCGTGTGCCAACATATTCTCCGATGGCGGTATATACTGATTCCTATATGTACAGATTTCTTCTAGTAGTCTATTGGAAAGCTTCCAGGGCTTGGTCATTCCATCTGCTTCCGTCAGTTGTGCCACAGAGGAAAAGTCTCGTAAGATGAAAGGGTAGAACTCACGATATGTACTTGCCACTCAATAACTTCGGTGCATCAACCACCAACCTGGCAATGACATGGCCAGGCTGTTCAGGTTTCAGCAGATTCCCACTTTTATGCACCGTAGTGAATACCGAATGGAACTGAGGATCCATCGTGGTGACCAGATCTTCACGAATCTCCCGCTGCATTTCAGTATCGACCATGCCCGGATCCACCGACACGGATGTCACCTCGGGCTCTTCCTCCCCAAGACTCAGCGCCAGATGATTCATGGCCGCCTTACACGCGCCATACAGACCCCACGCCTTGAATGCCGAGACGGAAGCCGCCGACGAAGTGAAGATGATCCTACCCTTGGATTCGCGAAGCGCGGGAAGTCCGGCTTTGACCTATCACCGCATAAGCATTCTCCTTATAACCAAGCCTCCTGACACTATCAAGGTTCTTACAAAAGCCACCAAACTGATGAAATTGACGTCGAATCCCTGCTTCCATTGTTCCGGATCCGCCTCGGCGATGTTGTTCACTTGGCCGAGCGTGCCGTGGTTGAGGACCAATCCATCCAGACGTCCGAAGGTCTTCAGGGCCAGATCGACGGCCTTTTGTCCGAGAGAGAAATCCGCGAGACCGCCGTTCACTACCTCCACTTGGTTCGGGTATTGGTCCTTGAGTTTCTGGAGGGGCTCGATGCTGCGGGCGACGACGACCAGGCTGTGGGATTGAGGCGCGGTGAGGAGGAACTTGGCGATGGCGAGACCGATACCTGTGCCGGGTAGGATTGTTTAGTTTGAGGGCCTCGATTGAGATGTTGGCATGATTAATTTCCTACCTCTTGAGGCACCGGTGACGATGAAAGTCTTGGGCGACATGTTGACTGACGGTGGTGATGCAAGTGGCTATACAGCAAAGGGTTATATTGCAGGGTTGAGGTTAATAGAAAATCGAAAGAAGTAGTCTATATTCAGTGGAAGAACAGCATGTCATGCAGGGTCTGGTTGGAACAGTCAGAAATTAGTGCGCGGTATCGGAGAATTTCCGATAAGAGCTACATCACGTGCGAGGCTGATTCGGTATCAGATTTTTGAATCATGAAACCGAATCAGCCTTCTGCATCTGATATAATTACTGATGCAGATGGATCCAAAATTACTGTATTAGGCATAGTGGCGGAGGATATCCGATTACCATACAGGCTGAGTATTGTGACTAGTCGAAGTGGCTGGGTCATGTGATGCAGCAAGTAATTTCCTTGTCTGCTTATTCGTCAGCTAATTACACAGCCTTGTGATGAATAACTAACTATTCGACAATGGCTCGGTATATGGAGCCGTTCAGCCGCAGCAACGTTGATATTTAACGGGTCGACGATCTGCAACTCCTTATGGATATGTTCGCGTTCTCAGAAGCAGACGTTGTGGTAAGGATGATGGGTGTTACAAATATCCATAGTGTATCATTGCCTTGGGTCATTTACAGCCAGTTCGTAGGCAATCTTCCAAATGTGCCATGTTCAGCAATCTAGACGTCTCTTGGATTTCCCTTCTCACTCGAACTTTCCTGTTCCATTACGCATTCCCATTTGGCCCCAGCTGTAAGCACTAACGACACTAACTAGGCATTTAGTAGATAACTAGTCTCATCCAAATGTTACTCAGCCGGAGACTTTGATTATTCCGAGAGGGGCGCGGGGTCACCGATCAACATATAAATACATCCCTCGATCAGCGGGGTCAACGCACCATCCCTCTACCCCGCTCCCAACCTACCAACAACACAATCAAGTTTCACCTCGCCCTCTCTCTATATCCATCATGTCCGTCCGCGTCTTCATTTACGGCTACCGCAAACCCGGCCTTTCCCTGGCCACCTTCCGCGAACGCTACGAAGCCCACATCGACCTAGTCAAGCGTATCTCCACTGACGATTTCCCTCTCTCCCACAAGCGCAGCTACATTGCGCGCACCACCCTCGACAGCCCCGCCGCCGACGGCACCTCCCGCAACGCCACTACCCCAGCGACTGTCCTCGTCGGCCAGCAAGCTGATTTCGATTTCGATGCTTACGCGGAGTTGACTTTCGCTGATCAGCCCGCCTTCCAGGCTTTCATGGCCAAGGTTACGGCTCCCGAGGCGGCGGCCCAGATTGCTGCTGATGAGGAGGGGTTCTTGGATCGGTCCAAGTTGAGCATTGCTATGGTGGGTGAGGTGGTGGAGACGACAAAGTAATGGTCATGGGCGTGGGAGATGGAGTTTGTTTGACTTGTATTGGACATGAGATGGTTGGATAATGGAGGGCATTGCGCTGGGCGTGGCTTGCCTAAGGTTTTGGGTTGGTGGAGCGATCTATATGATGGATATACCTTTCAGTCTCCGCGCAGAGCCCTTTTTCCGCGGGCCGAATTTGTTCTGATTCCCTGAACAAGCGTTAATTCAAAATCGATCTAATTGCATTCTCGTCTGTCAGACCAAACAGCCCACTTTGACCTGCTATCTCTACTACCAACAGAGCCCAGATTAAAGATATGTCACTGTCCTTTGACACTTCGAGGCATGGCGACGGTCTGGCCTAAGTGCGACCGGATTTTTATGAGACTCATAAGCCATCGACCGACACAGGAAGATATCACAAGCACATCACTACACCGTCTTAAAACTTTACCAAAAAGCACAATCTCCGTCTTGGAGTTGTGTTCCAAAAATGACTGACACGGTACCCTCTACTGGCTTTTCCAAGTAACCCCCCTTCACCCTTCGGTCTTTACTCTCTATTTATATCGTCCAAAAATGCCACCTTACTCGCGTCCATTCCTTTCGAGAAGCCCAATGTCCGGATCCTGGTGGGGCGCATTCCGGGTCCACGGCCCCTTGCAGTCCACGTCTATTAACCTCCCTGTGGCTTGAAAGGGATGACTCTGTGTCAGATCGGAATAGCTATCTTTTGGTTAGGGTGAAAGCTGTCGATAATACAAAGTATATTACCGAGTATAGAATGGCACTGCCACAATCCGCTTTCTGACGCGATTATGATCCCTGGGACTGTAGGATGACGATTATATACATTGACGGGTGATGGATATATGTTTCTGCCTTGTGGCGCGATGAAGGGGTTAAGTTTGGGGTCGGAAATCTCAGACTTGTATGTAATAATCGTTATAACTTACAAGCCGTGTCAAAAGTCGTGGGTTGTTGATTGGAGAAAACCCTATGAAGATATTTGTGAACGGGCGGGTGCATAGGAGTCAAGAGGTCCACGGGTATACTTGATTACAATACTGAAGATTTCCATCACGTAGAATATAATAAAAAACATAGTTCGGCATTGCTTGGGGTATTAGCTAGGATGCATGAATTTGATGTTGTTGCTAAGGAGATTTGAGATTTCGCCCAGGGCTTATTGATGATAGGGCTGTCTCACTATCTAAGAACAGTACGAAGCCCAAACTCAGCGATTCACTGTGAGCATAGAGTCTACGCATGATACCCGGGGAGCCATGTGGTCTATTGTGATTAATGACATGGGGAACGAGTTCGCTATATATATTAAATACAACTCATCTAGACTATGGGAGGCTGCTAGTGGTGTTGCTCCAAGATTAATCTGGCCTACTTTCTTGCAATAAAATACCATGTCTATCCTATCAAAAATAATAACTAGACCGATGGCTCTCTCTTCTAAGGATGTTGTTGCAGTGTTCTTATATGCGAAAGAGCTGCCAAGCAAATAGATCCCTTGCGTTGGCATCGGCATATGGTAATCAAGCTCAACGGCCCGCACGGTAGAGCACGCAGCTGCACAGTGATATGATCACGCCTATTTCATGTCCGGTGCAGTGTAACCGTGGTACTCCTTGCTTCTATTCATCCATCATATGCAATGTGTTGGATGGAAAGATGACACGGTTAAACGGACTCAGCTCGTATCTAGCAGATTGATGGACTCACCCTACATCTTATCCTGCCCTTGGACCCAGTAGAATCTTGTACTGTAGGCCCATTCATCTCCGAAAATCCATCATCTCACCCGAAACGGAGGTCTAGTTATCGAAACCTTTCATACGGCCCAGAATACCCTCGAAATCGTTAACACCTTGTCTGATTTCCGCAAAGCTGCTTATTGTAGTGTATTGTCGTGTGAAGGGCTCTAGGAAAGTCAATTGTATGGCATGCTAAGCTTCTGAAAAGCTACCAAAGCGACACAATCTCGAGCATGCGCCGATCATTTCACCGTGTTGGACAACGAAAGGAACCAGAACAGTCGCATCCACTACAACGTTGAGACCAATCTGACTAGATAGGCTGATTATTTTCATGTGACCTTCATTGAAGCCCAATCTTCCTGCACGTACTTGACCGCCGCCGAAAATCAGGTCGATCTTCCAGAAGCACAGATCTCTAGTTCTGTGGTCTGTGCTGGCTGATTACATGCTTGATCTGCAAGCTGCGGGCCAAACCCAGATATTCCGTATATTGATAGGAATGTCTCATGATGGAGACTAAAGTGGACAGCTATTCGCATGACTAATATTCAGTGGTATGAGCATTTGTGGACATGTGTCATGCTTGATTCTTGGCGGTCGGCGAGCTTGCATACAGAGCAGAGAGCATGCGCCATGTATTAGAATTCCTAAGGTAGGAAATCCTACCGGTAAGTGTATCCTCCAGAAACTAACGGCCAGAATGGGTGTCATGGGAAGTTCGGTGAACACAATTAGAGGTCTAGGTCTAGGTCGGTTAAAAGTTAATCTAGTATGGCTTACAGCTGCAAGAAATAGATAGCTAATGCACTGCCAGACTGTCATGGCTATTGCATAGTGGCATGACAACGTGCTGCTGGAATGTCCGAGGAATTGGCCAGCTGGTATCAACGGTAAAGGGTTGCCGCGGTCACCGAGCGAGCCCACCAGGCCAAAATTGCCCGAAAGGTCCCCCGGATAACCGTAAGGGGATTAGACTACCCGCGGACATCCGGGATTGGCACCTCGGCAAAATAGCCTTTTTTTCAGCGGACCAGAAAAAAAATTAATTCGAAGCCATTGAGTTTGATTAAATTTGATGCAGCTGGGGGGTCACCCCCCACACTACATCCTTGGTACGAACCGGGGTACCCCCACCCGACATGGAAGCATGGAAGTGCCTGCCCAAACATCAGGATACCCATGGATATCATGCTGTCTCCCGTGGTAATCCAGCACATACGACCACAGGGTGTGGAGAACAGGGCTTCCCGTCCGCTCAGCCGTACTTAAGCCACACGCCGGGAGGTTAGTAGTTGGGTGGGTGACCACCAGCGAATCCCTTCTGTTGTATGTTCATCCCTTTTTTGTTGACAATATTTTTGATGTGTCATATTCTCCTAATCTGCTGGGATCCATTTATAGCCCGCTGATGTCCTCGTGATGCAATGGAGGGTCCCGTGACTGGGGGTCTAGAATCCTGGCTCCGTCTTGGCGGGCCCTCGGCCCGGAGAGACGCTAATCCGGGCCCCCGGGAGCCGCGATGCACCCACGCCGAGCGGGCAGCTATGCGGCCAGTTGGTGCCAGTGTAACGGGCTGAAACTCGCAACCCTGTTATCCTTGCATATGCTCAATTCCGTCTAATTCCTTCCTCCATTCCATCCTTCACCGATACACCTGGTTTCTCCCCACGCCGCCCGGATTAAGATGAGGAATTGAGTCAAATGCTTGGTGCAAAACGCGGGTCGCGAGGAAAAAAGGGTAAAAAAAAAAAAAAAAAAAAAAAAAAAAAGCAAGGCTGGGGCGTGACTGACCGGGCGGGCTATTTGACGCCACCGCATGATGTAATGCTGTTCCCGGAAGACTGGGCGGCGATCCGCGATCAGCGGTCAAAACCGGCGGTGTCCCTGATAAGCTGGTCGCTGCTGAGCTCCAAAAATCCTTCTTCTACCCCCTTAAGCTCCCTCTGTCTCTCTCCTCCTCCTCCTTCTCCTCCCTCCCAATTCCTCCCATCCATCACCATGCCTCCCCTCAAGCTCAACACCAAGAACCTGTCGCAAATTGCTGCGGCCGGGGCCTCCCGCGTTCGCATCCCCACCTACCGCCGCGGTGCCGCCGTTAAGGAGGGAATTGTTCACATCGGAGTCGGTGGCTTCCATCGCGCTCACCTGGCCGTCTATGTCGACCAGTTGATGCAGAAACATGGCGTGACCGACTACGCCATCTGCGGTGTCGGCCTCCAGCCCTTCGACTCCGCCATGCGCGATGCCTTGGCTTCCCAGGACCACATGTACACCGTCATTGAGCGTTCAGCGAAGGGCAGCTTCGCTCACGTCGTCGGTTGCATCAACTCCTACCTCTTTGCCCCCGATAATCGCGAGGCCGTCATTGCCAAGATGGCCCATCCCGATACCCGCATTGTCTCGCTCACCATCACCGAGAGCGGTTACTACTACAACGAAAACACCCACGAGCTGCAGAGCGGCCACCCCGACATTCAATTCGACCTCGACCCCGTCAATGAGACATCCCCCCGTACCACCTTCGGTTTCCTCTACGCCGCCCTGGCCCGTCGCCACCAGCAAGGCCTCATGCCCTTCACCGTCATGTCCTGCGATAACATGCAGAAGAATGGCTCCATCACCCGCCACATGCTCGAGTCATTCGCTCGCCTTCGTAACCCCGAAGTCGCCGAGTGGATCACCGAGAAGGGTGCCTTCCCCAACGCCATGGTCGACCGCATCACCCCCCAGACTTCCCCTGCCGACAAGCAAGCTCTCGCCGACAACCAAGGCATCGAGGACGCGTGGCCCGTCGTCACGGAGCCCTTCATGCAATGGGTCATCGAGGACGACTTCTCCGATGGCCGCCCGCCGTTCGAGAAGGTCGGCGTCCAGGTCGTCAAGGATGTCCACGCCGTCGAGCAATTCGAGAAGCACAAGCTGCGTCTCCTCAACGGCAGTCACTCCGCTCTCGGCTACCCCGGTCAACTGGCCGGCTTCAGCTACGTCCACGAGGTCATGGAGAACCCGCTCTTCCACAAATTCGTCTGGCAGATGATGCAAGAGGAGGTGAAGCCCTCCCTGCCGGAGATCCCCGGCGTCAACATCGACGAATACTGCAACACCCTCATGGAGCGATTCTCCAACCCCACCATCATGGACCAGCTGCCCCGGATCTGTCTCAACGCATCCGGCAAGATCCCCCAATTCATCATGCCCTCGATCGCCGAAGCCATCTGGGTGAACGGCCCGCTCCGTCGTCTCTGCTTCGTCGCCGCCGCCTGGTTCCGGTACGTCAACGGGGTCGACGACCACGGCAAGCCCTTCAAGGTCGATGACCCGATGGTGGAGGAACTCCAGGCCAAGGCTCGCGCCGGTGGCACCAACCCGGCCGAGTTGCTCAGCATCAAGAGTCTCTTCGGTGATGACTTGCGCAACGACCCGCGGTTCATCAAGGAGCTCACGACCGCGATGGAGCTCATTGCCCGGGATGGCATCCTGAAGACCCTCCCCAAGTACATTGACTAATGAACCCGGGGCTCCTTCATGAATGAACTGTTCTTTTGTGGGCGATGTTTATATGTGTGTTTATATGCGGGCTGCGGCAAGAGGTTGGGTTTCAAAAAGCATGTGTAAGGATAGATAATGATAGATTGGTTTAATACTTTCGATACTGTCAAGTCATGTTAGGCTTGGTTAGCTGAGTTGATACATTTTTTTTCCCCCATCTATGTTCGTAGTTGATTATTCCTACTTTGAAGTATGACGGTATTCGTACTCCAGTATACAAGCCTTACTCTTGCGACGCTGTAGAATCGCATGATATCACGTGATCCAATCACGGGTTTACTTTGTCTCCGATCCTCTCCGCCTACCGCTCTGGACAACTTTCTTCTAGAACGACATAACGTTCACCGCTTTGGAACTGCTGCCTCAGGCCTCGATTCCCCTCCCATAATCATGCCCCAGGCCACAGTATCGTCAGCCACTACCTACATGATATTTGTTTGCTGAGGCATTCATGAGATATTATATTGTTCCTGCTATCTGGGTACGATGATGAGAGTTTGGAATGATGACTCTAGGGTGCGTAGATGGGGAGGAAGCGGCAAAGATGCTAATGGATCACCGCGGCAGCATTGCAACCAACTCTTGCGTTCTTTCATAGGGGAGCATCATACAGAGTGAAACCGTAGGAAACTCTCTATTACATGTACAGAGGGCCGTCATATGATGCCCATGGGATACGCCACATATTCTAGCTAGGAGATAGACACATCCCAAAATACCAAGCTTAACCTACTACCTACTATCGACCCTTTCCCTCGCCCCCACCTCCACCTGAAAAGGCGAGGAAGGGGGGAAAAGAGATGGCCAGAAAAGCAGTACCAGGCAATAAGAAAAAAAAAAAAAAAAAAAAAAAAAAAGAAAAGAAAAGAAAGAAAGGAAAGAGAGAGGGAGGGAGAGATTACTCCCTCACAAAGTCCTCCCAAAAACTCAACTCCGCCGACCCCAACACACCCCTGGCCGACGGCCTGCACTGAGGCCAAACCTCCAACATCAAACACAACAATTCGATCAATGCAAACGGAAGGCGCATGCGATCCAACTCCCTCCGTAACGGCATACGTGACGCGAGGTCTTCATTCTGAGCCAGGTACCTGGCCATCTGAAACCGATATCGTAACATCGGTCCCATCACAGCCTCTTCTTCCTCAGGGACCGGGATCTGCCACTGCGGGAACAACCGTTTCAGCTTCGCCATGCACCAGGCTTCATTGACTGGGAGGGTGAAGCCGTCTTCGGGACCGATGATGGTGGGGTTGAGCCAGTAGAGGAGGGTGGCGCCGATGGACCAGACGTGGGATGCGGGGGTGCAGGGGTTGTTGAGGAAGACTTCGGGGGCGCGGGTGAGGAGGGGTTGGGTGTTGGTGGTGCGGTGGGTTTGGAGGACTGGATGGTTAGATTGTAATGGCTGGAGGGGAAGGTGGGGGTACCGTGGCCTAGGTCGCCGATTTTGACGATGAGTCTGTCGGTGTTGAGGTTGGAGATGAGGATGTTGGTGGGTTGGATATCTGGGGTGAGTTACTTAGAGGTAGGAGTCGAGTTGGGGGAAGGGTAAGGCATCCCACCTGCATTAACACGTCGATGACTCTCCAGATGAACACAACTCCGCAGCGCCGCTCTGAGGACCGCCAGGATGAGGGCATAACAGTCGGGAGTAGGCTGGAAGGGAACCTCTGCTAGGGTGGTATCCAGCCATTCGAATACCATCGTCCGGTTATCGAGGACTTCGTACAGTCTGCGGAAACAGTCGGCCGTGGCGACATTAGGATATCCATAAACCCCGACTTCGCATCTCATGCTCTCCATGTCCTCTGGATGACTCGTGGACACGATTTTGATCATGGCTCTGGAGAAGGGTTAGTCTGGGGGTGGTCGTGGTGAGGGGGGAGATGGAGCGGACGGACCGTCGGGGCCGTTGGGGCATCTGAGGGCTGCTTGGGGGGCTACTTGCGGGGCTGCTAGGGGGGCTGGGCGTTACGGACTCCGAAATGACCTCAGCTTGGAAGACGGTGGTAGTCCGCAATGCATTACCGCCGATTAGGGCCAGGATGCGGTAGTCATAACGGGTGCCTTTGAGGATAAAGCCGATCGCTAGAGATGTCATATTTTTGGTCTTGGAGATCATGAAGTTGGATTGTTGAGGGTGGGCATTGGGGGAATGTGAGATGGGGTGTTATATAGCAGTGAGATGAGGTATAAGATGGAGATTGGGGTTGGAAGATCCAGATGCACAGGGAGTTGTCCTCAGGTGCCACTGGCCGAGAGCGTTACTTTACTTTGAATAAGGAGGGAGATGATGACACCCGGACTGGGTAGTTTCCTGTGTTCAGGGATATGCACCTGCCGTATACGAAAAAAGTCGGCAGGGAATATAGTGCTTTTAACATTGATAATGGGTTATACGTGGGGGATGTGGAAGCTCGCTAAGTACAACAAGAAGATAGATTTGGACGCTCTAGAACGATGAGAAAGAACAATAGAAACGTACGCCTGTCTAACCGGAAGCGCCAAAGGAAATTGCAAGTTGAGAACAAGAAAAAGAGGAAGGCACAACTCAATGCAACAAGTTAGGCGGTCAGCGATGTCCATACCCCGCATACTCAGTGCTAGAATGCAGCCGTTGTGCCTCGGCGTCGTCCATTTCAACAGTAACCTGGCCTTTCGGCAGCGCAAAGGCCATGTCCGTGGGCAGCAGCCACCCGGGGTGAAAAATATTGAAAACCGCCACCGCGAGAACCATCATAACACCATCCAGCACAATGAAGTAGGTCTGGTGGGTGATCAGGTACCCACTCCAGCCCTGTGCCAGCTCAATGGTCCGATAAATGCTGCGAATATAGATGCAAACCACGGAAAACACCATGGCGCCGACCAGATATGAAAGAGGTCCATTGACGAGCGCCTGTCGGTAACCGAGGCGCACCGAACGACGGAAAAAGTCGACGGCGCAGATGACGAAGATGGAAATCGAGGCCAGCTGGAACACAATCCCGGCTACCATGATGTTGGTGCCGAGCGAAGTGTCCCCATTCACTTCGTCGGACTCGGAGGATGCCAAACCACCACCTGCGGCTTGGATCACAAGAGACACCACATCGCAGGTGCAGAAGATCCAGAGGTAGCGTTTCGGGGTGAGCATCGACGATGCGGGGCCGAAGAGTTGAATGAACCGGCCGAGGAGGACATAGATTCCGGCCGTGTAGAAGGTGGGCGCTATCCGACATATGATTAGTGTTGATGGGAAGGAATCGATCTAGATCATTGCTCACCGATGATCAACGTGGAGATCTGGATCATAAATGCAGTCGAGTTGTAGGGGCATATGGCTGCCCAAAGACGAGCCGCCCAACCTAGTACTTCCACTGTGGATGTTAGCTGGGTTCGGGATATGAGGCGGATTGCATACCCATGCATCCAATACTAAACAGACTGCACCACCACGTCCGTTTCCAGCAGAATTGAATGACATGAACCATCATGGATAACCCAAAGAGGACGCAAAATGCGATACCAGCGGCTTCGGACGGGATATAGCCATAGGAGGTGCTGACACTCGATTGGTAGGCTTTGCAGCCCTCATAGAGACTGTTGTCGTTAGAAGAAGACATGGTTTAGGATTGACAAGGTCTTGAAAAGAGTTACTAGAAACGCTGATGGATATGAAACTATGCTGCTGAGTGTAAAGACTGAAGAACACATTGAAACAAACGGCTTATATACACCAACAACTTCAAGAGAGGCTCAGCTTAAGGTATCTGAGGTATCCACAACATATCTAGAGTTAAAAATAAAAAGACACGGATGAACCAATAACAGGATGAACCCAGAATTCCAGACTCGATAAGATCAGGCAACGAGGATTCAGATCTTGGCGCGACGCATGGCTTGAGGCTTCGCACGGATGGGATCCCGGCCCCCACTGGGGTCGGTCACGGCCACAGCCTACCAGAAACCTCAGCCCTGATTGGGCGATCCGTAACTGGCAGCTTTAGCGTGATTCTTGAAACTCCAACTCAGCCCCATCTGTCGGCTGGCGTCTGATTGGCTACTTCGTATTTCGCCAACATGGCATTCTATTTGCCGTAAGCCGGTGATGGTAAACCCCCAAGATCTGGCCTGGGCGTTAGGTTGAAGGATGAGGCAGGCAGCAATTAAAGGCAGGGGGTCTGTCAATCCTCGAACTTGGTTCGTGGCAGTGTCGCCAATTTATTCCTTCAGCAAAGAGGGGCCAGGCAGTGCTCATTACCGTGAAGGATTTGGCCAGTTGTCGAAATTAACAAGACATGTTTACTAAGGTGTCTCCTGCCAGCTAACCTGTTCCCAGCGATCCTGCCAAGGTCCGTCTACACCATGCGGTTTGGTTCTGAAAAGAACGGGGCATGAATGGACCGGCGACTCAATGTCACGAGAAATCATCGCATCGTATACTCGGTCCTGTGCCTCAGGAAACCTCTGCTCAACAGGGAGATGCGCAAGAGCCGTCTCTTCGAGCTCCACAAATTTCTTCGCTACCGCGACATGCAGTCGTTTATCCCACATGCCTTCTCTAGCTCGGTAGCTCGACAAGACATGCAGGACTCTGCGTCGTAAGATCGGATGTCGACAGCGCATGGCAGCCCAATACAGTACAGGCATCACCTCGGCGTCGAGGAAAAAGTGCTCCATATCCGAGTTGGGAGCTTCTTCGGCGCAGAGCTCGGCTAGCCTTTCTGCGGCCGATGTTATGACTTCAAAATGGGGGTAGAAGTGGTCAAAGTTCATCTCATCCAATGAGGTGCAGGTACTGAGCCATGTTACCGCCGCGTGATACTGGCATAACATTGACAGAGGGGCACGGGGATCTAGTATCCCAACGTTCTTCGCCGACCGTTTTCGCATAGCCTCGAAGGCCTTGAACCATAAGTTGATCTCCTCCAACAGATCAGCTTGCTGTTGGATTTGCTGTGGATCTAATGGCTCTTGTGGGATTATCCACAGTTTACTCTGTACGGAGCGAATGAATAGCAAAGCCCGAGTGGTGATGTTTGTCAAACAATCCCGCGCCTGGTTGATATTGTCGAAACGGAGTTTGTCCAAGGCCAGGATGGCAGAATCATTCGCCACGTCCGTAAACGGCATCAGCTGCCGACCAAAGTACGATAGCTGAAGATTCTGGCGATAGAAGAACTGGAAGAGATCTTTCCCAAAGGTAGTCCGGGCTACCCTGTCGTCCTGGAGTTGCCTCGATAGGATTCGCAATCCACCTTCCGCGTGATCGATTGCTTGCTTGGTGTTCCCACTGAGCATTTCGAGACAAATAAAGAGAACGCATTGAATCAGCATCGAGTCGATGCCCATCGCGGTGGGATCTCCCATTTGCTGCAGGAATTTCTGTATGGCCTTGTTGTACTGTTGAAGTGTGAATTCATCCTTTTCCTTCGAGTCGGCATCAGGCGACAATAACCTGCCTTGTAATTGACGCTGATGCAGAGACCCCACGGCAATAACAGCATGTCGAACCGCAGGATTGCAGTGACTCAATTGGGGAAGGAACTTGGTCCAGAAATCCGATGGAAAAAAGCCCGAGAGAGCGGGTGCCGTCTGCGTACAGAAAAACTGTACATAATGGCGTTCTGTTCGCGTACCTGGGACGAGCACCAGTTTTCTCTCCGGGCTCGGGCTCCAGGAATATCGAGCAACAGACGTGGTGATCGCTTGGCGAAGTTGTCTCTGCGATACGTCCGTATAGCCGTCGCATTTCCGCCCGGTCCGAGTGCATTGACTGCACGCGGGCTTCTCTTCTCCACATTTAACGTGGCGGATCCTATCCCAGCGGGTCAGGGGCCTGAGTGCCTAGTGAGACTGGCTTGGGTGCCACGTACTTGCAGGTTATGCATCCGTTTCTGGACTTGGTCCTGCCTGCCCTCTTTCTCTGGTTCGAGGACGGGGGTGTTCTAGAGTCCGACATGATGCGGTATTTAGTCAGCCCGCCAGAGTCAATAGGGGAAATCTGTTTGACAAGGTGTAAATGTACCCTGCACTGGATAGACAGGGAAGGCCCCAAGGTTGAAGATGGTAGGCTGCGACACGTCACCGTAAGCAGAGTGTCACCAATCATAAGGTGCAAGGCTGACACGGTAACATCACGTGACCATTTCTATTAATACCATCGCGATCAATGCTGATTATCAGCGTGTGCAGTGAGAGTGCTTAGTCGGTGTGGGGAAGATGGAAGCCTACAACAATGGATGATTCTGCCTTGGAATATCTCGGCAGGTGGCTTTCTATGGAAGACTACAATCGCCCTTGGTAAGGGTATGGTGGCATCAATATTCACCTACTGAATATGTCCTGTAGAACAGTGGAGATGGGCCTATGGATTCACCACCCATCCATTATCAATCATTTTATATTCTTTTGAATCAATTGAATCCATCTTCCTGGGCTGCCTGGTCAGCAGGATATTGTCCATAATGAGACTCCTCTGAGTTCATTCTTCTCAATGTAAGCAATATGGTGCCAGATAAACAAAATCATTGTAGATCAGGGCTCATTGTTTTCCTCTCAAGATACAATGTAACAACACGATCCAACATTTGGTACTCACAGACCTGTCTACCAAGCTAGTATCAACAAGGCATATATTTCAATACTGGACGCAGATGCATTCTATATTCAGTCATTCCACTCCCTCTTCATTCAGCTTATCAAAGTTCTGAAGCTGATACAAATAATGTAAAACCCCAATGAGTCATGCCCAGCAATGCAAGACAAATGAACCCTGCGCTAAGTCCCCTGGATCCACACCTTCAGCTCTTCAAATTCAGCGCAACTCTCCCTGATCTACAAACACACCCAGGAACCAACATGCATCTCGACCACAAAATCCCATGGAATACAGCCGCCTCACACCTGAACCTCATCAAATGCAATCCCCGGTTCACTCCCCGTCGCACCGACTTTTTCTCTCGCAACAAACCCACCGAGTCCACCGACCTCGCCCATTTCCGCCGCACGCTGATCCGAACAATCCGCGAATTCTCAACCACCGAAGCATGCAAACCCCTCGTCTCTGTTCCTTTGGACAGCCTTCTCTCCAAGAATCTCCTGTCTTACCCGGAACGACACTTCGGCCTCGGCCTTCACCAAACAAACTCAGCCCTCCATAACCCCCTCTCCCCGAAACATCGAAGTATCCAATCCTGGATCGACAGCGCAAGCACGAGCGATAGTACCTACCCACCCAGCTATTCTAGCGGTGATGGCGATCTCGCCGACGCAGTCAAAATGCTGATTATCATCGCCGGCAGCGCTCAAAAGAACGATGCAATGTCGAAGCGAATGTCACAAGAAGCGATTTCAGTCCTACTGGCGCTTTCTCGTCATCCTCAGGTCCCTTTACCCACGCTTGCCAATATCCACTGGGGCCATGCATTCGGGGTTGAGCTGGTTGCGGATTCGGCATTGACGATTTACATCTTGATTAATTTGATGGATGCGGTGGTTTCCGAGAAGCGGGCGAAGGGGAATGGGAATGATGTCTCGCTGCTCGAAACACGGACTTTTGTATACTGGGCGGGCAGTTCGCTGGCTGATTATGACTATCCGGCGCAGAATGTTCCTCATCGGGGGTTTTGGAATGGGTTGGGGGTTACGGACTCGTGGGCCTCTCGACTACGGTGCCAGGAAGGGGTTTTGTTACCCGTGAAGGATATGGGGGTGGTTGATCCGTTGAAGGGGGGGAATAGTGAGGTTAGGGCCGATTTGAAGGAGTATCTCAAGACTTGCTTTGCTATATTGTACATATATGATATGCTACTGAGGGAGTGGTTTGGGGAAGAGGAAGCCGACGCGAAGTGGGAGTATTGGATCGGTTGTCTTTTTGAGTCTTGGGGGTGCACGTTATGAGTTGGTGGCAAATGAGCGATTGGGTTCTGTGGATTATTTCCAGTAACCCTGGTTTTAGATGTAGGATGCCTGTAGATAGATGTGTTCTTAGGCCTCGGTCTAAAGAATATCAGTCCTCAAGTAGCTTAATTATATAAACAGAAAACACTAGTATACTCGCGCCACTAATCCTATACCAAAAAACCACCCCCGGTCTTCCCCAAGCCACTGCCCAAGGTAATCCATACGCACCAGCCTACCATTCACACTAAATACACCAGCTTTCGAGCGCTCACTGCTCCATTCTTCAAATCCTCCAATCCATCAAGAACCCCCTTCAACCCCCCACCACGCTTCTCAACAGCCAATGGTCTAACTTTCCCTTGAGCCCAAAGAGTACCTAGTAGCCGCGCCCATCTCTTCGCGAATTCAAATTCCTCCGGCACTCTGGGAATAACCATGCAATCGGGGCCATATTCAAACGATTCCCCAATAGCGACACAGCAATTAATAAAAGTCGCCTGTACATCCGAACGGTTCACTTGTGCCGGGAGTAAGGAATGATATCGCCCTCCTTCGGTGCCGATAGCTTCTTCGCAAATCCGTACTGACTCTGATGTTGATACGGCATCACAAACGATTCTGACGCTGTTGTTGGTATATTCTCGGATCTGTTGAGCGCATCGCGGGTCGTGATAATTGAATACCTCATCGGCGCCGTACGTACGCACTAGGTTGAAGTTCTTTGGCGAGCAGGTGGTGAGGACGGTGTATCCAGCCCTATGTGTGACGCTTAGCAGTCTGTCATATACAAAAGCCGAACGAAGGGTGGTGGGACCGACAATTTCGCAACCTGAATCAACCAACTTCCCGACGCTGTACTTCCACCATAAATCAGAATCGACTCCCGGCGCTTTTCAAACTGATAATCTTCCGGCCACGGCAAATCCAGACAAGAGGGCCCAAAAAGACACTGTCCGGCGGCCATAGCTCCAACGCCCACCGTAGCCGCATCCTCGAAACTGACACCCTGAGGAATGGGAACCTGAATCGCCGCTTTGGCTACAATATACTCTGCAAAAGTACCGCTTTCGGTCCGGGTCCGGTTGGCCCCCTTAACGAGACCACAGACGCGATCTCCGACTTGGAACCTCTCCCGGACGGATTCTCCCACTTCGACAACGGTGCCGGCGTAGTCATGGCCCATGACTGCGTTGGGCGATGGGGTGCTGCCGAGAAGCATCCAGTCGATCGGGTTTAGGGCTACCGCGGCGGTGCGGACGAGGATTTCATCGTGGCGGGGGGTGGGGATGGGTTGGGTGGTGATGAAGCTGGCGTGGCCTAGCGAGAGGGTGATGACTGCTGATTGGGTGGATTGCATGGTTGGGAACTTGGGAAGATCTTGAATGTGAAAGGGCTGTTGTGTTGGGATGGGACACTCATAGTAGAGTTGTGATTGTTTTATATACCAAAAGGTGAAGCTCTTTTGACATCTCCTTTGATGAGTGACTGCTGATGACGGGGGGGCCTGGACCCACTTTCCTCCGCAAAGCATCCATCACAAGACCTGCACGGACCTATCGATGTCTTCCAACATCACAACTGATTGAAATGGGTCTTTTCGTTGCAGTTTTTGTTTTTTTACCCAGTAAATTGCAGATTACGGTAATACGCATTCGGCAGTTATGGTACTCAGCGTTCACCATCACATACTGGGGAGAATTTTCCCCTGAACCGTATCCAACCCTTTGCACGCAACCAGCAAAAGAAACCTAAACTCATCCACCTGAGACAATCCTCCCTGCTCCCAGACACTCACAAGTTCATCATAAGAAACGACTCCCGAGACCAATTGCGCAGGATTTGGTCCTCCAACGTCCCCCTCCACAGACAGATCCGTGTCCGGCGGAGTAGAGACAGGTAGCCCAGCCAGGTATTTGATAAAATCACATCGGTGGAAGTGGACCACTGCATAGACAGCCCGCACCAGATACGAGATCATGATGAGTCGTCGGGCATTCTCACAAAACACCCTGTTCTTCCAGTGGCTTTGGGAAGGATGTGGATTCATTACTTCGGATGTCTGCCGAAGTTCTAATTCCGTCCGCTCGAGATCGGCTGTGCTCTGCGCTAACATACAGTCCACTTGGATGAACACGAATTGGTCACGAACACCACCTGCAAGAAATAAGATGTAGTAGAGTATCAATGCTTGCAGGCGATCTAGTCGGTCCTGCAGTTCGGTGTGCGATGCGTTACTTGTGCTCGCGTTGTCGACACCGGCTTTCAACAGTGTGAGATAGAAAGGCCGGGTTCCTGGTTGACAAGTGCGATATGCCGCGCAAACCCCGTATACATCACGTAAAATAGGTGGCGGATCCCCTTGACGATCAGGTAATGAATCGACGAGAGGCAGGGTACCCGTATTCAGGAAATTATCGACATAGCCTAGGAAGGTCTGGATGCAGAATGCCCAGGTGTTTGTGTCGTTAATACGAGGCCAGAACTCCAAGACGCGACGTTCCAGTCGGGGTAATGCGGAAGATGCACCACCGATTGCACCGGTCAAAGAGAGCCACTCGGTCGTTTCTTTCAGGTCTGGCCACCAGAGTGGGTCGAGAGATCCCTCCTCAGAACCGACGACTAGAGATTGATCTATGACACTGTCTACACGCATGGATCCGCCGAGTTCCGTGCCAGTGAAGTCACTTGCATTACCGGCGTCTAGGCGGACCTCGGGTGCTGCACTCTGTGGAGGCGGGTACGGATACTGGCATGCAGTATTCTTCTTCCGACATCGGGCGCAGCTGGGTAGTCCCAGGTCGCACCGACGTTTTGCTGTCACACATGACAGACATGAAGTTTTGCGGAGCGACATGGTACCGTTCACTCGTGGCTTGATTCTAGAATGATTTGAGTCAGTTGCGGGGTCTTCTTCTTAGCTTCGGCTTTTGCGGACAAAGGTGGATCCGCGGAGCTGGGTGGGGCCATTGCAATCTACAGCCAATCATGAACTACACGGGGCAATGTGGATATCAGCCAATGAGCAAAGTCTCCTCGCCTCAGTGAACACGATCTCTCGTTGATTGGTAATCGGTCAATAAATTTGGAAGGATAAGCAGTGGCATCCACACCAGTAATGCAACGAAAAGAAAGAGCACATCGACCTCTAGGATGGACACTCATCCCAGGGCGTTCTGACATCAAGTTCCACATCACCTCTCGCCTTGGTAAGAAGATTGAAAAGAAAATGCCCCAGCAGTCCATCAAGGCCCAGGGTTTGGGGCCCACCTTTAACCACTACCATTTCCACAGCTGCATCTATATGTCGCTTGAGCATTTGGGCATCTCGAATATATAACTGTCATCTTTAGCGCTCTCCGTGTGAACGTTGAAGGGGGTTTCTCACCTCGTCATAGGCAAGCATAATCGCTTTCGCGACTGTCGAGTCACTCAGCAAGGGCATCTCGGCCGAAATGGCATGCCTTAGTGCCTGCAGACTCTTGGACTTGTACTGAAAGCTCAGTTGCTGAAAGGTACATTGCTGTGCTTGCTGTCCCTGTCCATAGCCAACAGACAAGTGACGGCACGAGGCAAGCAACACGATGTTGAGCAGGCTCAGATCGGTGATCGCAGTGGGAACCCAAAGTCTGATCATGCGCTGCGTGAAGAACACTGCGCTCTCATTGCACCGCATCAGAGGTATGACGACCGTCACCTCTTTCGCAAGTCAGCAGTCAGCACAGCCACTCATGTATTCGAAAATCAGGAAACATACAATGATCAAAGAGATATTGCTCCATGGGATCCAAGCGTCTAGCAAAGCTCATGAACGGGTCTCTCCGATCAGCCGAAAGCACTGTGATTGGCCCAAGCCCAGGGAAGCTACTTCTATCGCTTTTAAGTGTGCGCATCTTTGCCCGCTGTTGTGCCTGATACTGTATCATCCGCAATCGTCGGACGCGAGCATGCGCAGAGCGAGCAGCATGTGAGTGAGCAATCCTCTGTGATTCTGCCAATCCAGGGTCGGCTTTCGAGTCAAACGTGACATTAACGAAAGGTACTTCCCGCTGCCCCATTTTGGAGTATCCCATGGTACCCTACTTTGAACAACGAGATGGAAAACATTCTTCATGTCGCTTCGAAGGCAGCCCCCCAGCTGACACGGCTGACAAACCGTGTATTCTTAGATTAAAGTGTTGCCAAGACCTGCGCCTGCTCAAAGAGGATTAGCCGCACATGGTGAAGGAACTCGAGATCTTGATTGGCTCAAGCCCACTGATCAGTCGTATAGATGCATTGTCGTTTTCCATGGACAGGGGCTGTTAGATCCTCTCACTTTCTCGTGGTACTCACGGGGGGTTATGATGGAGGAGTTTATAAGCGTTTCCTCCCCTCCTTGCCGAATACTCGAATCCATTCTTTCATCCCAGCTTCAAGGTTTTCCATCATGGACGGAACAGTCATCCTCACCGGAGCAAATGGCTCTCTAGCATTGGGCTTTGTCCAATGCTTACTATCGCTTCATCCCCAAATGACCCTAGTTGCCACTGTGCGAAACGCCACCCCAGACCAGGACCCCAACACGGCTAAACTCCTCAGTCTGATTGCCAAACATCCCAGAGCAAGATGCCACCTAGAGACTCTGGATCTCGGCAATCTCTCCCAAGTACGCTCCTTTGCAGACCGGCTAGCTGACCAGATCTCCTCGGGGAGACTTCCCCCCATCTCAGCGATAGTCTGCAATGCCGCCACCTTCTCATTCAAAGCTGGACAAGTCCTCACGACCGACGATTATGAGGCCACCTTCCAAGTATGCCACCTGTCTCACTACCTCTTGATCTTGAAACTCCTCGGCAGCATGGAGAAGTCATCCGGACGCATCGTCCTCCTCGGTTCGGTCACCCACGATCCTGAAAAGCCTAACCCCTTCTATTCCCTGAGACCGGGGTTTCCTGACGACATGGAGGAGTTGTTACACCCGCCACCGGATCCTCCGGCTCTCGTTCACGACAAAGGGTTTCAGAGATATGCCACGGCCAAGCTCGCAAATGTAACCCTGGCAATGGATTTGAACCGAAGGCTGCAGGAGGTATGTGATGTTATTCGCTCGCGGGAAAGCCAGCACCAGCACCTGACCACCAGCTAACATATGATTCCTGTAGGATGATCATCTATCAGGCATCACTGCACTAGCCATGGACCCCGGTGCTCTGCCGAGTTCGCGAGCGCAGGCGGGACAAAGAAAGTCAGCGAGGCGGTTTTTCACGGCCATAGATTTTCTGATGCCGGTTCTGCGGTACATGACTACGATGTTTCGCACGATTCAAGATGCGGGGCAAGATTTGGCAGCTGTGGGCGTTGGCTCTGACTTGCGAGGGCAACGGGGTTATTATGTGGGGACGAAGCAGGCAACTCCCGCGGCGGTCACTGGGGATCGTGAAGCACAGGAGAAACTTTGGGGGTTATGCTGGCGGGGTGCTGGTTTAACGGCCGAGGAGACTGTGCTTCGGAATGCTGTTCCTGATGCTTAATATATGTCTTTTCGGCTGTGAAGGCTCGGATTATTTCTTGCTGTATTTACTGGAAGGGTGGGGACTTCGTTTTTACATATAAGATGAAACGAACATTTTGTTCTTGGGGGCCACAGTCCTTTACCTGAACATACACAGTGTCGTGCTTGTATATATATTCCTAGTTTCATGTTAAGCTTTAGCTTTTTGTTTTTATTTACATTTTCTTTATCTAATTGCCATGCCCTCCGTCAACACTAAACAATACGCTAAATGCTATACCTCGCAGTGGTACCGGAATCAAAATGCGAATCAATCCACAACACAAGACTCGACCCGCATATATTAGGCCGGCTATTAGCAACAGCCAGACATGCGCGATGATTGTTAAAGCCTATTTAAACCTTCCTGAATATAGGAATAGTACATACGACCACAGGGTGTGGAGAACAGGGCTTCCCGTCCGCTCAGCCGTACTTAAGCCACACGCCGGGAGGTTAGTAGTTGGGTGGGTGACCACCAGCGAATCCCTTCTGTTGTATGTTTTTATTTTGTCGTTTTTATTTTTATTCATAATTCGAAGGGATTCTTACATGCCTCTGCGACGGTCATAGAAGTGTTGTTTCCTTCTGGTAGCTAAGTGGGATTTGGGTAAAAAAGGTTTCATTTGGTCTTATATTTCCTTGTTCAATTAATTCATGAATAAGTCCGATCGATATCTCTGGTACGTATTTAGGAACTGGTTGTATTCGAATACTAAGAACATCTGCCTAGATGCTGCCATTTCCAGAGCACTGAAAAAGGTAGGTTCACCGCTATCTGTACTGCGCAATGACGAGCAAACTTAACCCAACCTCGAGCCCGTGACAGAGCTTAGCTACACGACAAATAAGCCAAGAGCATCACAGCAATTTAACGAACCCCCTCCATAGCCCCTGAGAGGTATAAACACCTCGAGGATCAACAGCCCGCTGAATTTCTTTCAAGCGCCGCTCATTCTCCTCTCCATACCCCGGGAAAATCTCATCTTCCTGCTGTGCCGATGCATAGTTGATGTATAGGTAACGGTTTGCAACACCGAGACTTTCAGCCGCTGCTTGAATCCTAGCGATGGTGTTTCCCGTCATGGTGTTGACGGCTATATCGCCATCAGCGTCGGACCAGGCGGTGGAAATTAGAATGACTGTGGAGGTGGTAGATTGATATTAGCGGTGATTGTGGAAGATACCCTCAAGCGGAGAGGAATGGAGTAGGAAAGCGAGGTTAGATGAACTTACGGAGCAACGGCCCATCCGCTTGAATACCAAGCGCGTTTCCCCCCCTCTGTTTCATGGCTGCGATAGCGTTGCGCGACAGTGCGTAGGAGACGAGGTTGGGGACGAGCCCTTCCACTGCACTGATTGCGCGGACCTCCTCCTCGAAGATGTTGACTGCTTGAGATAGGAGGGGACGAGAGGGGGACACGGTAAGCGTGGCGAAGAGATGTCTTGAGATGGTCAACAGGGGATTGATAAGAATTAAAAGAGTTGGGATCTAGCATACCTCGTGACACCCAGCGGCTCGGATTCTTGAGTCTGGCTGCTCATGTTCGAAATTATGTTGAATCTCGTCAGTGCCGGTATCTGATCCATTGCGCTGAACACAGGCGGGTTCCGGATCGGCCTTGCATAACGCTGTGTCCCGGACAAGGTAAAACTGTCCTCATCGGGCGAGTACGTATAGAACATGTCCAAGCCCATGTTGACATCATCCGTCAGCTGTTCATCAGTGAAAAGGTCATAAATTCTGTCCAGAACCTGCTCGGTCTGGTTGGAGGCATAGGTAACCAAGGTCGTAGAAACAGGGCCCTGCGCAAAAGTACGAACAGTGAAGGCTGTAACAACCCCGAAGTTATTCCCGCCCCCTCTTAAGGCGAAATATAAGTCGGGATTACGGGATTCGCTCGCGGTGACAATCGTCCCATTCGACAAGACAACCTCATACTCGTAGACATTGTCCAATGCCCAGCCGTATTTGTTGGAGAAGGGGGATGTGCCCCCGCCAAGTGTGAACCCGCCGACGCCGACGGTGCCGACTCGTCCACCAACAAACGATAGATTGTGCGCGTCGAGAGCGGCATAGACCTGATAGCTGGTTGCACCGCCACCTACCCGTGCCTTGTTTCCATCCTCCAGTATCTCCACCGATGTCATGCGGTCGAGGTCCACAGTCACACCACCGATGGAGTTCGAGTCCCCGGGATTCCGGGAGTGGCCGCCGCCTTTGACGGCAAAGTGACACCAGTTGGACACCAGGGTGTTGATGATATTGGAGACATCGGATGCAGTTGATGGCTCAACGCGACAGGCTGGTCGGACCTCTTGTTGTTTTGCGTCCCAGATGGTGAAATTGCTGTCGTCATAGGGATAGTGGAAGGCATCAGGCCCGAACGAATTGGAAAGCGAGGCGCACTATGTAAGTATTCTTCGTTAGGGCTTCCTTCATGAACAACTGAAATTGGAAATAGGCTTACTGCTCGGTGGCAGTTTTCGGATACGGTGCCGTTGAGCGGAGAGGGTCGCTCAATTGGTTGAGATCCATACACAAGGACACCATATCCCGCCAGGAGATGGATCAAGGCGCTTGAGAATTGCATCTTGAGATGATTACTGTGGGGCGATGCTGCTCAGTAGTACACGGATGAATCATGATATATGTATACTTCCATGGCTTTCCGGTTATCAGTACTGTTATGGAAATGATCTGCTTCCCCTCTTTCTGAATGAACACATCATCCATGACAATCATACACTGCATCACAAGCACCACTTGTGGTGCCTTGCTGCATGTCTCGGCCAAGAACGGGCGTTCCGAGGGTTTCCAAAGACTTGACTTGAAAAAGGTTTGGCTTCCTGCAGGCGTATGACAGGTGGGTCCCCGTAGATTTCTCCGATTGGCTAGCCCTGTTATGTGGCAATTACCCCAGTGGAGCCCCCCTGCATCTCCGAGACAAACAGCCAGGCTAATCCATATTCTCCAAAACTGCCTGTCACCCGCCTGCAGATATCGTCTATCAACTGCTGCAACATGTCATCCTCTAGTGCTAATCTGTTAGGCGCAGGTGGAGTAGGATATGTTTATAGGTGGCGTGGTCTTAAGCTGGAAGGGGCCGGTAAAGCTGAACTAGGAGAGTGTCATCTGTTATCTATTTCCAGCTGTATCCTGCATAGCAATGTAGGCAAGTGATTGGTCTGTGGAGTTCAATGTAGCTTCTGTAAGTGGCCGCCTCGTAGACAGATAGAATTTGGTAAAGATATGGATGAGGTAGAGGCAGCTTGATGATCCTATTATTGATCTACAGGCTTCCTGGAGAACCTAGTCAAATATGCCAAGATCAGGCAGCAAAGAATTATGGTGCTGCCTTGGGTCAATTAGTATCGCACCTGCCACAGCTTCTTCCCGGTGCTGCAGAGCGCGTTCCTGTGCTAGATGTATAGCTTGTTTCCTAACGCTCTACCATTCACCTAGGGTCGGAGAAAAGAAGTCATAAGCAAAGATAAGAGAAAAAGTCTGACCCACATGCTACTTACGCCAGGCTTGTTGGTTGAGTTAGTTCTGGGATTTGCGTCGCTCTTTTCTATGTCTCTTCTAATGATATTACCGGGTGATTTGCATGTGGCGTCGGATGTTATGACTCTAGACGAGGATGCTTCGTGGTGTGCACACGGTATGTTTCTGACAGTTAAATTAAGGGTTCATATACGAAATGGCTAGTCATGAAACCATAACGATACCATAGATGAGACTGAGGAGCTTGTGCTAGTCGCAGTGGAAAGTCATTATCGGCGTCTGTTTGGGATCTGTAATCCGATTGGAGCAGACCAGACCCACCGTTAGCGCGTAATCATGCCCAGCTCTTTTGCAGATTGATTTAAGCTCCAAACATGGTTGAAGTCTGGCCGGCTCCCATGATCTGCGTAAGCATATCCACTCCGCCTCTGTATCAGCAGCTTGAAATCATCGTAGCTGTTGTATGTGACATATGTCCAAGGAGAATTGCTTGTAGAGGCCGCGCAGGCCTATGTCGATCGCGCATAATCAAAGCAGGAAATCATGCCCATATGGGTTACACCAATGTGGTATAAGAACAACACCCTAGTCCACGTTCAGTTGTTCCATTCGTTCTAAGCAGAGGTGATCAAATTGCATAACCAGCAAAGAATAATCATCCCGTTTAATTGTCTTCGTATTGAATAAGCTTCACCATGCCACTTAATACCACCCTCACCGCGACAATGCGAGCTGTCGCGTGGTTTGGCCAACCCTACAACGTGTCCGTCATTGATATGCCCGTTCCGAGTATCATCAACCAGACCGACGCAGTTATCCGCATCACCACCTCAGCCATTTGCGGCTCCGATCTTCATTTCTACCACGGCTACACGGGGGCTGCCGACGTGCCTTGGGGACTCGGTCATGAGGCCGTTGGATACGTCTCCGAGGTTGGCGAGGCCGTGTCCTCTCTGAAGGTTGGAGACTATGTAATCATCCCGGATAATGCCCACGATGGGCATTATGGTCAGAATCACCCGCTTGCATTCGGGAGCGGCTCCCCTGACTATGGCGGTCTGCAAGGTACTGCTCCTCCTCATTCGCTCAATCGACACCAACTTCACAGCTGCTGATAATAATCTAGCCGAATACGCCCGTGTCCCATTCGCAGACATGAGCCTTATCCCCATCCCCTTCAACAACAGCACCGGAAACGCAACCAAGGAACTCGACTACCTCATGATCTCAGACATCTTCACCACGGGCTGGCAAGCTCTAACCTACAGTGGTTTCCAGCCCGGCGATACCGTAGCCGTCTTCGGTGCCGGTCCCGTAGGTCTCATGGCCGCATACTCTGCCATTCTGCGCGGTGCGTCGCGCGTCTACTCCGTCGACCAAGTACCCAGTCGTCTCCAACTCGCTTCTTCGATCGGCGCCATCCCTATCAGCTTCAACACGTCCGACCCCGTGGATCAGATCGTATCCCGTGAACCGAACGGCGTCACCCGTGCTTTGGACTGCGTTGGATTCGAAGCCGTCAACGCCACAGGACACCGCACAGACGGCATCGTCCCGCGCAACCTCCTCTCCGTCGCAGCACAGCAAGGAGGCATCGCCATTGCGGGTGTCTACACTGGCGGTGGGAACAGTACCCGGGGGGCGCCCTTTGCTGATCAGATTCCTGCCCAGGTTCCGTTCTCCGTTGCGTCGTTGTGGGAGAAGGAGCTTACCGTGGGCAGTGGGATCGTGTTACCGCTCGAACATGCGCAGGCGCTTGTGGACCTTGTTGCTGCTGATCGCGCGACCCCGAGTTTTGTGATCAGCTCGGTTATTGATATCGAGCAGGCTCCGGAGTATTACAGGCGTTACAGCGATCATTTGGAGCATAAGATTGTCATTCGCTTTCCTTGATTGCTCTTGGATATCTCTGTACCATTACGTTGTATACCACTGATAACGTCTGTTAGAAGGTTAAAGGGCAATGGCCTTGGGATATGCAATGGCTTACTTATATTAAAAGGTATCTAGCTAGAGAGAAATAAACCTATACAAATTAACAATTCTTGTATAGCGGCAGCGATACACAAACATGTACTGATGACGACGCCTCTTGATAATAAATCCGAAGAGACGAAAGGCTTCACTCAAGGTTACCAAGTGAGACACATGCCGTCAAATGACAAGGTGGAAATTACAAGATTGCATCTTCAATTTCCAACTGAGGATAGCTTTCGGCACGACTGTGTCTGGCACTGATCAGAAACTGAAGAAGTGCTGTGGAGAGCTGGTCAATGAACCAAATGGACACCGGGCAGCGTGTCAATATTGGGCACTTTCACCTTTGGCACTCCTTGGGAATGCAGATACAGGCAGGTGCTGGTCTTTATCAGCCCCTTCAAGATGAATAAGATCGGAACATATAGGAATATCATAATTGTCATGCAATGGCTTTCAACGAGTACTTTGTTCCCTTTGCTGCACAACTTGTTTTCATAGTATTTTTAGAATAGAAATATAGGGAACCTTCAAAGTGCGTGCAATTACAAATTACAAAGAGGCAATCTGTTTTGGCATGGAAGCAGCTGCTTAATTATGAATCGAGACCCGTGGCATCTCTACCATAGCAAACCGACTTTACCTGACAACAAACTACCGGATTCTTGTATGTACAGCAGCACTCACTACACATATTCTAATGACCAGCCATGGATTGATGGATAGGATTGAACCTATCACCAATCGGCTTAGCCTCGTCCACGATTTTCCGCATCTCCTTCAGCTCGTCCTCAGTCAGCTCAACGTCCCGAGATGTCCAGTTTTCCTCCAGGCGCGAGGGCTTCGTCGTTCCAGGAATGGTAATCAACCCCTGCGCAGCAACCCAAGCGAGGGCGATCTGCGCAACCGAGCACCCCTTCTTGGTCGCTAGCTTCTTGATCTCATCCACGATGGCTTTGTTCTTGTAGAAGTTTTCACCTTGGAATTTGGGAACTAACGTTCACAGGAGCCAATCAACATACATGCACAATGTAGGATAGAAGACAGATTCACGTACCAGTGCGGCGGAAATCAGTCGGCGCAAAGTCATCTGGCGACTGGAACTGAAAGTCATCCACAAGCCAGCCATGACCCAACGGGCTAAAAGCCACAAACGCCACACCTAACTCCTTCGCTGTCTCGATCAGGCCAGTTGTCTCGTGCACTGTCTCGAACGCAGAGTACTCGGCTTGCACGGCGTCAATTTTGGCGACTAGAATATAGTTAGCAAACAATTTCATGTGATGCATGATGAGAGACGAACTGGCGTTTGCCTTGCGCAAAGTCGCAGCAGAGCATTCGGATAGTCCGATGTACTTTGTTTTCCCTGCGCGACGGAGTTCATCCAGGGTGCCGATGGACTCTTCGAGGGGCGTGTCTTATCACTAGCATTAGGATACTAACTTCGCCAAGGGTTTTAATCTCTGGGGTATATACGTACTGGGATCAATCCGATGTAGGTAGTACAGATCAGGAGTAAAGCCAAGCCTGTCGATCGTCCCTTCAATGGTTTCCTTGATGTGAGCCGCCGAGTTGCTGACTTTGCGTACGGGGCCAGAGACATCAAATCCACATTTAGAGGCAACTGCATGTACATACCAGACGTCAGCCGACAAGCCAATGTTGATAGAAGAAGATGGAAAAGATACAGGTAAGTATACTCACCGAAAACCTTGTCACGGACATTATGCTTCTTGATAAAGTCTCCAAGTAACTTCTCGTTCTCACCCTGCTTGTAGACGACCGCAGTATCCCAGAACGTGCATCCTAGCTCAATGGCTTTCAGAAGAATTGGCTCGGACTGCTCATAGTCGAAGTCTGTCCCCATGGCATGATTAAGGCCCATCGCTCCAAACCCGGGGACGGGGACTTGCTGGGTGCCAAACGAGAGTGTCTTGACCATTTTGCTTGAGTTTGTAGATCTCGACTATAGTCAGCGGATACGTGGTTCCATGGCTCTGGAAACATGGGGAACATACGTCGAAAGTGCAGCTCGCTGAGAAGTGAAGAATGAGGTTGCGTGATACCGGCTGTGAAGGTGGGAAGCCAAACGCCAAATCAGCGGGTGCATGATAATTAATATAGCAGCCAGCGGGTACCGCATTGCAGCGATTACATTACGATTTTCTAAAGAGTCGAACTCGGTTGCCACATATAAACTCTAAATATTGAGAAAGGCCTTGTAAATTACGCGGTTTGATGGATACAGCCGCATATTCCCACTTAACTTTAGCTTGGCTCAGCCAATTGTATATCCATTTTTGACCCACTTGTCATCAACCTGCATGACGCTTGCCCATTTTAATATGTTGTTGAAGCTCCGCAGCATCTGCACAAGTCTTCTCATTAACTCCTAATTAACTCCTAACTCCGGCAATGATTACATAAATCCGTGGAAACATGTGAGATGACAATACTTAACAAACACAATCAGGCAACTGTAAGAGTCGATAAGCGGGTGTGGTAGTGTGAGGAAGATCCTTCTATCGCGAAATACATGGTGTGGTCTGCTGCATGGAATCCTCCAAGGATCCTGCCAAGGCTGGTGCTAGACTAACATTATTCTAAAAAATCTATTAAATAATATAAAACTCTTCTTTCATTTTTATATCTAGCAAGTAGACACTTTATTAGATAATACAACATACCTACATTATACATATATATATATATATATCTACACGTACAACCTAGTATTCAAGCATGGTCTTATTGTCTTCATGCAGTCGCTAATCTCCTGTCTTCGGATACCTCGCGGGGATGCCTGCTGCTTCGTGGGTCACGTGACTATTTACTTGCTTGTCTTGTACTTTCGCGAGGCCATCAGCGGCATGGGGATTCCTCACGATAGGCCTATTGCAAAGGTTGTAAGAATTTCGGTCCTTACAGCTTAGGCCCCAGAGCCCAAGGAGAGGAGGGTAGGAGCTACCTGGACCCCTACTCAGGAGCCCGGGCCCGGCTTATACGTAGAACCAAGGAGTTGCGTCTCTGGAATGTCTCGGCTTCATATAGACCTGTATCCATGCTTCTAGGCTCTGCCGAGATCCGAGGTGATGTTTTCATACTATAACAGGGTACAAGGTCCCCGCGAGACGATGCTTAGTTGTCTATTCTTGTTCTCTCTGCCTACAATACTATCCTCACGGTCTAACGATTCCACCAGGGTTTTGTCTCTGGTAGACCCTCCAAGCCGACCCGGAATCTATCTCGGTGCGAGTAGACTGGTGTATACTTAGGGTGTCAACAAGCATTCCGTAAGTTTCTTTGTCAAAGGTATTGGCCTCCAGATAACAATCTTTTTTAAACGAGCGAAAGAATTGTGAGCATGGAAAAGCTATGTTAGAAGATGGGTAACAGGTTTGATCCTGACAGGCGTGAGACTAATGAGCTACGCATTGAGCCAACCATACTTAGCGATGTAACGACGATATGGGTTGCTCTTACTGTTTGAGTGTGTTTGTGAAAGGAGATCACGTGATCTCGGACCTAGCCACCTAGTCACCTCCTCCTCACGTAGTTAGCTAGGCAACATACACTTAATATCATTAATATTGCTATCACAGGTTATAAGCCCTTGTAGTAATAAATCATTAAATATTTATTTTTTTTATTATTTTTTTATTATTTTTATATATTATTTATTAAATAATATTCTTCTTAAGACTTTTTACATCTTAAATTATTACTATACGCGGTTTTACGGGTAAAAAAGCCTCCATAATAATCTAATTAATTTAATATTTAGGCTTAATACTTATTAATTAACTAGACCTCTTACTATATAAGCAGCGTGGTTGAATACTTATAATAATACTATCTAAAACTCTATTTAACATTGACATCTCTAAAGCTATTTCTAAGTTTAAAAGCTAGGCTAATTAATTATTATAATAAAAAAATCTATAAAACTACTTATACTCGCGTAATTTAAACGCGTGGGAGCTGCTTCAGAGTAAATATATTTTTCTAAAAGAACTAATTCTTTATCCTGAGAATAAAGATAAAAATATATATATACTAATTATTTATATTAGTAATAATAGTACTCTACCTACTAAAATAGATCTATAAAATAATATTAAATAGATTAAATAATATAACTGTACTTTACTCACTATATATAACTTTAACTATAAGAAATAGAAGTAGTTAAATTACTCTATATTTATAATTCTTAGTATTATATGCGAAGCTAATCCTATAATATATTTCTAAAACTATAATTTTATATTAAAAGCATATATTCTTCTCCAGGAAGTATATAAAATCTTTAACTTTATTATAGTTATTTATTTATATAATAAATAGATATCTATTTATTATAATAGTATAAATAATTAAGAGATTTTTCTTATATATTACATGGACATTTTTAATAAGCTTCGCGATACTAAAATTATTAATAATTATATTAAACTTCTATAATTCTTTATAATTATTTAGAATATGCCTGCTTTGTAGCTATTTATTATAAATTAATATATAATATTAATAAAAAATATTATCCTATTATTTATATATATTTAATTTATATAATTTAAATATATATATAAGAATTAGTTCTCCCAGCTAATTACACACGTAGTTAATAATAAACTTTAAAGTAATATTAAGAATACTAATAATAATACCCGAGATAATAATCGCGGTAGTTGCGGCCGTAGATATAGATATAGCTATAAATATAATAATATTTATAATTATAATAAAAATTAAATAAATACCTCTATATAATATAAAAAAAAATAACTTAATACCACTAATAAAAATATTATATAGTGTATCTTTTATAAATATTATAGAAATCACTTTCTAAGTAAATACTCATTAAATCTGAATAAAAAAATAATTATAAATATTTAAATAAATATAGTTATTATATTTATTCTATTTATATTACTATTAAGAACACTATCAGCTAATATAATTAATATTAATTTTAATTTTTTTAATATCTATATTGTATTGGTTTACTTTAATACTATTATTATAATTTAAGAAAACTAATATTTAAATTACTCGCATAATTAGATACTTAATTCTAGGATTATTAAAATAATAATTTATTTAAAATATTATTTTATATTTTTTACTTCCTGCGTATGTATGGTTAAAACTATTACTAATAAAATTTTTTAGATTATTAATTATAATATTATTTTAATTAAATTAGCGGACAAGCAGAATAAATCTTATAAATTTTTAAAGATTAACTATATTTAATATATACTAATATTTTTATATAATTTTATTTTATATAAGTAACTGGCATACCAGAATATTTATATATATATTAAAATTAAAGAGACTACTGTTCTTATTTAATATAGTAAATAAATTAACTTTATTACTATTAAAAATATTTAATATTTTTTATATATAACTAGCACCACAAGCCGCAAGATAATTTAAAATCTATATTTTTATAATATTTTAATACACTCACTATCTTTTAATTTTATTATTAATACTATTAAAAAAATAGTTTCTTTATTAATTTTAATCTATTTTATATACCGCTGTACGGTTCATGTCTCTAAATAAAAAATTTATAATTTTATTAAATATATTATTAATTTTAATATTAAGAAAAATATTTTACTAACGCCCTGCGAACCTTATTTCTATAGAAAAAATTAAATATTATCTATTTTTTATACTAAATCTTGTAATCTTAATCTACATATTAAAAATTTTATTTATATAGATATTTATAGACTGCTATCTATACACAGCTAAACTAATATATATTACTTTATTATTTTTATTAACTATATCTTCTAATACTACTAGATATTTTTACTCAAGAAATATAATAAAATATATAACAAATTTATTACTTTATAAAACTATCTCAAATACTAGCTAAATATTAATATTAAATATATTTATAATAATAATACATCTGAACATTAATTATTTATAATCTATTATTAAGAATAAAGTATTATCTAGAATCTTATTCTATACTATTACTTAAATCTCAATCCTATTACTAAGATTAAGAACTGTTATCTAGTTAAATCTTATATATTAATTATAGCAGATAATTAATTGTCCTGTTTCCTATAGAATTATATTATTCTTATAATTAATTATACATAGAATAGATTCATATATAGTACTATTGGGAAGACTCTCTATAAAACCTTATATAATATATAACCAAATATCTTATAGTAAAAGATTCTTAACTATTACTACTAGTATCTTACTTCTAAAAAAACTTATAATAAATTTGAGAATTATATGCAGAAAAATTATTTTATTAAATATTTTAAATTAATTTACAAGATCTATAATATTCAAATTTATTAGATTATATATACTCATGATATTATCTTCAATGAAAAATCTATTTTATAATTATTATTAATAATATTTATATACAATCTTAATTCCATATATTATAATAAAATTAATATAGAAGCTTTAGTTTAGAAAGATCCTCATCACTAATTACTATTTAATATATCTTTTTAATATTAATAATTTATTTTTATTACTTTTTCTAGTTATTTTACTATAGATAAACAGGATAGCAGTGAGGAGCCGGACTAGCTACTAAAATATAAATAAATTAATATATTTCTATCTTTACTTATAATTAATAATATTATCTATAACGCTACACCTAAACTAGTAGTTATTATCAAAGATAATAAGTCTAGAGACTAGCTAGTTCTTATAGATCCTCTAGCCACTAGTACCTCCCATACAAAATCCGCTACTTCTAATATAGAACCGTCACTAGTGGCTAAATAGCTACTATATTATTCTACATGTACTTGTAAGCCCTCGCGCACGCTCCTCGAGTCCCTAGAGACTTATACTATTAGTGTAAATAATAACCTAGACATGAATACTAATGCCTTTTATAAATTACTCATTGACAGCTATCTCGCTGGCTCCCTCGACCACTACCCCTTCTACCGTCGCGGTGGACCTGGACTTATCAGCTTCTATAATACTGACTGGGCCGGCCCCTATTCTCTCAACACGATATTAACCTCCAGCTATGTATTCTAACTTACTGGGAGGCCCATTTTATAGAGTTTAAAAAAATAAACTACTATTATATTATCTTTAACTAAAAGTAAGTATATTATGCAAGTAGTAATAATACAAGAATTAATCTAACTCTAACTATTATTTATTGAACTAGATATTTAGCGCTTTAAAACTACATTTATTTTAATAAACTATCCTACTATTATTTATGTAAATAACCAGTCCACTATCATCCTAACTAAGAACCCCGAGTTTCACGCCCATATAAAGTACGTCTCTATTAAATAATACTTCATACATTATAAAATACATATAAAAAATATTAAATTTATCTATATCAGTACAACTAAACAAGCGGCTGATAGCTTTATTAAATTACTTAAATATCTTACCTACTCCTACTTTATCAAGTAACTCAGTATAATAAATCATATTTAAAAACTTATCTAATATCTCTATATCCACATATCTTTTATTTCTTGTTTAGAAAATGTGAATAACCTCATATCTTCCTCCCTTTTATATGTAATGTTGCTGATTACGTCCTCACTCATAGGGAATATGAAAGGAGATCACGTGATCTCAGACCTAGCCACCTAGTCACCTCCTCCTCGCGTAGTTAGCTAGGCAACACACACTCAATATCATCAATATTGCTGTCACAGTGTTCAATGACTTGTCTTCTTTTGAGGATACACAAGATCCTCCTTTCTCAGCTACTTAGTTGTTCCTCTTATTGCGTGCAATACATCCAACTGAGCACTCCCGAAGAGTTGCTAACTCGGCATGATTCTTCGAATCATTAGCTGCAGTGGGAGGGTTACCTCGGATTGGTGGCTAGTAGCGTGGTCATCCTCGATATCAAGATCATGGACACGCAGTATCGGTGAAGGAGGAAGATACCACAGTATATGGCGAAGTCTAGCCTTGATGCAGTGGCCTTTGAAAGCTGATCGGAGTCGCAAATGAACTCCTGTCCATCAAGACCAGAATCAGGTTGGGATATGCATCGAATTTCATTGGCAGGCACTAGTCGACTATCAAAAGAGGGAGACTGTGAAGTTCAGCGAATGAAGATAAAACAAATTGACCTATTTTGAAAGATACAGTACTACTGCTTGAGTTCGATCCCAATAGAGGGTTGTGCAACGATTCAATGTCACTTAACCCACGTTCGCTGAAAGCTCCATTACCTTGATTTAGGAGTTGGGTACTTTCAAGAATAGCTGCAGAAAAGGCTATAACATCCAATAACAAAAACTACCAATGTTCCCTTCTAACATACCAGACTCTGTAGGCTGCAAGTCATGGGTATTACGAACGCTAACTAAGTAAGACAAATAGAATATGCGGACTCGCGATTCACTTCAGAACAGTGCTCTACGTTCAATACAGATTATTTTATACGACGCGAAACAGATTACTATTTGTTGAAACGCGCCTCTTAAAAGTAGGGAGGAGAAATTAAAATCGGAGTCGTAAAAAAGAAACGTCCTTATTTTGAGTCACTGCAATGTACGTGGACAGGGAAGACTAGGGTCTGGTTGGGTCAGGCAAGAACAATGGAAGAATCCTTTGAGAATGACTTCTTTATATAGCAGCATCAAGGACTTTTAAGTTTATAACCTCCGCGCACATTCCTTTCGTTCATATCAGACGCAGTCCGCACCATCTATGTTGTTCCACAATACCGTGGCTAGACTCAGGCCGAACAATCCGCCTGTGATTCCAGAATGAGGAAGAGAAACATCCTTGGGAGTATATGCAACATATACCACGCTGGCTCTACCCATAATACTCTAACACTGCGGGTAGATGTTGTTATAAGGGGCGCTTCTTTCCACATTTTGAGCTCTCCAGCCTGGGTAGTGTATATGTTGTAGACGAGATCAGGACACTTGCAGAAAGGAACGATATAGAGACCAAAAATGTACTTCAAGTACTACTATACGCTAAACATACTTATCATTTATACTTTGAATATAGAAAGATATAGAAATTCAATATTAAGGTTACTTTATATTTATTTTCTTTAGGTCACGGGGGTAGGTTGCTATGTGCTCGTGTAGGTCACGTGGTTCTTACCAGTCCCCGATGTCGCACCGTGACATATATTTTATAGTATATGATTGTTATAGTTATGTTTATATATTCTATAACTTTCTTATAAATAAACAATGTTTAGGTCTCTAAAGTGCTTTTATACCCTTTAATTTTTATCACTTGTGATTTTCATTGGTTGTTTCCTTTACATAATTGCGACATCTATGCTAAGATGGGGTGTTGGGTGGGGTGCAGCACGCCATCGCGGTAACCCTCCATGGACAATATTTCTCCTCTCTCACTGCGCTAACTGGCAACTTGACACATAAATATGCCTGTGGATGGTCGTGCGATGCGGGAATAACGCCATCATGCCTGCAGCTGAACTCATCCACTAATACCCAGCCATCCTGGCCGCTTCAGTTATGTCGGAGGGAGCCCGAGCATCCCCGCGACTATAATCTCATGGCTCCATCACTTATAATCGGATAAGTATATAAGCCTTGCCATGGCGCGCATGCGGGCATTTAGGAGACTGCATCCTGGTCGGTAGTGAAATGGGTAGCGACACGATATCCCAAGCGACCATTCAAACGAATGCGTCTCACCCCGACGATGACAGTCTCAAGGGAGAGAGACTCTCAGTCAATGAGAACCACGTGCTGCAGGAGCGCCAAATTGGAGTGCTGGGGGCCATCTCCCTGATTGTCAACAAGATCATTGGCGCTGGGTTAGTCCATCTCTATTCACCAATCATATGCACCTCTGATCCGCTGACCGAGATAGAATCTTCTCCACCCCTTCGACCATCTTCAAGCTTTCCGGCAGTGTAGGGCTATCGCTGATGCTCTGGGTGGTGGCGGGAATCATCTCGGCCTGCGGTGCCCTGGTGATGCTGGAATTCGGCACTGGGATTCCTCGATCCGGGGGCATCAAGGTCTATCTGGAACGATCTTTCTCCCCTCGGCAGCTGCAAACATGCATCTATCTCTTCTTCTGCTTGTTCCTGCAGGTCTCTGCCAGTAACGCCATCACCGCCTCGGAGTATCTCCTGTCAGCGGCCGGAGTCGAATCGACGACCTGGAAGGAACGAGGGCTGGCCATTGCGGCCGTGTCCTTTGCCGTGGGCGTCCACACGGTCGCTCCTCGGATCGGACGGGCGATGCAGGATGTCCTGAGTATGGTCAAGCTCTTCACTCTCCTATTCATCGTGTGCACGGGGTTTGCCGCTCTGGCGGGTCATCGACGCATCCCTAATCCCCACAACTTCGACGTGAAGACATCCTTTGAGGGCACCTCCAACAATGGATATGATATCGGCACTGCTCTTCTGGACGCCATCTTCTCGTACCAAGGCTACGACAATGTGAATGCCGTTCTCTCCGAGGTCAAGAATCCGGAACAGACACTCCGCATTGCCCTTCCCTGCGCCATGGGCATCATCACGGTGTTGTATGTCCTCGCCAATGTAGCTTATGTGAGCCTCCCGCCAATCCTGGCTGTAATAAGGTGTCGTGGCTGATCCTTCTGTTAGTTCGCTGGTGTATCCAAGGAGGAATTCCGAACCGCCAGTGTCACGATTGCTGCCAGCCTCTTCCGCAATGTGTACGGCGAGACTGCCGCAACCCGAGCCCTACCCGCTCTTGTGGCGTTGTCCGCTATCGGCCATTTGCTGGGAGTCGCGTTTGTCGTCCGTAAGTCTGATTCTATTCTGATATTGAGGATTGAACTAATGGCCTACGGTGCAGCGCGTCTGCTACAAGAGCTCGCAAAAGACGGCATTACCCCATTCCCGAATCTTATGATGCAGAACCGCCCATTCAAGACCCCCATCGCAGCCCTGGTCGTGCATCTTGGCGTCACGATTCTATTCATCTGCGCTCCACCCGCGGGGGAAGCCTTTACATTTGTCGTCGGACTCTCCTCCTATCCTATGTGCGTGATGCTGACAGCGATCACGGTGGGACTGGTGAAGATGCGCCTCTCGCCGTCCGAGGGCTGGTCGTCGTCCTACACCGCGCCATGGGCGGTCATTGCCTTTTACCTGGCGGCCAATATCGTACGTCGCTTTGCTTTCTCCCCGAGTATTGACATTTGCTGATGAAGTCGTAACTGCAGTTCCTTCTAGTCATGCCGTTTGTTCCGCCTAACTCTGCCAAGTCGAGTATTCCGTACTGGTTGAGTCCGGTGGTAGCACTGGGGATTCTGGGGCTCGGAGTGATTTACTACCTTCTACGATTCGTGCTACTGCCTTGGGTATTTGGCTATGGTCTTCATCCGGTGACGAAAGACTTGACGGATGGGTCGCAGGTCACTCGCTTTATTATGCAGAAGAACGGTTCTCGTGATGGAAGTGGCGAAAGTTCTGCTTGGTTATGAAGCTGAAGGAGACAGTACAGGGCCTATAAATGTCGGAACTACACCCTCGCACATCTGACCCTAGATGGACAAGATGCGTCCATCAGACTCGAGCTTCGAGGCACAGGAAACGGATGCAAGGCGGTTGGCAGCTCTGCATGACAGCTAGGAGCCGGGAGCAGAGTGCCCGTGCATACTGCGGTGCCATTGCTGCACATAATGGGCTTACACTCAAAACATATCAATCCTGGGATCTTGGTGGACATGCGGCCGTATCTCCCCCATGAATAATGGCGCATGGCTAGTCTCAACTGAGCGGACAATCTGGTTTTAAAGACCCATTCAAGGGATCCCGCAGAATCAGAGACCCTCAATTTTCAGCATGCTAACAGCCGGGAGTCGTGTTTGAGGGTGGCTGAAGAGCAGTGATGTTCCACTAGGACGTCTCGTGGCTACTGACCGAGTTAAATTGGTGTATTCTTTTGTCGACCTAGGATGGTCGAAATTCTCTTCCTCTAAATATTGGGTCTAGGTATCTGCCTGGCGTTGAATGTCTGCTTTATAGGCTATAAAAACATAGTTGGAGATGACGATGTCTTAAGAGCGCTGAGTTGCCAACGCATCCCCCACACCCAGTCTTTAATAAGTCGAAAATATGACACATAACCCATTTGCTCGAATGCTCTACATCCATGCAACCATGGCTGCGGTAAGATAGAAATCAAAGATAACTGTACGTGATTGGACAGTAAGAGATAAGCTTTGTGTCATGGAATAACTTTATTATAGATTTGACATAGGCAGACCCCACGGGGTAGGACTCCACCTACTTGAAAATAAGTAGGGAAAATTACTAGAGCGGACAGTAGTGCCAAACTAGTGTCATATCATCTCACTCAAGTCTCAGCAGTGACAAATCGCCGCATAAAAATGGCTGTGTTTCTGCCAAGCAACGGGACTGACTCAAATCGAATGAGAAGCCCCAAAGGAGAGCCCGTGCACAAGACGAATTCCAGTTTCGATGTAGGAATGAATACCGCACATTGGTCTTGTCTAAGCCAGGTGTTTAGAAGGTCTTTGCTGTATCTTGATCATATTAGACTTTATATCTTTTTTTTCCCTTTGTTTCTTTGTTGCTTTTTATTTCTTTTTTTTTCCTTCTTTTCCCTTTGTTTCTTTCTTTCTATACATCCGCATAAACATCAGCCGGCCACTCCAAAAAATACTCGCGAAACTGGCGCGGCGCGATCCAATTACTCAACCGCTGAATATGTTTTTCAAAAATCATATTCAACACCGGACCGTCCTCCGACTCCACCACAATGTCCTCCGAGTCATATGGCCAATTCACATTGATATGCGCCGAGAATAATGGCACGGGGCGGTATCGCTTCGACAAAATGAACAAAACAAGTAGAAGGACAGTCCTGGCAACATTACCAGCGTATTGTGAAAAATACTCGACAAGTGGATCCCAAACCAAGCTAACAATCCTTAGCTCGTATACCTATCTGACCATATCTAGATTCCCCCAGCCTTGGCCCTTCAAAGTTATAAATTCACTTCCCTCCCTCTTTCCAGACCAAACCATCCATACCACTCTTCCTTTCTCTCAAAGATCCCAAACAGCATTCATCATGACGACCCCCAACAACCTAGCCGTCGTCATCTGCCACGGCTCATACCAAACCCCTGCCCCCTACGAGCCCCTCATCCAAAGCCTCCAAGCACACGGAATCGACGCCTATTGTCCCCAACGCCCAACCTGCGATCTCAACAGACTCAACGTCGGCGACGTAAACCATCCCGACTTTGACCGTGAGCCTCCAGCCGGCGGCTACCCGAGTGACACGGAGGACGTGGACGTCGTCATCCAGCTTGTCGAGAAGCTAGTCAATCAAGACGGCAAACTAGTCCTTCTAGCAGCACAATCCTCCGGGGGCTGGGTCGCTACCCAAGCCGCCGCGCACGCGTTGCAAGCCAAACCTCGTCAAGCTGTGGGCAAAGCGGGCGGGATCATCGGGTTGTTCTACATGGGGGCCTTTGTTATTCCCGTTGGGGAGTCCGTGACTAGTTTCTTTCAGCCGAAGGATGGGAGTTTTCATACACCGCCATTCATGCGGTTCCATGTAAGATGCACCATCTCACCAAGGTACTCTTGAGGAATTTCGCTGACAGGTGCAGAAACACGGCCACACAGGTCTAGGGACGGCCGTCGACGCTCCTCGTTATATGTTCAATGACATTGACCCTGAGGAGGCGGAGAAATGGGCTGCCACGCTGACGGCATCTCCGATTATGACGGACAGATTGACCAACGATGCTTATTCGGTGTTGCCTTGTGCGTATTTGGTGTTGGAGAATGATTTGTGTCTGGCGAAGGAATACCAGGAGGGGATGATTGCGTTGCAGACTCAGAGGGGGGCTGGGTTCACGGTTTATTATGCTCCATCAGGTCATTCGCCTCATCTTAGTTGGACGGGTGGGGTGGTGGAGAAGATCGAGGAGTTTGTGGGTAAGATTTTGAAGGAATAGAGGCTTGTCCTTCAGAAATTCTCCGTTGTGGTTGAGATGGTGTTGTTTTAAGTTTATAACATGTCCTGGCATCTGAATAGCACCAACTGATCCCATTTTACTTTGACTTTCCAACCGAGCCATCCTCTCTTCTCTCCCCCGTAACATCTGTTCTGCCTTTTCAGCCCCCAACCATACAAGAAAATTTCCGACAACCTTAATCTTGATCTCCACTTTTATTGTTCTTGGCGTCATCTTTTCCGAGTCAGCCAATCATGACCTCCGATAAAGCTCCGCATGCCATGCCGGTGCCCTGGTGGCCCCACAAGTACTGTAGATCCCGTTTAGCAAATATTGATGCTGCAAATAATTACTTTCGATCAAAGGCACACACGAGGCTGATCGGTATCTTAGTAAGTTGTATTCAATTTTGGGTATTTTCCAGAACTACGACCGAGTAGTGGATTCTTTCAAGTCCCCCTTCATTAGGCCTTCTAGCATTCCAACAATGGCTGAACGCGGAGAAGGCAATCAATTGCATAGTTCACACACGCGAAATCTACGAGACTAGGGTAATGTATCTATACTCCTTGGTTCCTTGTTCCGGGACAAGCAGGGAAATAGGGCAGTTCTCTCGAGCTTGGAAGATGGCCGCTAGCCATGAGAGGATAAGGCTAGGTACCCGGTAGGGTGGTAGTACTTCTGTAAGGGTACCTGGGTGATTGGGTTCTCACCAAGTCGGGCAAGATGCAATATGAATGGCCTGGCTTCTTATCTACGGCATACATATCTGCTTGACTGTTGAACCACCACTCTCGATTCGAACCAATACATTTTGACAATAGCTATATGTGTCTTCGTCAGAAAGTCACCGTCAGGCAGAACTAAGGGAAGTTTTTGTTGTAAAAATGTGCTGAGGAGGCCAGTTGCTCGGACTGTTTGGTTGACTATTTTTGATATGTTACGGTGGCGGCTGGTGAATGGTGTCCAGTCCATATCGTCTTGTAAGTTTCACGACGAAATACCGATAACAACGGTTTGAAGATATAGGAACAATTAAGCTAGTTTGAACAGATAGAATTGGGCAACAACACGCCCCCAGATTGTGACTCAGTCATCGGCCACTCCATAACAACCAATTGTTTTCAGGTGGACCCGGAGAGTCGATGTTCAATATCTCAATGTGGATACGAGATAGTGCCCTAATTAACAGTAAAACGATGATATGTCAGCCCCGAGATAGTACGCCATGGTAGCAGAGCTAGTTACATTATTTCTCTAGTACCATTGGAGTACTACGAAGTAGGGAAGTTGATAAGTACCGTCATAGTTGGCGTGGCTGCTGTTCTCCGGGGTGCGGCGGAAAGATGCACAAAAATATATTTTTCTCACCACATTCCATTTCGAACGCAAATATTCTTTCCACTACACTCAAAAAGATATTTGCGCGGAGAGACCACACCCAATGTAAATAAAGACACACGCAAGCGAGACATGTAGCTCAGTTTCGTCTTGGTCAACTCACACCATAGTAACAAACCGACGACGGTCTCAGGTAGATGATTTGTGTGGGCCGGTTGATTTTGGCTTATAGTGTCAATGATTGTTCGTCTTTTCAACAATCAGGCCGGCTGGCCCAATGGTAAGGCGCTTGACTACGGATCAAGAGATTGCAGGTTCGAGTCCTGCGTCGGTCATTCTTTTTGTTTTTTGGGGGGATTGTGGACGGTCCACTTTTTACCTCACTAGGGCTATCCGCATTCCGTGGTAATCGGTAGGGGACATGCTCTGACATGCAAGTATAGATTGGATATTAGTAGTGGAACCAGGCGAACAATTTCCTTCCATGTCGCAACCTGGGACTTATTCGTATTCGTTCCCCCCTTATGATTCCGCATATGCAACACCCGGCTTCGTCCAGCACACATGGGTGCACTTTCCAAGTAACACGGTATCAACCCAACCATTTCACATTCAACTCGATCAACTCTATCATTCAAAGACTATCAAGACAGCAATATGTCCACCTTTTATTCCGTCACACCTAAGCATTCTCCTCGGCAGGCTTCGGAGGAAAGATCGACTGTACATCACCCAACTCCGCCCAAGAAGGATAAGTTGACTGTCCATCGGGCCCCAGATTGACCACCTTCCCATCATCCACATACTGCTCGACCCAGCCTAGGGTAGCGACGGTGTGTACGAGATTGACGTACGGCCCTTCGCTGGCCTGCAGAGCCTGGAACTCGGGGTCGTTGCGGACATTGTTCATGGCGAGAAAGTTCCGGAAGTAGAATTCGATGGTGAGGTCGTGGTCCTATTGGAATTAGAGATCCTGTAGGAGGTGGTGGGGTATTGGATCGTACATCAATGACCCAGCCACGATTGTTGCGGCGGCTTGATTCTCCGAGGGCTTCACGGAATGCTAGGGGGTGGTAGACCTAGTAATACAGAGAGAATGGTAAGCTATCTGGTTGGGTGGAGATGTTAATGGGTATAAGCACACCTGCTGATACTTCTCAATGCCGTGCTTCGCAACTATAACAGCAACCTTGGCGAGATATTCGCGGGCAAACTTCTCTCTCGCCTCGTTGGAGCTGTTTGCCTGGTTGCGGTAGATCTGCAAGGTCAACCGCAAAAGACGACCGGGAGCAGATGCAGGAGTAGTCATGGTGAGGTGGGTATGATAAAATGCGTGTTAGTTGATTCACGACGGTCTTTTCTTTGCTTCAATGGAGGTTTCCTCGTGGACAGGTATATAAATATCGAGGAAGCTCATGATGTCACGGATTTTAGCCGGAGATAATATCTCCTAACACCGCACTGCGGTGATATAAAGAAGATGATATACCAGGGATGTCGAGCTGCCTCGGTTGTAAGATCGGGGTAGGATGATCGGAGCCCCGACTCGCCGATCGAAGGATAAGAGAAGTGTCCAATGGGCGGAGGGATAGGTTGCGAAAATGCTGACTGTGTCTGCTAATCATGGCCATATCGTCTGAGAGATCGTTCACTCGCTAGCGCTGATGCATTTGACCCACCCAAATGCCAGTGAGTAAGATGACATATTTTCCCAAATAGGTAATCATTTCTATAAAATCGAAACATCAAAATGCACGATAGACCATGGGAGCAGTCGTTTCGGCCCCTCATTGGCGAAGATGCGATACTGCTCCTCTCAGCTCTCCCGGCGATGAGGTCAGGCTTTCTAATCCTCGGATATGTCTAACCTACGGTTTGATGATTATCTTCTTGAATGTTCATGGTTCTCGGACTTAACTCACCCAAACCCCGGTCATAAGAACATTGTATCTTCCAGGAAGAACAATAGCAGCCTTTCAACATGCTTTGCGTTTCCTCTTCGGCTCCCAGTGTCGAGGGGATGATAATAGCATATGCCGGAGGGAGATATGGCTCCTTGACTCCAGGTCGATGTGGGAGTGGAATGTCCCTAGGTCTAGGAAACATATATATCACACAGATTGCTCCGGCCTCAAGACATTGAGTTGCACATCTTCTGAATGGCGTGCGCTCCTGCCATAAATTAGAGAACAATATGACACTAAGCGTATATTTCTCATTATCCTAGCAAAAGAAAAACTAAAACGTAGGGCGAATCCTAGAGTGTCCCTACTCTGGCTGGAGTGGATTTTGCGCAACAAACATTAATTGCCCTCATATAGCATTTGTTTTCCTTGCTTTAACATCTCTAGGCAAGATGGCCGAGTTGGTCCAAGGCGTCAGGTTAAGGTCAACCTTAATATCCAGCTTCACAGCTTCCTGATCATCGTTTGATGGCGTGGGTTCGAATCCCACTCTTGTCATATCTATTTGCTTTTTGTTTTGCTAGCTCCGCTCTGACCACATACATCCCCCCCTCCCCACTTCGGTATTTTCTTTTTCTCCCGTTCTTCCAAGAAATTCCGTACCCGTCTGGACCATGCTTGCTCCGCTGCATATATCATTGATTCTGGTTGCTTGGAAAAGCGCAATAATAATCTTGTTTTCTCCTGTTGTATTGGATTGGCTCTTTGTCATCCTTCTCCCGACTGATGTCTAGAAAGCAAATCCAACTTGGACGGTAGCACTCTATTTGGTCAACAATGTTTATTCAGACCCCGTTCTCTGTAATTCATATTGCTATTGCCAATGCGGCGCACGCAACCCCGGTTTGAGGCTACAGTGGGCAGCGAAGAGGCATCTATTCGCCCAGTGAAGGGGACACAGAATTGACTATCTGTCTAGCGTAGGAAGAAAAACATTGACAAGGTTGGGTATAGATGCTAGAAGGGCAAGCTGCCAAATATTGCAGAGGATTAGACCATTGGCACGCTGCTTCCTGTCAAAATGCCTAATAAGATTCCTTCATCGCGCGCTCCGCAACGGAGCGATACTCGGCACAATGTTTTCCAAGGCGTTTCATCCCCTCGCTAGTTGCACTTAAGCCCGCCGATGATAGAAAGGCCTCTGCCTGATCAAGAATCTTCATATTATAGATCTGGGAGGTATCGCGCGGATTGCGAACAATACTCGAGGCGAGTGTTTTCAATGCGACCGTGGGGTAATACATTGTTATACTGGGGGTTTATTAGTATAGTAAGCGCCAGGGGCAAGTAACGTACCCTAGGGAAATGTCATCCTGCGGGAGATACTTCATCATTTTGATCGAAGCACGGGCAGCTTTCGAGGTCAACGATGCCGACAGCAATACCCTGGGATTGGACAGAGAACCAGGCTGGATGGAGAAACCCGGGTCGTCCATGAGATCCTGGGCGGAATTGATGCCCCGGGCGGCGATAAGCGAATGGATAGCTATCATGCAGTTGTAGTACGTGTAATGGATGTGTAAAAGGCTCAACGAAATCGGGCACTGTCGGAAAGGTGCGATCCCTCGGGAGTCGGGCTGATATTCGGATGGGATGCTTTTCTTCCACGTTTGAAGTTTCTCGTCCAGCTGTCCGACCGATGCGAGGATCTGATGGAACGGTCTGTTTGCAGCCGAAGCAGAGTAGAGGTGTTGATAGACCTCGCCGCGGATCCGTGCGAGTTCGCAGACTGATCGGAAGGCACTGAAGCTTCCGGGTTGGTCGCTAGTTGGCATGGAGTAGATGCCACACGTTGGAGCTTCCATAGGGAGGGCTGTACTAATTGCTTCGTCGTTTTGCACTGGAGGTTCACCGAAACGAAAGGAGATTCTGGTTACGTTAGCTTGTTTCGCGTGCTAAAGGTGGACAGACGCACTCTCTATCCAAGCAATAAGCCAACCAGAAGACCGTCTGTCGCTGCTGTGTCTCTTCAACAGAGAGAGCCGATATATCCTCTGCCCTCCCCAGTCCCAGCTGGTCACTGATGTGTATAGCGACAGATATCAAAAAGTTGCACGGGCGGGCAGCCGATGCTGCTAGGAAAAGGACAGCCTACACCACTTTTAGTAAGGGGAGGAAAGTGCCGAGAAGGTAATCGTACCATCACTAGAAGGGCCTGGAGACCTTGGATATCCGGCGGGCCCAGATAGAGCTCACTGACGGCTTCCAAGGCATTTTTCAGGAATAGCCAACTTTTCTGATGGCCCGTTTCCGGCGAGGCTCCGTTCCGAGGGAGCATATATGCCACTGCCAGGATCGCGTTGATACTAGCCCACTGGCCTGGGCTTTGCGAACGCATATCAACCTGTCCCCCGGGAAACAGAAATGGGATGTCTGAATGTCTGAACACGGGGAACATGACGTTAAAGTAATCCATAAAGTGGTGCAGAAGATGTACGATTTCCTCCTGGGGTGGCAGCGGACAGAATACCCTCCTTGAAGAGACACAGTGGAGAGGATAATCGGCGATGAAGCCATCATGCTCCTCCGTCGAGACTAATCGCGTAAGACGATCCAGAGGTTCGTTGCCCGTCTTCTGTGCTATCCAGGCTAAACCCTCCGGAGAGATCAATGAGAAACCTGAATGTATCAGCCAAGAGTCTTATCAACAGTCATGCATAACGCACATCCAGTATTCAGTATACCGCCCAGATACCTTGGGACGTTAAAACATGATGGCATCGCTGGTGCCTTTAATTGCGTGAACAACTCGGGGATGTTCGGGGTCGGCGATCCCCCTATGGCGGGAATCGTACACTCTGGCTGCGGGTTTGCATAGATGTTCCCCAAATGCATCTCATCTGCAGCACCAGCCATCGGACCACCATCCATCATGCTCGTTGGCAAAGTGAACGCCGGAGCACTGCCTAGTATGTCCGACGGCGACGAGGCACCTATGATCTCATTATCGCCTACGGTGAAGCCGAGACCCTGCAAGCGAGATTCCATGCGCTCGATGGTTCCCTCTAGGTTATTAATCATCGCCTGTCTTTATCGATGATCAGTCTCACTTCCTCTGTACCTCAAGACCGGGCAACCGAGCCAGACCTTCTGAGATGAGCTTTGTGCCTCTGGAGGTTACGAGTGCATGAGATGCCCAGTTTCTCGCACTGGGAGCACTTGGCCTTGGTGGACAGATCGCATTTGGTTTTTCTGCGCTGGCATGTATCGCAGGCCTATTGAACCCATCAGCATGGTGACATTCTTATAGGTCAGGACCCGCACCTTTCTCCGGGTACTCTTGTCTGCAGTCTCCTTGCCTGGTTCAGGAGGGTAGGATTCTCGCGGGGTGGACGCGGGGATCCTTTGAGTGGAAGACCCCACGTCCTTGCTGATGTTGGACGGCCCATTCATTGTCTAAGCTGAGCATGATAAAGCAGCCACGAGGTCCAGTGGAGCAGGGGTAATATCGTCGGCGGGAAAACGGGGTTGACAAGGCACGCGGAAGGGGCACTTATGGTTCCACGGGAGTCCCTCCAGGAAATAGATAAATTCTACTATAAATTCCCAGATTCAGCCAGCAGAGGGGATCTCTCATTTGAGTCTTGACTAAGCTGGGATCTCCCAGTCTAGGCCCAGGGGTGATGAGAAGATGTCAAGGAACTGGCAGAGGGAGTCATTTTGGCCGCCCCCGTCGAACCGTCAATTTCCTCTAGAAAATGGACGGGGTCCAGGGGCGCGCCTCAAACCCACTTGAGACACGCAACGGTCGTGCCGGGATGTGCTGGACCCGAGAGCACCAAGCCATCCCATCTGGCGGCGAGAGTGGCGGATGGTTTGCAGCCCCCTGGAGGTCATGCTGTGTTTTGCGGCCGACCAGAATTCTGCTGACTTAGCAGTCACGGCTTGGCTGGCTAGTTTTGACCAATGGTGTCATGTTTTTGCCCGAACGCTAAACCCAATGCAGTAATCTTGGCGCCCCGGATGCCGGAAGTTCGAGAAAATGAATAACGGCATTGCGTATTGACGCGGTAAAGTTACCAACCGCCATCGCGCCTCTCGCGCCGATCTTCTCCCTCTTCTCCTCTCCTCCTCTCACCTGCCACGGAGTAGCGTCCGTTCTATCGACTCCATTCTACCGACTCAAAGATCGGTCGAGATGCATGAGATGAACACCTCATCGGACAACTAAATGACTGCAGACTACACCGCGTGGACTTTCCAGTTACACAACCATGTTTCTCCCAATCGATGCAGACCATGAAGCAACATCCAACAATGGGAGCGCTGAACAGATACACCGGGAACCGGCCGAATCCACGTGGGTCAGCATCCAAGGACTGCGATAAGGCCAAGGGTCCGTCCTCGAGAGTCACGGACTGGCCCGATTCGGGGTCTCCAGCACGCTGGTTGGTTCGGAATCCGGAGTCTCAGCACGAGTTCAGCCCCAAGAAACCAGATTAATAATCTGCTTTAGGCTTCGATATTCGGGCGGAACCCCGTTTTCTCCAGCGGGTCAATGTGATAGGGGTCGTTTACGCAATCTGGCTCGGGTCCCCGGAGGTTCCCTGCGCACGCTAAGCAGATTGTTCTGACTGACCTCCTCAAAAGTCCATTTGTCACTGCCAAAAATGGAGATCCCAAGTTCCGGAAGCGGGTCCGCTGGAACTTTCTTTGCCGAAGGCTGCTTATTGACCTCAATCTTGGTGGGCCGTCGGACGCCCACTCCCGGGGCTTATAGTTATATAACCCGTGATCTACTGCCCCAGTCACTTTGCGTCGGGCTGAAAACTGAACACACCTCGCTCTCGTCTGTGAACTGGCCAGATTACAGCCCATCGTTCTATCTGCCGGTTGTCCCTACACTGAGCACCACACGGCTCACGGGTCGGTGCTTGCTTGGAGGAGTCTCGCGTGAACCCGGCATCTACTCAACATGTCGTTCATCGCCACGACTAATCCGAATTCCTCTCGGGCCCAGGCGGTGGTCAGCCACAACCTGCCCCAACTGCAGGGCAGCCCAGACCTGGACAATGCCGTTCACGGACCCCCCGGGACCGCATACACCGAGAAATCTGAGCAGAGAAGCGAAGATGACGAGACCTTGCAGGAGAAGGAGGAGAAGATCGAAGCTCGGGTGGGCGATCTGGCTCGACAGCTCACGCGTCAATCCACTCGCTTCTCCACCAAAGGCGCCCTGGAGAATCCCTTTGCCGTGGACGACCCGGAATCGACCCTCAACCCCCACAGCCCCAACTTCAAGCCTAGAGACTGGATCAAGATGCTGCTCGCCATTCGTTCGCGTGACCCCGAGAAATACCCCGACCGTACAGCAGGTGTCGCATTCCGGAATTTGAATGTCCATGGGTTTGGATCGCCGACTGACTACCAGAAGGACGTGCTGAATTCACTGCTGGAGCTAGGGACCTTGTGTCGGAAGCTGGTCGGTATGAAGATGCAGAAGATCCAGATCCTGCGCGAGTTCGACGGTCTCGTCAGAAGTGGTGAGATGGTGGTGGTGCTGGGAAGGCCAGGTAGTGGCTGCTCCACCTTTCTCAAGACCATTGCCGGCGAGATGAACGGTATCCAAATGTCAGAGGACTCTGTCCTGAACTATCAGGGTACGTGCTCCTCATTTCAATGCTGATTGTGGCGCTGACCATGACGTGATTAGGCATACCCGCCAAGGAGATGCAAAAATCCTTTCGGGGCGAAGCCATTTACAACGCCGAGACCGATGTCCACTTCCCCCAACTCTCCGTCGGTGATACTTTGGCGTTTGCCGCTCTCGCAAGGGCCCCGAGGAATCGCTTGGAAGGGGTCAGTCGGAAGCAGTATGCAGAGCACATGAGAGACGTGGTCATGGCCATGCTGGGGCTTTCCCATACGATCAATACCCGGGTTGGCAATGACTTTGTTCGCGGAGTCAGTGGTGGTGAGAGGAAGCGTGTCAGTATCGCGGAGGCAACCTTGAGTCAGGCACCACTGCAGTGCTGGGACAACAGTACGAGAGGTCTCGATAGTGCCAATGCCCTGGAGTTTTGTAAGAATCTGTCTCTGATGAGCAAGTACTCGGGCACGACGGCTTGTGTTGCCATCTACCAGGCCTCTCAAAGTGCATATGACGTGTTCGACAAGGTGACCGTACTTTATGAAGGACGTCAGATTTATTTCGGGCGAACGACCGAAGCCAGGCAGTTCTTTGTGGACATGGGCTTTGAGTGTCCGGAGCGCCAAACGACCGCTGACTTTTTGACATCGCTTACCAGCCCAGCGGAGCGCCAGGTCCGTCCTGGGTTTGAGAACCGCGTCCCTCGCACGCCGGATGAATTTGCAGCAGCATGGAAGCAGAGCAGCGCAAGAGCTGCCCTAATGAGGGAAATTGAAGAATTTGAACAGCAGTATCCCATTCACGGCTCTTCATACGATGCTTTTCTAGATGCCCGCAGAGCCATGCAGGCGAAAAATCAACGCCTCAAGTCTCCCTACACGATCTCCGTGTGGGATCAGATTTCCCTGTGCACAACCCGTGGATTCCAACGTCTGCGTGGAGATTTCAGCTTAACGGCCAGTGCATTGATTGGAAATTTCATCATCGCCTTGATCGTGGCCTCCGTTTTCTTCAACCTCCCTGATACCACGGCTAGCTTCTACTCTCGCGGAGCGTTGTTGTTCTATGCCGTCCTTCTCAACGCGTTCTCTAGTGCCCTTGAAATCTTGACGCTCTATGCCCAACGTCCAATTGTGGAAAAGCAGTCCCGATACGCCTTCTATCACCCGTTTGCAGAGGCCGTGGCATCAATGTTGTGCGATACGCCTTATAAGCTGATAAACTCGGTCACATTCAATCTCCCGATGTACTTCATGACGAACCTCCGCCGGGATGCCGGCGCCTGGTTCACCTTCTGGATTTTTTCCGTGGTCACCACATATACTATGTCCATGATTTTCAGAACCATTGCATCGACGTCCCGGTCTCTTTCACAAGCCCTGGTTCCTGCCGCCATCTTGATTCTTGGCATGGTGATCTACACCGGTTTCGTGATCCCTACCCGGAACATGCTTGGCTGGTCCCGCTGGATGAATTATATCAATCCCATCGCGTACGCCTTTGAAAGTTTCATGGTCAACGAATTCTCCGGACGCCACTTCTCCTGTTCATCGATTGTTCCCTCTGGTGGTCAGTATGACTCGGTCTCGATGGAACATCGGATTTGCTCCACGGTCGGTGCGCAATCGGGGTCGACCATCGTGGATGGAACCACCTATCTGCGGGAAAGTTATCAGTATACCAAAGGACACGAGTGGCGAAACATAGGCATCTTGATCGCGTTCATGGTGTTTTTCTGCGGTACCTACCTTGCGGGCACTGAATACATCTCCGAGCAAAAGTCCAAGGGTGAGGTTCTTCTGTTCCGTCGCGGCCACCAGCCAAAGCTCCCACAGGGGTCGGATTTGGAATCGTCCACCACGTCTGGCGGTGCGGTCAAGACCGATGCCTCGGGTCAAGACACGGAGGTTCGTATCCAGAGACAGACGGCTATCTTTCACTGGCAAGATGTCTGTTACGACATCAAGATCAAAGGAGAGCCTCGCAGGATCTTGGACCACGTCGACGGCTGGGTGAAGCCCGGCACCTGTACCGCCCTGATGGGGGTCTCTGGAGCTGGTAAGACTACCCTGCTTGATGTCTTGGCCACACGTGTTACCATGGGAGTCGTCACGGGCGACATGCTTGTGGATGGACGCCCGCGGGATCAGTCGTTCCAGCGCAAGACCGGCTACGTGCAACAGCAGGATCTACATTTGGCTACCTCTACCGTTCGTGAGGCACTCCGATTCAGTGCCTTGTTGCGTCAGCCCGCCCACGTCAGTCGAGAAGAAAAACTGGAGTACGTTGAAGAAGTGATTCGACTACTGGGCATGGAGGCCTATGCCGACGCCATCGTCGGTGTGCCCGGAGAGGGCTTGAACGTTGAGCAACGTAAGCGATTGACGATCGGCGTTGAGCTGGCCGCTAAGCCGCAGCTGCTCCTCTTCCTGGATGAACCTACCTCTGGTCTTGACAGTCAGACTTCGTGGTCAATTCTGGATCTGATCGATACCCTGACCCAACATGGCCAAGCCATTCTCTGCACCATCCATCAGCCTTCCGCCATGCTGTTCCAGCGCTTTGACCGTCTTCTCTTCCTGGCCCGTGGCGGCAAGACCATCTACTTTGGCGAAATCGGCGAGAATTCCACCACGCTGTCCAATTATTTCGAACGGAACGGCGCGCACCCCTTGTCCCAGGGAGAGAACCCTGCCGAATGGATGCTTGATGTGATCGGAGCCGCCCCGGGTTCCCACACCGATATCGATTGGCCAAAGGTCTGGAGGGAGAGTCCGGAGCACACCAAGGTCAAGGAGCATCTCGCGGAATTGAAATCGACGCTGTCCACCCAGGCTCCGGACAACTCTGACCCTGAAGCGTTCAAGGAATATGCTGCACCGTTTGGGGTCCAGCTGTGGGAATGCTCGCTCCGTGTCTTTGCCCAATACTACCGCACTCCAAGCTACATCTGGTCAAAGACCGCCCTCTCAGTGCTGACCGCCTTGTACATTGGCTTTTCGTTCTTCCACGCCAGCAACTCCGTGCAGGGCATGCAAAACCAGATGTTCAGTGTATTCATGTTGATGACCATCTTTGGCAACTTGTGTCAACAGATCATGCCCCACTTCGTCACCCAACGATCCCTCTATGAGGTTCGCGAACGCCCATCGAAGACCTATTCCTGGCAGGCATTCATGACGGCCAACATCTTCGTGGAATTGCCGTGGAACACCCTCATGGCCGTGCTCATGTTCGTCTGTTGGTACTATCCGATCGGGTTATACAACAACGCGAAGCCCACCGATGCGGTGAACGAACGAAGCGGCCTCATGTTCCTGCTCATCTGGGTGTTCCTGCTGTTTACCTCCACCTTCGCCCACATGGTGATCGCTGGAATCGAACTAGCCGAAACCGGTGGTAATATCGCCACGTTGCTATTCTCCCTCTGCTTAATTTTCTGCGGTGTTCTGGCAACCCCAGAGGCTATGCCCGGGTTCTGGATCTTCATGTACCGGGTCTCCCCCTTCACGTACCTGGTATCGGCCATGCTCTCCACCGGACTCTCCGGGACCACGGTGACCTGCGAAGCAGTCGAGTATCTGACCTTCAATCCGCCCAACAATGAGACCTGCCAGGAGTATATGGCGTCGTATATCAGCTCCGCGGGCGGCTACCTGAAGGACCCGTCGGCCACATCGGATTGCGCGTTCTGCACCATGAGCAGCACGGATACCTTCTTGGCTTCGGTGTCCAGCTCGTTCTCCGATGCCTGGCGCAACTTTGGCCTGATGTGGGTGTACATCTTCTTCAACATTGTGGCCGCGGTGGGCATCTACTGGTTGGCCCGTGTACCGAAGGGCAAGAAGGTGTCGGGGACGACCTAATCCGCATTTCACCTGTCCATATGCCATCATTTGTCGGGTGCGCGGCACATTTAATTAGCACCCATTCATATACCTCTGCTTCGGCAATACAATCAAGCCCTTTCTTCGATTTCCTGCAGGATTCAGTCTTGCTTTTTTTTGTCATTCTTTACCCGGTTCACTTCTCGTACTATACTACCTTGGGAACTGTACACTGCACTTTGATCTTGTTCGATTCTGCTGATTTCTCTTCAACTTGACTGTTCTTCTAGAATAGATCTCTTCTTATTACATAGATTACTATATCAAATATACATTTCGGGCTAAACCTTCATCAGATAAGATAATTCTCGGGATGGGGCGCAAGTGACACGACTGAACATCACCCACCTGGACTTGAAAAATAATAACCAATAGATTAAATGAAGGTATGCTGACCAAAAACAGAACCCCCAAAATAGGTCCAGTCCTACTTCTGGTAGGAGGTGGAAAAAAATGTCCCGAGGGAGGTTCGAACTCCCGGCCTTGGGATCGCATGGAAGTTATTGCTTCCACGTCATACTGGATATATGAGACCCACGTGATAACCAACTACACCATCGAGACAAGTTGTTAGGTTGCTACTCCGAGGTATGCTACTTCAACACTGCCACATGGATAGATATTCCACTCTCAGTTGCATACTGGAACTGTTGTGGTTACCGCTACGCAGGGTTGGGGGATGAGTGCTGAGTGGGGTATTTCCGATTGGAAAATATATCAGAATCTGATAGGATGTCTATTTTCGCCTTTTCATGCGACATCAGCTGATTTGGAATCGGATGGTGAATCAAGCTTGATTAAGCTTTATTGGATCTTGGCGGGTTGACGGCGGAGATTTATGTCGGCGGGTATGGTACAGGGGTATGAAGTGCGAGACCCAAGTCTGCTGGAAAGGCTAACGAAGTGTTGGCTCACCGGAGTCACCTAACCTCACATAACCCAGCACAACGGGACATAACCCTGGATATGCAGGACTCATCGTGCCACGATGAGCTGCGACCCGGCCCGATGCTCGGGCAAATCGTGATCCGCCCCAAACTTAAAAGACCCCCCTGAGACCAGTGGAGCCCGACCGATCAGCGCTAAACAACCCTGGCCAGCGCCCCTCCCCGACGTTATATTCTATCACCACGCCAGAAACCCTCCCCCCCCTCCTGAATTTCGTTCCCACCACCATGGAGAAAGTCACCCTTCGAGCCGAGGCCCTGCTCGGCCGTCTCCTCCGCAACCAACGAGGTCGCGACGCGAAGCTTCTCACCCGGGTCAGTCCAGCCCTTCAAACCCTACCACCCACCATCACCATTACTTCCTCCGTGGGGTCATCGCCCGCGCCGCTACCAAAGGAATTCACCCCGTTTGGCGAGAACCGTTTCCCGCCGCTGTCTTGGACCCTCCCCAGCGACATTGCCGCCGACCAAATCCACAGCTACGTGCTGATCGTGGAGGATCCGGATGCGCCGCTGCCTAGCCCCGTCGTGCACGGGGTGTATTACGGGATCTCCGCGGACAAGACCGCCATATCATCAGACGATGTGGTCCTCGCGGACGCGCCCACCCGGACCCTGCAGGGTGGGTTTCAGTATGGGGTGAACTTGCGCCAGACTGTGTGGAGTGGGCCGCGGCCGGTCCTGGCACACGGTCCGCATCGGTATTTCTTTCAACTGGTGGCGTTGGGACCACCGTTGGCAGTGGGGGAGAAGCCCCTAGGCAAAGGGGAGTTGTTGGAGGCGTTGGGGAAGAGTACGGTGGTGGCGTGGGGGGAGTGGGTGGGCACGTATGTGCGGGATCCTTAGCTTGCTGCTTCGTATGTGCTTGTGCTGGTGGCTGTTAGTGGTTGGATACCCTGAGTGTAATGAGGGATGGGGTTGTGCAACTTGCAAGGGTTGCAATGCAGCGGTGATTAATCTTATGGTAATTATACCTTGGCTGTCTGGTCAGGTGATCTGGCATGCCCTTCTTTCTAAATTCCCGGATTTTCCATCTGGCTCCATTGGCAATAGACGGTATCGCTTAGGATTACCGCATTCTATTATTCTCCTATCCCACTCTGATCAGCTAGCGAACAGCCACACTGCGTCTCCAATGAGGCCGGATTGCGGCGGCGCCACAGAACTAGCGGAACCATGCAGATCGGCGGTTGCCTGATCGTCCACTCTAGACCCACTCAGATCGTACAATTTTCTAGTGACTGACAATGCAAGCGGCTACTGACAGCCCGATCTCCTCATCTAGTCTAACGGACAGCCGTTGGAGGCAACAGGACTACATGTCAATAGACCCGATAGCTGTCATCGAGTCATCCAGCCACAAAGTCAACGCATGTGGCTAACGATACGGTCGAAATCATCTATCTGAAACGGTGATGCTGTACGGTTCGGGCGAGAAACTTTGAGATCAGTGCCAAGCATCGACCCACCGAATAGTCTACGGGGCAATCAATGGTGCAGCGCATTGCTGGCTGCAACTCGCTTGGAAACTTACATCCATCCTAGACTGCTGTGCATGCACCGGACATACACTTCCGAGCTCCGAGTAGGATGCATCCACACGATTCAGCTGCGCTCAGAATCTGCCAGATATCTCCAGTCCGGTCCAGATATCTGTGACGGTTCCTCGCCCCTCACCGTCAAGTCGACACAACCCAGCACTGAGCCACCATGATGCGCGACGAAAAACCCCAGCTTGATTCCAGCAGCAACAGCCCTGCTGAGTCCGAGAAAAGCCCAGTATCTAGCCGCACCGAGCCCGACGTCGTGGTTGTCGTAAGTCCTGTTCACCCACCACGAAACTCTCCCTCACAGTATTCAGGACTGGGACGGCCCCAACGACCCGGAGTATCCACGAAACTGGTCCAACGGACGAAAATGGCTGAACGTGCTTCTCATCTCCCTCCAAGGGACTCTCTCTCCCATCGCCTCCACCATCCTCACCCTCGGAGTCTTCGACATTGCCATCGAGTTCCATCTCACCAGTCCATACACCCCCGTCCTGCCCATCGCCTTCTACCTCGTCGGACTAGCATTAGGACCCCTCGGCGTAGCACCATGCTCGGAAATCTTCGGCCGTCGACCCGTCTACACCATCTGCTTCGCCATCTTCACCCTGCTGAACGTCGGATGTGCCCTAGTCCACAACATGCCCGGCCTCGTCATCCTACGCTTCCTCGCAGGGGTGGCCGGCTCCGCGGGCCCCAGTCTCGGCGGGAGCAGCATCGGGGATCTCTTCTCGCACGAAGAACGAGGCAAAGCCCAAGCCGTGTACGGTCTCGGACCCATCTGCGGTCCGGTTCTCGGCGGCGTCGTGGGGGGATTCATTGCCTACGGGACGAATGGCTGGCGATGGATGCTCTGGGTGGTGACTATAGCCGCTGGCGTGGTGACGGGTTTGGCCGTGGCGTTTCAGAAAGAAACCTATGCGCCGGTGTTGTTGCAGCGGAGGAAACGGGCCCTGGAGAAGGCAAACCCGGGGACGGTGTATTGGGTCGAGGGGGAGTCGGATGCGACGAAGGTGTTTCGACAGTCGATCTTTCGTCCGCTACGGCTGTTGTTCTTTTCGCCGATTTGCACGTTTATGAGTTTGTATCTGGCCCTGTACGTCCATTCCTTCCTGTTTCTTCCAAAGACTACTCTGCCTACCGGGACATGTTACTAACAAAGCAGTGTCTTCGGCCTCCTCTACCTCCACATGGTCACCATCACCCTCCTCTTCTCCTCCCACCCGGAATACGGTCTCTACAGCTACCACTGGACGCACGGCACCACCGGCTTGGGCTTCCTCGGCGCCGGCCTCGGCGCCTTCGCCGGCGTCGCCTTCTGCATGAAATACTCCAACCCATCCTACCGGTACTTCGCATCCCGCTACGCTCAACAAACCGGAGTTGCCACCCGCATGCCCGAATTCCGCCTCCCCTTCATGCAAGTCGGCATGCTGATCGTCCCCATCGGACTAGTGATTTTCGGCTGGACGGCCGAATACCACGTCCATTGGATCGTGACGTTGCTGGGGGCGGGGATATTGGGGTTGGGTATGGTGACGGCGTATATCTGCGTGCAGTCGTATTTGGTCGATGCGTTTGAGGAGTATGCGGCGAGTGCGTTGGCGGCGGCCGTGGTGGCGCGGTTTTTGGTCGCGGCGGTGTTTTCGGTCGTGGGGTTTCAGTTGTATAAGGCGTTGGGGTATGGGTGGTATGTATTCCTTAGCCCCCATTATTTTTTGGTACGGTGAGGGTTATAGTGTGGGTTGTGCTGACAGTGTGGATAGGGGATCGACGCTGTTGGCGTTGATATGTTTGGCGGCGGTGCCGATTCCGTTCTTGTTGGGTCGGTATGGGCCGCGATTGCGTGGGATTGGGACCGGGGGGATGGTGTAGGCTTCGGGAGAGAGCTGTAGTGTGATCTGCCATGCTCTCGGGTCCGAGATCGGATGATGGTTCAGGGTTTTCAACGAGTGGGATCGGTTGCAGGCGAATCGGAGAAAGTATTGTGTCCTGAAGAATGGAGATGGATCCGAGGCAGATCAATAAAGCGCCACAGGGTTGACTGATCCACTTGCCCGGGTCTAGACTGTAGATATGTAGATGAGATGCAGTGGGGGCTGGGTCCACTAGCGCCGGATACCCGCGATCGTCCATCGCCGCGATCGTGAATCGATAGGCTGTCTACTATATCTCTTTCAGGGAGTCCCAAGGACGTAACAGGTAAGCCAAGGAATATCATGTGGATATCAGCCAATATGAGAAGGTCAGGACCGGCTTCTAGACCCAGATATTCTAGTCCTTGGAAAACTCCGAGGCTACGGCCCGGAACAATACCCTTGTCGACTGCATGCAAGGTCCTTAATGCAGGAGACGAAGTCCAGACAATGAGATCTTCTGGCTTGTTGGTTCTCGATTGGGACGTAATATATGCAATTCGGGAGATAGCGTAGGAAACCCACCCAAGCAATCTATACAGAATTAGGAACTACAATGGAGGCAATCAACTGCAGTCCCTGCAGGGGCATGTACTAGTGGCCTAATGGTTGGCTGAATACCTCTCCAGCCGGATTGCCAATTCCCCTAACACCCCTGACCCAACGACAGTCGTCCACATACATTAAGACTGCTCCTACCCAACCAGATTCCATCCCACTCTCCCACCCAGTCAATCTGTACCACCGCTACCACCACAATGAACCTCCTCACCCTAGCCCACGTCCTCCTCTTCCTCCCCCTAACCCTCGCCGCCACCCATCACAACCACCCCCACCCCCGAACCTCCTGCCCCTACCCCTCCACCACCGACATCACCACCATCTGGAACAAGCTCATCTCCGGCAACCCCGCCGGCTTCATCTCGCACTTCCGGCCCTTCCTCAGCTGGACCGTGATGGGCTCGCACCCGTTAGCCGGACACTACGAAAAACTCTCCCTCTTCATCGTGAACAGTGAAGGTCGTCTCTATAACGCCCTCGCCGGACAACCCACCTACACTCTCGTGAACGTGGTCGGGGGCTGTGAGAGTGAGTGGTCGGTGCAGGAGATGCGAATGCAAGCGGTTGCCAAGAACGGTAACTTACCCAATCCATATACCCCGGTTCGATAGTGGTTCAGGTGGCATCTGTACTAACCCGGCTATGTGACTGATGGGTGGGAGGTATAGGTCGCATCCTCGACGAAATCAACATCTGGGCCACGCGGTGGGACACCGAAGGCAAGGTGGTACAAGTCCGATCATACGTGGACGGATGGGCCACCGCTATGATCATCCACGAGAATGAGAATTGGTCGGATTCGACTTGGTTGACGAATCGGACGACGTATATGCCGGGGCCGAATGGGGTGGATTTGGGGTTGGTGGCGAGGGAGTTTGGGTGAGTTTATTCCTTCCTCCTTTTGAAAGTTGCTATTTTTGTTTTGGAGGTTGGTTGGTTGGGTTTGAAACGGGTATTGGGGTTGGGAATTGGGCTGGTAGGAGTTTGCTAATGTGGTTATTGGTGGGTGGGTAGGCAGAGTGTGGCGGATGAGATTGCGGGGGAGTTGAAGGGGAATTAATGGGGGTTATGGGTGTAGGGTGGGTGGTGTATGAAATTGGTTGATTTCGTTGGAAATATGTCCAAGGGGATTAGGGCTGTACTCTTCATTTACTGTTCTGGGGATTTTGTGGAGACCATTCTTATGTTCTTGTCACGGCGCTTATTCTGTACACCTCTGCAGGGGCTTTTTACATGGGTTCAACTTTGACAAGCCACTTACTTTTCTTTCATTGGACCCGTGGAAGACATAATGTAGTAGGTTGACAAGAGCTATGCCGAGCATATTGATTGATTGGATACAGTCACCGGTATAAGGTAGTTACCTGGCTGAAGGTAATTTAGCAACAGCAATACCCCCGAGTCTCAAGTAAACCTGCGCATCCAATCCCATCGTATCCAATAGGATCAATCCAACAAGGTGACCACTGAGTGACCTCGTCAACTCCTGCAACAGTGCTGAAATGGTATAACGACAGAGAAATATAGCAACAGATATTTGTCCCCTCGCCGGATCAGTGGTGATATAGTCAAGGCAGACCTTTCGACTCATCTCCATCACTTCAAGCGGATCCCTCGATATGTAAAACAGCTTGATTACCTTGCTCGAATGTGCTAGTCGGACGGAGGCTTTCTGTTTCTCATATATGGCGGTTGTCGTGCCCCATGGGTAATGAGCAATGTAACGATATCATCGTGGCCCGATTGGTACGCCCGAGAAATGGGGCTACTTCTTTCCTGGTCCTTCAAGTTGACATCCGCATGGTGGTCAATGAGCAACTGCACCAAGGATGTATGTCCCTTCCTGGCAGCCCACGTAAGAACCGTACCGGAGCCATGACCAGACGCAAACAAACAAGGAGTGAAATGAAGATGGAAAGCATAAATTTGAAATCAATCACGTCCACAGATTCAATTCAAGCAACAATGTAAGAAAGCTGCATCCTACTCCTTCTTATACATCCTACCCCTCCAGGTCTCAGAAATCCTCCATCCGAAACACACTATACGACGGCTGTTCATACGGATGCGCCCTACTCCCCCAGTCAGTCCCCCCCAGCAAACACAGTCCGGCACCACAGCAGCAATACATACCGCTTCAACGCCTCCACCGCCTGCCTGGCCACCTCCTCCCCCACACAGATGGTCTCGACCCGGATCTCCGGGGTCTCTTCCAGGGCCCCCACGGTCCCAATGTGGGGATTCGCGGCATCGCCCGGCCGGAATTGGCCCGTGCCGGCGGTGGTCCAGCAGCACTCGGTGTATTTGCCGCCCGGGTAACTGCCGGCGCCTGCGGCGAAGATGGCGGCTTTGCAGGCGGCCAGGCCGGCGGGAGGGACGGAGAAGACGAGGCGGAATTGCGAGGGGGGCATGCTTGTGAGAGAGGTTGATGATGGGTTGTTGATGGGTGGAAGAATGGTTGGAGAGGAGGGGGTGAATTCATGGAGGGAAACCCCGCACGCTTGCCGGATGCGGGATGGTGTCTGGCCCTAGTGAAGTCCTACAAAGAGAAATTGAATGGCTCGGAAGAGATATGAATCGATGGTAATGTTTTTTGACATCCGGTCTGTTATTCCGGTACTTTTCATATCCTTTCGGGAGTCACCTACGACTGGTAGTGGTACTGTGTCAAGAGACATGGAAATGTCAGCAGAAAGTGTGGTAGTTACAGAATTGGATGATTTAACCGGTCTGGATGGTATTGCCCGGATCCGATAAAATAGGTAACGACAAACTATTCGGACATTAACCTTGTGGACGCTCTTTGTCGGATGCAGGTGCAGAACATGTACACTGAAACAAAAAATCCACCATCGCCTTCCTCCCATCCGCCTTAACCGGTGCTTCCGTATGCAAAGCCCCAGCGACATGCTTCCGTGTCACAACCAACCCTAAACGTCTACCAACCCGTTCCAACTCATCCGCTGCATGTGCCGGAACCACCTCATCCTTCTCCGCCGACAAAATAAGCACCGGGGGAAGAGACAGCCTCTCCGAACCCATCCCCACCTCATCCTCATGGCCAGAAGCCACCCTCCCATCCCTCCATTGCGCCATCCGCTCCACAGCAAGGGAACTATCCCAATGACTGCGCAAAAATGGCCAGAGATACCGATACGGGAGCCACTTTTGCGGATACAAACTGATTAACATATCCTTGACGCTTGACGCGGGTGCCTCGAGGATCACACCGGAAATGGATGCCACTGACACATTATCACGAGGACGAGCTAGATATGTAGCGAGACCGGTGGTTGCAATGGAGGAGCCGAGACTATGGCCCCAGAGGATGATCTGGAGATTGGTGTCCGGAGTGCTGTAGGTCTCGGCAACCCAGTCGAGAAAGGCTTGAGTGTCGAGTTCGATGCCGTGTTGGGTGGGGCGGCCGGATGAGGTCCAGAAGCCGCGGTAGGATAGAGCGGCTATAATGTAGGATGTGTCTGTAGGGGATGATTGGGGTGCTGCGTGGATGGCCCGCAGGATTTGGGAGAGAAGTGGTAAGCGCATGGGGGTTGAGCCGCCGTTGCCTTGGAAGTAGCAGATTACTACTAGCTTTCTTCTAGCTTGGGTTTCTGGCTGTTCATTGCTGCTCCTGACGGGTAGGTTACGGTTCTTGGTAGGAATGTGTCCTTCGCAGATGGATAACTTAGTGCCGTCGCGACTTCGAATTTGATGCCCTTCCCAGACCACTGGTTTGCATTCCGCCTGATAGTCCGCTATCTTTTCGGAGCGGGCAAACGGCGGCAGCCAGGTGAGGTAGAGGAGCTTTTCTTGCATCACGACAATCCAGAAGCATTTCCAGGCCCAGAGGGAGAGAAGTAGCCCGGTGAAGATGAGAGGAGGCACTAAGATAGGAGGAATGGCGTCGGTGAAGAGACTGCATGATTGTTGGCGCGTACTCCGACGGAGTGTCTGCCTCAGGTGGGTGTGCAGAGCTGGTCGTATCCTGGTTGCTCCATGGCTAGTGTGGATGTGATGAGATGGGGGATGGAATCTCAGAGTGCTTCTGATACAGGTGCCTCCGGCGAGGCTGAGTGACGCGCGTTGGGCGCACTTCTGCATCCATTGTGGTGGCATCAAGCTTGAGTTGGGGTTGAAGAACATGGATGGAAGTCGGTCGTGGCGGGATCGAAGTCTAAGGATAATGCTGGCATTGATGACTAAGCCATGCATTGGGATCATTAAATTGACTTTCTATCAAATCAATCAAAAAATGGCTAATCTAGGAGAAACACGAACGCAGTAGTGCGCGACGCGCGAGAACTACTAAAACCGGGATTATCGATCACTTTGGACTATGCCCACCATATCGTCACCCCCACCGTTCAGGGTTGAGGATCTTGACCGGATGGAGGCCGTTCGGGTACCGACCACCCCCGTACACAGGGAGAGGGCTCTGACAGATACAAGCACCGAGGTCAAGGGTCTGATTCTGCAAGCACTGTTGGGAATGGCAAACGCGCAACTGAGGCAGCCGAGTATCATCGGCTAGCCGGAAGTCCAGGTGATCAAAATCGGACACCCCGGTGCCGATCCGAGTGAGCTGCGGCAAGATCCTGGTTCTCTGATAAAGACAGATATGTCGATGGATACCGTAGACCCCCAGATCATCAGGACCCGATATGGGCACACAGAACAAAGCGTCACACACCGCAAGGGGAGTACAAACGGTAGGGTCCCTGGCTGCTCCGGAACCATCTGGCTGCGCTGGGGTGATAAATCTGTAAAACCCTGCTGCCCATAACATGTAGCAGGCGCGGCCTAGGAAGATATCTTCGATGAGGAATTCGAAGTTGCATATGATGCGGGCATCCCCGAGAATTTTTCGATACGCTTCCCCCACGAGAACGTAGGGGATTCGAAGAAGATCGAACAGGAGGGCTAATCCGGAGACGAACTCGGGGTCTTTGCCCACTTTGCATGATAGTCGGTCGTGTATCTGTGGTGCTGGGCCAATTGGGTTGACGGGGATAGCAGGAGAGGTAGGGGTTTGGTCGGACATTGCGATGGTAGGTGATCAAGTATGCCGACAACGATCAGTAGGGCTTGTAGCTTCTGCCAAGGTAGGACGGAGAGCATTAATGGCTAAGACGGAGAGCATTAATGGCTAAGACGGAGATCTCGATCAAGCGGGAGACAGCTTCAATGCGCCTACACTGGATGGCCGTCATTAGCCGATAAAGAATGCTTTCTAGCTAGGTAAGTTATCTGAGAGGTGTCAAAGGGGCCCAAGTTACAGTCCTGCTGTGGACAAGTCAAGGATGGCAACAAGTAAAACAGGACGCGCCTTGACAAGGTCCATCTGGACATTATATAGGTGGAATTTACGCTAGCTGCCTATAATATGCAGGATCTTACATACGAGATATATGCATCTCCCGGATGTCACTGGTCTAGCCTCAACCCTAAACAGACACCACACAGGTTTTATCCATAATCATACAATGAACCCCACAAACCAAGCACTATTTACACCCCCAAAATTACAACACAATCCAACTACGTCCCCTCTCACTCCGTAATAATCACACTCCCACCCCAATACCCCTCCCCATCCCCCTCCCCGTCATCGCCATCCCACCTTCTAACCACATTCTCAAAAATCCACCTCCCCACGACCCCCCTCCTAACCACATACCCCACGACCGGACTCTCCGTCCTCCCCACCTTCACCCCCTCCATCCCTTCCTCCCCCTCCTCCCCAACCCCCCCATCCACCAACAAACTCGCCCTCACAAACAAAAACCCACTAATCCCCCTCTCCCCATCCCCCCTCTCCATCTCCCCCACCACCAACCCCTCCATCACCCTCTTATCCGCATGCGGCACCCTCAATAACCAATGATACAGCGGCCACATGAGAATCGGCACATCCCGTTTCGTATAATTAATCCCCGTGCCGGTAATCACCACGATCTTGGGCTTCGAAGGGAGAGATCGTGCCGCGGTGAGGATTGTGCGGGTGGCGTCGGTGCAGATGGTGGGGTTGTCGAGGGTTGGGATGGGGTTGGGGAGGTTGGAGATGAGGGTGCCCCCGATGCCGGTGATTATGAGGTCGACTGCGGTTGGGGTGGGGGTGGAAGTGCTGGGGAGGAGGAGGGTTTGGTGCACGGCGGGGAGGGAGGTTGCGGAACCGGGGATTATGGTGAGGTTGGTGGTGGGGGCGTTGTGGGTGGAGAGGAGAGTGAGGAGTTTGTTGGGGGTGCGGACGACTGGTGGTTGTTAGGGTTGAGGGAGAGGGAGAGAGGGGGAGACGTACGGGCATTGCATGTGTAGCCGGATTTGAGGGCGGGGATGAGGCACGCGAGGGTGGAGCCGCCGGTGGCGCCGAAGAAGGCGAGGGTGGGTTTTTTGGTCATTGTTTGATGCTGTGTGTAGGCGGATTGAGGGGGTAAAGAGGATTAGAGAAAGGGGTGTGTGGTTTTATATAGAGTCATTGTGCTATTGTTAGGGCAGGAAAAGTCTCCGTGTTAAGACGGAGACTTTGGTGGGGGTATGCTTATGTCTCCGTCTTTCATAAGCTCCGGAAGATCCGAGATATCATCGGTGATTAGGTTGCAATGGAGCTATGGTCCGAGACAGATCTCGATGCTGACGTTCGTTGCAGCCTAGTTCCAGATGTCCCTTCAGCCTGCTGCCGGGGGTAGCCGGTAGATATGGACACGCCCTGTGTTAGCCAACACTTGTATTAGAATAAGGATCTAAGAATGAGGTTAACGACAGAAAGAACCCATTAGGCATCGCTCGGGGCAATCATCCCCGAATACCGATTCCGATCCTGCATCTCCACCACCTCGCTGGTCACCTCGATTTGCACCGCTTTCATGATCATTCGATCCGGATCATACAGGATCGGCTCCTCCATATTATCCCATGGACGAGTAGTCACCGATCGCGGAAAGGTAAGTGTCTTTCGGGATCGGGAGCGTAACTGGCTTTTCCCCCGCGATGCATCGTTCGTGTATGCCAGTCCGTCGTCATCTTCGTAGGTAGCGAGAAACAGTTTGACGGAGGAGAGGGTCAGTAGGAGGATGCTGATCGAGAGATGGAGCTCTTCGATGACGGTGGCGTAGGCACCAACTAAGGTGGGATCGGAGGAGGAAATCTGTTTGTGAATAGAGATATAGTGGAGGACAGCGAGAGGAATTAGGCTGCATCCAGGTGAGCGATTAGTTTTGGGAATGATTGATGGGATAAACTTACATCCCCCGGCAACCCAGGATGGACAGAACGGCCAGCTTGCGGGAGCGACCGAGACGAACCCGGTAGATGAGCTTCACGGGGTATGCCAGCAACAGGACTTCGAGGATGACATCGAGGATGGTGATGGCTGTCCAGTGAGATAGCTTCAGACGTCAGTGGGTGAACAGCATATATCATGCGCACAGAAAGGTGGGCTTACCAGCGGCCCACAGACGTGATTGATATCTTCCCATGGATCGTGGCTGCATCGGATGGCAACCAAGAGGATCGAGATCAGAGTCCAGGCCATCGAGAGAACCAGCAGACCTCTTGTGAGCCAGCGCGATGTGAAGGTGGATAGGTGCTCATAGAAGACACTGGTGCAGCATTTGGACAACCCTAGGATGGCGATATAGAGCAGATCCGACGCGTAGGCGCTCTTCCAAGGTTAGAACAAGAACCCGCCGAATGTCCAAGAAGAGGAAACTGGATGATCACCTTTTCCATGTTCGCTGTCCTCGAGGGATCAAGAAGATCATGACTCTTACCCCAGCCCAGATGGGCCTGGTATAACACGACACTAATCTGTGCTACAGCAACAGCCTAACTTGCAACTATGCATCAGAGAAGGCACCAATTTGACCAAAGAAAGGGAAAGGATGCCGTACAACCGCGACAGTGAGCAGGTAATCATCGCTCAACAAGACCGACCGTTTGGATGTCGCATAGATGCGCATGCCCAGCGAGGAGAGAATCAAGAACAGGCAGACACTGGCAAAGATGATCACGAGCCCAGTATGGTTGTACTCGTTGTCCTCCGCCAACGGGGGCGAGACCCCCGGGGGCAAGGTGCTGTATGTCATGAACGCGATCTCGCAGGGAAACCTGGAAATTCCGCAATTTGGACCGATTTATCGACACCGAGGGCCCGCGAGGGATATAACCCGCGTGACCAGGGCGGCAGCATAGTGAGGCTGACTTTAATGGCTGGGCCCTGGCGGTCTCTTGTCTGGGCCGGCAGGAGGCCTTTTCCACGGCGGTCGAAATTTCTTTGTCTTGACGGAATCCCGCGGTCAGGCCGAGGTGGATGAATATCACAGATAAGCTTTAAATTGAAACAGACCCACCCAGCTGGTGCTAAGCCAGCTAGGCGCGGTTCGTCGCGCAACGGTTCTCTTGGCCATGGTTGAGGCCATCCCACGGAATTGCCTGGACCGCTGCACTGCATATTTAGTTTCAACTCCTTCGGCCCCTGACTCACTAGAGGTGGATACCCCCGGGTCAATCGGAGGAGGATGGAGCGAGGGGGTTCAGACAACCACCCGGCCCAGGCGACCTGGGGAAGAAGGGGCACAGACCATCGGTCAGCACTCTGCTGGATGCGAGCGTGTTGCTAAAAGCTCTAGTTACTACTCTACAAAAGTGAATCCAACCTCAGGGTGAACATGCTTGCAAGGCATGATGAGAAGACGGGCGGCATCGGGAAATCGGTCGGTGCGACCGTGGAATTAGAAATGTCACCCTGGCAGGGATTATAAATTGCGCCGTACTTTTTGTCCTGCCCATCGCCCGTCCAGACGCCAGCTGGAGAGCCGGACTAGAGCCCGTCACTGGTTAGGGCTTCGCCAAGAGGGAGCTAAGCATGCAGCGTCCGCGATCCGCGATAAGCCCGACGGGTTTGGTTGGCAACTTATTTTTTTCCTGCGTCGCCCCCCTGTTCATTCTCTTCCCCTCTCTGCTCGGTGCTCCTGGTCACTGATCTTTGCTTTTCCCTGTCGCAGTTCAGGCTGTCTGGTCAGACATGGCTTTCACACAGAACACGCAGCCAGATGCTGCCAAAAGTGAGGTGGTAACTGGCTTGCAGGCCATGGAGATCGATGGATCCAGCCAGGAAGGAGACAATGGCACCCGATACGATATGACGGAAATGGAGCGCATGGGCAAGGCCCAGCAGTTCAAGGTGAGCACATCCATGCATGAAATGTTTTTGACTGATCAGTGATCGCAGCGCAATATCCGTCCCTTGGCTGCCCTTAGTTTCTCGGCGGTACTCCAGGCTACCTGGGAGTACATCATGCTGTACGCGATCCCATCTGAGGTGTTTACTGTATACTCATTCCAACAGGTCGGACTATGAAGGTCTGCAAGACGGCGGCCTGGCGGGCATGCTGTGGACCTACGTCTGGAGCTCGATTGGATTCGGGTTCATCATCGTCTCTTTGGCTGAAATGGCCTCCATGTAATCCCTCCTAATCACCTCCACAATCATTCACCGGCTAACCGACTAGGGCGCCCACATCCGGAGGTCAGTACCACTGGGTCTCGGAATTTGCATCGCCACGGTACCAGAAATTCCTGAGTTACGTGACCGGCTGGATGTCGGTTTTAGCATGGCAGGCCGGTACCGCATCAGGCTCCTTTTTGACCGGAACCGTCATCCAAGGCCTGATCAGCGTCCGTGACCCCAACTACGACCCCACCGGGTGGCAGGGAACGCTGTTTGTCTTTGCCATGATCCTCATTGCCTTGTACTTTAACATCTTCGGCTCCGGGCTCATGGCGCGCATGCAGAACCTGCTGCTGGCCACACATGTGTTCTGCTGGGTCGTGGTGGTGGTCACCCTGTGGGTGCTGGCTCCGTTGCAATCGGCGGAAGCGGTGTTTACCAAGTTTGAGAACTTTGGTGGATGGTCATCCATGGGTCTGACCGTGATGGTGGGCCAGCTGGCGGCCATCTACGGCTGTCTCAGTACGTCCCCGGAAGCCATTGAAGAATGAAGCTGACTCTCTAGGCTCGGATGCAACGGCCCACATGTCCGAGGAAATCAAGGACGCTGGCCGATATGTGCCGATTGCCATCACCTGGTCCTACTTTGCCAACGCCATTCTGGGGTTGATCGTGTTGATTACGATGCTCTTTGCGACGCCGTCCGTGGAGGACTCCTTGAGCGACGACACCGGCTTCCCGTTCATCTACGTGTTCAAGCAAGCCACCAACACGGCCGGCGTCAATGGTCTTACAGCCATCATTCTCATCCCCGTCATCCTCAGCAACATCCTTTTCAACGCCTCCACCGCGCGACAGACCTTCTCCTTTGCGCGTGACCGCGGACTACCATTTTCCAGCTGGATCGCCAAAGTCGACGAGAAGCGTAAACTCCCCGTCAACTCCATCCTCCTCAGCTGCCTGATCAGTGCACTCTTAGCACTGATCAACATCGGCTCCGAAACAGCCTTCAACGCCATCGTCTCCCTCAACGTAGCGGCGCTAATGTTCTCATACTCGATCTCCATGAGCTGTCTCATCTGGCGCAAGATCTGGCACCCTCACACCCTGCCACCGGCTCGCTGGGGATTGGGGAAATACGGACTGGCAGTCAACATCATCGGCTGGCTGTACGTTGTGTTTGCGCTGTTTTGGTCGTTTTGGCCCGAGTCAACCCCCGTCACAGCCGATACGTTTAATTGGAGTGTGGTGATCTTTGTGGCGGTGTTTTTGGTGAGTTTGGTCATGTATGTGGTTCAGGGGAGACATCAGTATGATGGGCCAGTGACGGTGGTGAAGAGGTGTGGGGATTTGTAGGGCTTTCTACATGTGTAAGGTGTCAATATGTATAGATTGGTATATTTATCCAGACCTAGGGATGCTGTCGATTAGCAAAAGCAACGAAACTCATATCATCGATCCCTTTTCAATGCTTCCTGGTATACCTGTCAAGCAGAACGGGTTACTATGCAGATGTCCCTACTAGCCATACTCTCAAGGCAAAAATAATCTCACTATCAAGCCTCCTCCAGTCCCCTCCCTTCCGACCGGTCATTAATCCTCCTCATCCACGCCGCATGCTCCGCCCACGCCCGAGGCGACATATACTCTTCCAAATCACCCTCCTCCTCCGGCGACGCAGCATAGAAAAAGCTACAAGCACCCCCAATACTCACACCCAACTTCTCATATTCCCTGTAAATTTTATGTCTCGGATTCTTCTTCCAGGAATCCTTCCCCCTTCCCCTTCTCCCTCCCATACTGCACTGCACCGTCTCATGCACATAGATCACCACGTCCGCGTCCTCTGTTGCGCGCCGAAACACCCCTTCTAGTACGGGACCGTATTCATCTTCCAGGTCCTCTGGGATGACACCACCCCAGATAATGGATGCGTTGTCGAGAATACTTTCGGAGATGAGGAAGTCGAAGAGGAGGCCCATGCGGAGGTAGCCTTCTTCTTCTAATCCTCCTGGTTGATCATCATTTCTGCCCTCCACTTCCTCGCTATCATTCTCTCCGCTCTCTAAAAAAAAATTAGCATTGTTTCCAAATCGACAACCAAAACAAAGAACCCACCATCCCTCCCCACCCCTCCCTTCGCAACCCACCTCTCCAAAGAATCCAAATCCCGCACGCACCCTGGAATCCTGTACTTCCGGTACGTCTCCCCGCCCATCGCAGAGGTAATTTTAATGACCCCCAACGCCCGAGACGGCGGTTGATGCGTCAGCATTCTCCGCCAACTGGCGTCTTGTCTGAGATAGGCTGATCGTTGGGATTTGTGGTGGATGAGAGCTAGATTGGAGAGGGGGGCGGGGAAATTGCCCGTGTTGAGGGGAGAGGGGGAGGTAATGGCTGGGAAGAGGGATGGAAAGTGGGATAGGAGGAGGGGGTTGTAGGTTTTGGTTTCGGGGATGGGGGTTGTGGTTTCTAGGGCATCGTGGTGGTGGTGGTGGTGGTGGTGGTGGTGGGGGTGGTTGGTGTCTGGGTTGGGGGAGGGTCGGAAGAAGAGGGCTTCTTGGAGGGTGGGGGTTGTTTGGATGAGGGTGGCCCAGGTGCGGTTGACGCGTTGGCAGAGGAGGAGTGTTTGGGGATCGAGGTGGGTGAGGATAAGGACTAAGAGCTCGGGGGTGCTCAAAGGGGAAGGCATCCTGGTTAGGTGGGGAGAGGTTGGTGGGATGATGGGTGGTGGTATAGTTATATTGGTGAGGTGATGAGTCAGAGGTCGGAGTTAGGGCTAAGTCCGCCACTAGATATAATCTCATTCTAATGACTGTATATGTTTGAATTATTGAAATTAGGTAATAAAGAGGCCATTTGATGCATATGTGTTGTCTCTGGCATGTTGGTATCTGAAAATCTCCTTCGTCATAATAGACTTCGTAAGACAGGAATCAGCCAGTTGACTGCAGTGGTGCGGAAGATGCACCGGAAGTAACCTTGGCTCATGGAGATTCCCGGCCACAAAAGTTCTCGTCAGCTTGTATATATGGGCTATGATGTATGATGGACATCTACCTTCCACACCAGTAGCTAGAAGGGATACATCCGTTTGGTCTATGTGACAGTAGCTTCGACAATATATCTTTGCGCTGTAGTCGGGGATGAACTCCGAAGCCCGTCCACCGGAAGTTAATCTGCATATAGATCTCTGAACTCTCCGTCATATAGCAAAGGCTATCTTGACAGCAAAAGATAGCACAAGCAATCGTGAGTTGACTAGACTGGCTCGCTAACTATAACGACCTAAAACCTCTGCACTCGACACTCGCCATAACCCTTATCACAGCAAAACAACATGGCATCCCCGCTGAAAAACCAGGAAAGCCCCCTGGCTAGCCTTCCAAATGAACTGCTTCTCTTGATTATCTCTCGCCTTCCCAACGCTGCCATCAAATCGCTACGCTTGACCAGCAAACGCCTGCACGGAATGGCCCATCTACGTCTCAACCGCGTATTCCTGTCAGCCAATCCAGACAACATTCGTGTCTTTCGTGCCATCGCAGACCACGACCTACACCGTCACAACATCGAAGAAATCATCTGGGACGACGCACTCTTGCAGACAACTTCATTCGAAGGCCTCTACCGCTGGGATTATTTCCACGGCCCCAACGGGCAGATAATCCAAGAGCATCCCGACGAAACCTGCCCCATCTGGTATGCCATCGCATGTCGTAAAAACCTCCACGCGTTACGCACACGCAAGAACACCGACGCGGACCGTCCAGACCATGTAACCCGGGCTCTGGAAGTCGTGGCCGCCCAACAACCCCTGCACCTCTTCTGGCAAACCTATGAAGAGCTGGTAGAGAAACAGGACACCATCCTGGCGACGAACGCCGACACCGAAGCCCTGATCTACGGACTCAAGCAATTCCCCTCCCTGAAGAGAATCACCATCACCCCAGCTACCCACGGATGGCTCTTCAACCCCCTCTACGAAACGCCCATGATTCGCGACTTTCCATTCGGGTTCAATTACCCCATTCCTCGCGGATGGCCAGCCTCCAGGACCGGCGAAGACGGGCCCGATATCCAGTGGTGGAACGATCAGCTCGAGACCACGAAAGACCAATGGCGCGGATTCCGAACTGTGACAAGGGTACTCGCCCAGGAACAACATCATATCTCGGAACTCATACTCGACGCCCACCAGCTCAACACAGGTCTGAATTGCACGATCTTCGAAGCCCCCTGCGACGAGTACCACCACTTCCTCTCTCTCCTTCGCACCCCGGGCTTCTCCCGTCTAGACCTTGCCCTCATCATCCGCAGCCAAGACCAACGTGCCTGGCCCCCTGTCGATCAGGGCCTCCTTCATCAAGCATTATCCGAAGCTACCGACATGGAACACATCAGCCTCGCGACCACCATCGCAGCGTCCGACGATCTCATGGACATCTCCGACAACGGAATGGCCGTGGATGCCGTCCCCCTCCAGACAATCTTCCCCCTCGACAAATGGCCCAAGCTGCGCCATTTCGGACTCTCCGGGTTCCCAGTCACCCACGATTACATCCTCTCCTTCCTAGCCCAATTACCACCCACGGTCCGTTCCATCGAGCTCAGCTTCCTCCGGTTCCAGGATAATTGCGGGAACTGGCGCACCTTGCTCCCGAAGATCCGGGACAGGTTACCCTGGCGGGACCGCGGGGTGGCTGTCGGTCCTAAGCTGGTGATCGGTATTGGCTTGGAGTTCGGTAACTGGCAGATTGGTCGGGGGATCTGGCTCGAGGAGGAAGTCAGTGCGTTTATCTACGGGGATGGGTGGAATTTCTTTGATGTCAATGGGTATCCGCGATGGGGGTCCGGGGTGGTCAGAGATGCATTTGAGCCGCAATATGAGCGGCCTCATGAGGATCCTGTGGTGTTGAATCGCATGGGGATTCTGGGGGTGGATTGGGAGGAGTATGTGGATGTGGAGGAGACGTTGAATTGAGTTCTTTCTACTGGTTTTGGTTGGGGTTGGTTTGTAGGAGCTTCTGTTGCCGTCCTAGTATAGAATCAATTGCTTTTAGCATACCATCTAGACGAAAGCCGTCAAACATCCAATTTTTCATGAACCATATTCAATGAATACCTAGAAGTAAGAGTTATATTAATCCTAACTCGGTGCCCTAAGCGGAACCCAGGTCTCTATCAATCCGATATATCAAATCCAGTGTTCTCATACTCGTTTCTCTAGATTCGCTATCTGCATAAACTATTACAAACCACGAGATCCTATACCTATATCTTAACCTGCTCAGCTATCAGTACAACTCCGTCCTCTGCTTTATTACACTTACATCCCACATCTTTCTTTCTGTGGCCGCTGGCCATGTCTCACGGGAGCTTGTGTGGGCGCTTTGCACTCTCTATATCTCTATTTTCTAGGGGTTTCATTCATCAATTTTAGTCACGGCGATCCAAAGTACCTATCTATAATCTAAATGTTAGGGGAGCATGAAGTTAACGAGCATATAGCAGAGTAATAGCTTGAAAGAATGGTTATGGTTGTCTTCTGGATGTATATCCATAGTTTAGTACCTTCAGGGGTCACATTAACCCTGGTAAGCACCAGCGTCTTGAATACTACTGCTAGTACTACTGCACTAGTGCTATAGATTGATTCCATCAGGTGGATGGGATCATACGACAAACCGTTGTAGTTGCCATTTCAATCTTCATGTCTAATCTAATTCAAAGGAATGTAAACATCATGAATCCTCAGCAGCGAATATTAACCGCTGCCATCTCATCCAATACAATCCAGACACATCTACCCATATGCCCACCAAATTTGCAAGCATTCTAACCCAGACACCCCCTCACATCTCAGCACACTACCATCAAGCCAACTCAAACGTCTTCTTTCCCCACCCATACTTCCTCGCCAAGCGCCGTCCAACCAGCGACATCCCATACCCCTCAATTAGCAACTTCTGCGGCCGACGCAACGTAATCGTCTTCTGAACGGGATACTCCTTTGGCGGGGAGAACGTAAAGAATGACCCGATTGTCGGAGAAACCGAGAAATCGATATCCGCCATGGCCTCTTCGAACGCCGTCCAGGAGATCGATCCCCCGGTACCAGAATGAGAAAACAGCGTCCAGAAGGTATTATACGTGCTGAGCTTAAGTTTGAAGGTCGGGGACACAGAGGCCGAAATGGTGTCGTGGGACTCAGTGGCGGGGTAGATCCTAAAGTCGGAATTTTGGGCGCGACGCGTCGTGGGGCCTTTCTCCTGCTGGGGTTTGAGCTGGGCCTTTCGAGTGGAGGGTCCCGGAGCTGGTAGGGTAGCAGACATCTGCGATGCTTGGCCAGATCTGGCTTTTTGTTCTGCGTACTGGTTCTGCAGATCAGTCATGCAGGATCTGTTCAGGTGGTCGTACAGGAATCCGACATCAGCACCCATTTTGAAGAAAATGAATCCGTCGAGGGCTTTCAAGGCGCCTTCGGCCTTTTCGGGTTGGCCTATTTTTTCAATTGGAATTACGTGTTTGGAGAGGTCGATGGTTGCCTTGAGGTCTTCGAGTTTCGTGGATAGGCCTTTCAGGCGCCAGAAGTAGGTTACGCCGCTGCTTTGCGAGGGTGGGGGCATGGGAAGGGAAGCAGAGAGAGTTTGCATGAAGCTGGTTGTCATGGCTAGGTCGCCGAATGCTTCGAACTCGGGTTGTGCCATGGAGTTTCTCTCGATGGGGGAGGCTTTTTGAAGATCGTCTAGCTTCTTAATCCAGTCCATGGCTTTAGGAGGCGTGAGGTCGGTTTGGCAGAGGCGGAACATGTGCTGGACTCGCTCTTCCAAACGAGCTACGGCGTCGGGCTTCGACTTTAGCGTGACTCGTGCGATACCGTCGTCGTAGACGTCTGGGATGCGTTTGAAATGGCCAGAACCGGAGTATGCTTGTGTGTAACGTTTGAACAGCGTTTGGAGGTGCTTGTACTCGAACAAGAGGATGTTGGCCAGTTCTTGAAGCAGGATCGTCTTGTAGGCTTGATCTTTAGGACCGTCGCGGAGAGCCTGCAGGATTTGAGAGATCATGTCCCAAACGGCCGCCCCAACTACACTACTGTGAACAGCCTCAAACATCGCGGTGCTGAAGTATTGATCCGTCTGCCGCACTCGCCGGCCCTTGTCGTCGAGCACGAGCTCCGGCCGACTAAAGGTCCAGACATTCATCAGGTGAGCAAGGTACGTGGGCTCGCTGCGACAGATATGCAGAGAATCGACAAGAGCCGACCTTTGCTCCAGAGCGCGCGCGGCCAATTCCTCCAGCGAGAGCTTGTCGGGCTTGCCCAGTGACAGCGCGGCCAAGGCTGCTCGGGCCGCCTTCTCCTCCACGATTCGCGCGTCTTCCTCGAGCAGATTTTTCACCAGGAGGTTCAGGGCCTGCAGGAAGTAAATCTGTCTCATGAGAATAAGTTCGCCTGTGCCGTGGGGGACACAGAAGCCCTCCTTGACGGCATCGGACAAACCGTCCATGACTCCGTCAAAGTTGGCCGGGTCGTTTACTATATAGGATTGTCCGTAGCAATCGCCGGCCCGGAACATGGTGAAACTGTTTTTGAGGGCTTTCTCGTAGCGGAGTTGGTGTTTTTCCATGCTTTTAAGAATGAATTCTTTATCTCCTGGTCCTCCATGGACGCCCGTCTCGTACTGCTCAACAAGAGACTTGGTCGCACGATGTTTGAGATGGTGCAGGAAGTAGTCCGACTTGGGCTCGCAAAGGTCCCGGACATTCCACTCCGGGAGGATCAAACGCACGTTTCCCAGGGTTCGGTCGCCGGCATGTCGGAGCATGATGCCCCCGGTTGCCCCGTCCTTGACGATCTCCACCCGTTTCTGCTTCGTATAGGAATGCCAGATCCTCCTGATTTTGGGACCGTGCTCCCTATATTTTCGCTCGAGATCTTCATGCAGGCTTCTCACCAGGACTGGCCCCTCTTCCCGTTCAGACATTTGGGCAATGGTTGCTGGGTCGACGAAAGCAGGAACAATAAGGTCTCAACTACGTTAATAAGCTAAATGACCACGTGAAAGGTGATAATAATCAATATCAAAGAATAAAGTCGCTAAGCCTCTTAGGACGAGGCAACCAACGGCTGGAGTGGCTTGTTGACGTGGTATTTGTCCGAACAAGTGACACGGAGGTCGAGGAGGAAAAAGGGAAAGAACGATGGAGGCGAGATACTATCTTGATGATCGAATGGCTGCTGACAGAAACAGAACACCAAGTCGAGGTTATAAAGAAGCCCAAAGACGCGTCTCTCGACCGGGATATCCATATCTGAATCCGCAGCCCTCCTCCGTTTCACCTCGTGGTACAGTCTTACCCGTCCGCTGGGTCTCACAAGGGTACGGGAAATATCTGTGATACAGGGATCCTTTCAGTTCGAGGTGTCCCAGCCGGAAAATGGCGGTATTGGCATTCTCTATGATTGGAAAGCTGTGGGAATCCCAGAGGCTCTGTGGGATATCTCCATATTTCTCGCTACAGACTCCGCATGGCGCCCAAAATACGCAGGCAGGTGGCACTGCTATTTAGTCAGGACACTCGCAGCGTAAGGTGTCACAAAAGTGCCACGACGAACCAAGTTGCCACCTAGACAATCTCCTTGTGCTCCGCTTCCCCATCCAGAAAACCAGACGTCTTGGCATCAGCAATGACGGCGCTGCGTTTGACCAGCTCCTTCTCCAACTCAATGTAGCGTGCTGGGCGCTCAATGCTTGTGGCTTCCGCGTTCCCATTCACGAAAACGTTGTGGTGCTCATGGAAAAAGCGATCGATATCCTCCAGAGACCGGTTCGCCGTCTCAGGATAGAAGAAATAGACGGTGGGCACGAATGCAAAGTTAAAGACAGTCCAGATGATGTAAAACTTCCAGCCGAGATTCTGAATCCCAACCGGGGTGATCTCAACCACCATGAAATTCATCGCCCAGTTGGTGGCCGTGCCCAAAGCTACGCCCTTGGTTCGCAAGCTCAGCGAGTTCAGCTCCACCGGAAGCAGCCACCCGATGCCCTGGAAGCTCAGGCCAAAGAAGACATAGTATACGAAGAAAAAGGCAACGGCGGCGGACCCATAGACATACTGGTCGGTATGTCCGCCCTGTTCACTGAACCGTAGGAGCACAGTGATCAGCAAATAGCAGATGCCCTGCGCCAAGGCACACACCATCAGGATTCGCCGTCGACCCCAGCGCTCAATGGTGGGAATCGTCACACTGCTCGCCACGAGGTAAGAAACCGAGTTACAGGCAGCGAGCAGCCGGGCGAGGCGTTCCGACAACCCGACCGATTCCATCAGGACCGTGGGAAGATAGTATGACGTGACATTAATTCCCGCCAGCTGCTGCATAGCCTGCGCACCCGCCCCCAGGAGAAGGCGGCGAATGCTGCCCGTGCCTTGTTCACCTCCCGTTTTGCCGCGGAGCAACTGGGCCCACGAGACACTGTGCTCTCGCTCATACTGAATGGTCGCCAGAATCTCGGTGTAGGCTGCAATGACATGCGAGTCGTTGAGGTCCTTGCCTTCGAGGTCGGCAATGATCTGCTGAGCCTCTTCGGGCTGGTCACGGCAGATCAGCCACCGGGGTGACTCGGGCAACCAGGGGACGGTGGCGTATAGAATCAGAATAAAGATGATCTGAAAAGCGAGAGGAAACCGCCAGGCGGCTGGGCCCGGGACAAAAGAGAAAGCGAAAGTCATCCAGTTAGCCAGCGAGTAGCCCCCAACGTTCAAGACCAACTCGATGATCACCAGCTTTCCTCTCCACTTAATCTGCGATGTCTCTCCCTGCCACACAGGAGCGGTGGCCGTGTTCATTCCATTTCCGATGCCAGCAATAATCCGCCCCACGATCATCTGAGGAACACTATAGGCGGAAGCCTGGAGAATGGCCCCAACCGTCATGATGGTAGTGCCACACAGGATCGTTTTCTTTCGTCCCAGTATATCGCCAAAGTAGATGGCAGCCATGGCACCAACCAGACAACCTGCATCATAGATGGCAGTGATCGTGCCAAGAAGCGTTGTCTTGCCGCGGAGATCGAGAACGTCGAGAAAGTCACTCGTGACGATTACACCGGCTGTGACCGATGATGGATTAGTATCATATATCGCCGACATGTTCTGATAGAAACCCACCGAAGACACCCTGATCATATCCAAACAGCATCATGTCGGTTGCACACGCCACCGTCACCCAGAAGGTCAGCCATCCGCCCTTCAAGCCGAAGTAGGGCTTGCTGTTGGCCATGATTCGTAGTTGTCGCCAGAAATAGAGTGAGAGCAACAAGTATCAGAGAAAGGCCGGATGTCTCACGGCACTCAATTGACCCCTTCCGAGTGAGACGGAATGGATGCAGGAGCCATATATAGGGCACTGATCCTGCTGCCAAGTAGAGCTTTTGACGGAGCCCGACAGAACCAGTCTGCCATCTTGGTTGGGCATCCCCGGACCATCGTTCAATGAGATGCGTGCTGAACTCGGCGGATGAGCGGGGTCTGGAGAAATCCCCAGCATTGCCATCTTCAACCCCCCCATTTTCATGCGGAGGTTCGTGGCGTCCCCCGTTTCTCCGATAATAACTGTCCCCCCCACATGTCCGGGGAATCATCACGGGACATTGGATGGTCTTTGGGCCTTGGCGCATGCAAGCCGGGTCATTTGGGGCCTGGCGGTTCGGTTCCGGCGGAGGAACAGCAGCCAAGGCGGAGGGCGGGAGTGACTTCGGTTCCGGACCCACCATCGGACAATCCCTCCAATCACCCGACCGGCATTCCCCTGGGCCGACCGGGGAGAAACCAGGCCACTGGATGAACCTTTTGAGGCATTATTGTCAGGTCTCAATGTAGATCGGCCTGGGCCGTATGATGTCCCACCGTCCTCTCCATCGTGGATCGAGATGTTGGGCGATCGTTGCAACCTTCATTTCACGCATTCTCGCCGGAACGCCCAACGGACACGAAATTAGAGGTGTGGGTTGAGAACAGCAAGAGGAGTGACCGTACGGCGTACTCCATAGTTCCTGCATTGGCAGGTTGTCGGACCGGATTGACCAGGGAAGTGAACACAGAAGGCGCCCGTCATTGGTGTCCGTGCGGTCGGGCCGAAGGATGACGTTCATGACTGATGGTCTCCGCCGGAACCGTGCCATCCCAGTAAATCAGACCATATTGAGCGTTATATAACTCTCGTCTTTCCCAACCAATGATCGGCACTGCAAATTGCATACTATGGCTACCACAGACTCCCCAGAGGTAGGCGGCTTCCTTTGGTGGTTGTCGGAATGCGACTGATCGTACAATTGTTAGAACAGCAACCGCGCCGCCGTGCTCAAGCCCGGCGGCTCCTTCTACTATGAAACTCGCGAAGCACCCACCATTCAGTCCGACCAAGACGTGATTGTGAAGGTGGTGGCAACCGGCCTGTGCGGCTCCGATGTAAGTGCAACAGTCCCTTACATCCTGTCAGACCTAACCCCCCGGAAGGTACATTACTGGCAACATGGACGGATCGGACGGTATGTGGTGGAGAAACCCATCATTCTGGGACACGAATCCTCGGGAATTGTCGTCGCCTGCGGAAGCGCCGTCAAAGGGCTCGCAGCTGGGGACCGCGTCGCGCTTGAGCCGGGCATATCGTGCAACACCTGCGAGCCATGTCGCGCCGGCCGCTACAACCTGTGTCGAGATATGCACTTCGCGGCAACCCCACCATATGATGGGACACTCTGCACATACTACCGCGTACCAGTCCAGTGTTGCTTTAGGCTACCCCCTCACATCTCCTTGCGCGACGGGGCACTGGTAGAGCCCCTGGGTGTAGCCGTGCATGCCTGCCGGCTGGGAGGGGACATGCAGAATCGCTCGGTGATTGTCTTTGGGGCCGGCCCAGTCGGTCTACTCTGCTGCGCCGTGGCGCGTGCCTTTGGTGCGGCCCGTGTCGTCGCCGTGGACATTGTCCCCAGTCGACTCAGTGTAGCCAGCAAATACGGCGCTACGCACACCTACCAGATGACCTCAACATCCCCGGAAGACAATGCGAAGGATTTGCTCGCCGCCGCTGGGCTGGAGGAGGGCGCCGATGTGGTCTTGGATGCCACGGGCGCGGAGCCATGTCAGAACTGCGGCCTCCACGCCATCGCGCCAGGAGGCACCTTCGTCCAAGTGGGCTTGGGCCGGCCCAACGTCTCCCTCCCGATCGGGCAGATCTGTGATAAAGAGGTGATTGTGAAGGGCAGCTTCCGATACGGTCCCGGAGACTTCCAATTAGCCGTCGGGCTGCTAGAGGCTAACCGAGTCAATCTTGAAGGCCTAGTCACGAATGAATACTCCTTCTCGCAGGTCGAGGAGGCTTTCCAGAATGTAGCCAACAGAGTCGGAATCAAGAGCGTTATCTACGGGCCAGAGGTGGAGGCGGAGATGGCCAAGGCAATTGTATGATAGGGAGCATCACAGCGCTGCTAGACGCGGCCACGAGTTTCTGACACCCAGGCGGCTGGGAATTTGATCATCAACCATAGTGGACACAACTAGAGCCCATTCCAAGTGGTATCCCATAGCCAGTAGAGTCCATTTTGAACATTGGCGTAATGGCCCTCTTCTCGGGCGGTTGGGGAGCCACTAGAACCTTGCCAGAGGTTCTGGTCAGGTTGCCATAAATCCGGCGGCGGCATGCTAGTATACGCAGGCATATGCTGCCGTTGGCTGTCCCCGAAAACTGGAACATGGAGAGTGCAATCATGCCCAGGCACCATTACTAGAGATAAATAAGAATTAGACGTTCAACCAAGGCTACCGAGAGGACCGATGCTTACCATATTGAACGGAGGTTAGGCTATCGTTCAGCCGATGAGTACGAACGACATCTGACCCCTCTTGATTGACACCCAGGGGTTCAGACAAGTCCAAGGGCGCATCCAGTGGTAGCCGCAGTGTATCTTCCACGGACATAAGATGGGGTTCAGAAGGCACCTGTCCATTGGAATCATAATCCAGGAACGTAGTGGTCCCTGTCAAGGGAGCCAGCATGGCGGCAGACTCTCGGCGCAGGAGCATCGTGATGACCTTCTTCAGAACATGCGTACTCTGTTTCGACAGGGCCGACCGCTTGCCTAAAACGTCCTGCAGCCGTAGGATGCGAGTCATGGTCCGCTTGACTTCCTGCGCTGTGTCTGACAACGGATTCGACAGTGCCATCACGGCCAACACAATGGCGGCGTTGAACAGATTAATAGCTAGAAAAGCAACCAGGTGGCTGTCCGTAGCCAGCTGGGCGAGCACCGGTAGTTCCGTTACCCTCGACGTCCGGACGGCGGCCTTCATCCAGAATTCGGAGCTGGCGGTCTGTGGCTTCAAAAGGGTGCCTTCAAAGGGTGAGCGAGATGGGGTCTCTGAGGATAAGGGCGGTGTCAGAAACGCCGTGGGATCAACCTCGCTTCCTCCGGGTGAGAGCTTGTTCGTAGAGAGGTGATCGACCTGCCGCGCAATCAGAGGACGGTGGAGGACTATAAGAATGTTGTCGTATGTCAGCTGCAGGGCCAGGGCCTGGAGGACGTGCGCTTTGGAGCTCTGCCGGCCATCCATCTGAAAGTCGTACTGGAGGTCGAGAACCAAGTGGCTGGGTAGACTACGCCTCCACTCTTGCAAATTCTCGGTCGCCTGCTTGACCAAAGTTACGAAGGTATCGCCCACCAACTCCTGGGATGTTCGTGAAGTCCGAGAGCCGAAGATTGTTTCCAGCGCGGGCGATACGATCAGATAGAGTCGGTTCAACTCCCGTTGGTACGGTGAATAACAGATCGGCTCACTGTGGACGGATCCTGTCGCCCCAAACGATGGATCCTCGTAAATATCGGTCGGCATGCTCAGATTGCAATCTTTGTCGTTGATGCCCAACGGGGTTCCATAGGTGATGGACGCAAACCGGTCCCACGTATAGATTGTCCACCACACCCTCTTTCTTTCTTCAATCTCATCGACGTCTCCTAGGGTTGGCTCCCGGTGCAAGCCGATCGCGTGTGCCATCTTGATGGTAGCCCCGAGAAGGGTGAAGGACAAATTCGGACGACCGTGATAAAGGTTGTGCGATCCGATGAGGATGCAGGTCTGAGCGGCGAGTACAGACGGCTGGTCCATCATCTCCACCAAATTGGACTCGACAAGCTTGAACAGATCAGCACTCCATTGGGCCCAGTCATTATCACTGTGGGTGTCCGGACCACCACGTCGTGACCGGTACCACGCCGCCATACCGAGCATGACTGCTAGCAGCAGAAGAAAGGGGCGTTGAGCGGGATCTGCGCAACCGTCGGCGATAGAATCGAGATTCCTCCGAAACCTAGGTTCGTAGATCACCAGCGAGAACCAATGCACAGCATCAAAATACTCGCCTAGGAGGGTATGTACGAGGTCTGTGGAAGGGAACGGCTGGCCGAGGATGGATGAGATTGGACGTCGATAGTCCGCAATGCTTTCTTGTGCCAGTGGCGCGCTGTTAGTGGCGGAGTAACCCGGAATGGCTGAAGTGGTTTGTTCGTCGAGATGCTGACTGCCGAGCTCACATATTTTTCGAGCAATTCCCATGGCGGATTCAGCCTCCCCTGGTTCGATTGACGGCTGTGCTGTGCGACCTTCACCCGAATTTTCCGGCTCGTGACACCTTGGCTGAGTAGTTGTGCTCTCTGTCCTCCTCAAATGAACCTCATTATCCATGCCATCTTCATCCGGTCGGCTCACTGCCAGGGACACGGGGGAGTCGGGTCGACGACGAGAGATTCGTCGACTCTTGTTGGAACCTTCCTGTCTATCACAACGAGTCGAGGCGTCAGGTCCCGATCACCAGGGCCATTGCCTGGAAGGCATGATTTCGAAGCCTGAGGGCTGTAGAGCTTACTGTCGGAGGGTTCTTCGCCGTGGTTGAGCAACGGGACGTTGGCGGCAGTCGACATTGGCTCGGACACACAACGAGCACGGCCAAAAGGGATCGCACTGGTGCTCGGAATCAACACAGCCGGTCAGTCAACAGCATTGCACGGGTGGATGGCGGGAGGCTGCGCGTCCCTACCCGAGATTTGTGGAGCCGGCATCGCTCGCAGGCGCTACTGACGCGAGTGGGCAGGACTGCGCGGGAAATTCGTCTCCGACTCGGTCGGGGTGATGAGGAGGAATCAGCCCCATGGATATTTAGCAGGTCGGCTTCCATGATGGGCGCGTCGTGAAGGAGATGTGAACCGTGAAGAGGGGAGACGAGATGGGTAGAGATAGCATGGAGTAGGTGGATGGAGATCGGAGTCGGGGAAATCAAAAACCCCCGGACGCCTTCTGCCAGCGCCTACCGCCTGCGGGGTTGAGCACAGACCACAACGGAGCATGAAAGCCAACACCATCACAAACCACCCATAGCATCCAATCCAACATTGGCTCGAGAATTTATCGAAATTGCTGCAGCCATCGAAGCTGCAAAGGGCTTTTTTTTTCCCCTCGGTAGACCAGGATCTTCGAATAGCAGTTGGCTTTGAGCCTCAGCATGCCATCCTCAGATACATATCGTCACAGCAGCCGAACATCCGGCACAACATCATTTCCTGTACAACTGATGACTCGCGTCATGATTACTTACGCGTCTAAAACGAGGGGTACGAGTATCCCACCTAATCTAGCGTTTGACTTGTCAGTCGTCATTGCCCCAGTTGAGCATCGATTGATGGTGAGATGGTGGCGCTTATGATTCCTACGAACCACGTGTTGCCCAAATCCTGGAAGCGCCTCGGTTCAACCCGGAGTACCGCTCCGTGCTTTCTGCGAGTGAAACGAACACCCTGTTGCGAATGATCAAACCACCTCCTTACCCAACGTTCGACCACCAATTCGGCGAGCTCTGGATGGTTAGGCCTAAAACCCCACGCAGCCCAATGACTTCACTAATACCTACTACTAAGGAGAGACAGAAACGCTGGCTCCATTGATGTGATTGCCGCTGCGATGCTCCCATAGTATAAGGCGGCTAGCGTCGTTTAGTTGCGGGGTAGCGCGGAGATTGTCGCTATGGTGTAGTATCCGCATTAATTTGCAACATCATGCCTATGGGTCTGATGAGGTCGCGGAGCTCTTTGTCAAAAACATGAGTAGCGTTCTACCCGATGTGGCAGATTACCAGGTCCAGGAATGTACCTACGATGGTACATTCAAGAACCACTCCTGGATTGAGATAATAATGACGGAATTACCGTTTCCGGTGATATCCGGGCGTAGGATGGAATCCCATTCCACCGAGAGTAACATGCTCTGCCAGACAATAATACTCCGTCGCTTATGATCGATCATGCAAGTCGGCACAGAGTCCACTTGGATCCACCTATCAGACGGCTTGATAGCGGGACCGAAACTCTGTCCAGGGGCCACTAACCCTTCCGCGTTAGTCCGGATGGCATGGCTGGTTTCGTGGCCCACTGAGAGTGGCCCCCCTATTCTTGCTATCTGCCCTGAGGTCTCGTGCCACGGCGCCATGGCCGCCCAAGGAAGCTTCTTGGAAGATATGGGTCTCTTCATCGAGGCTACGGAGCGACCCAAGCTTTTGCCGAGAGGCACAAGCTTTGACAAGGGACACTATTCTTCAAGGGTTCCATGGTTGGAATAGCTCTCACACAACCAAAGAGGTCAAAGGCGGAAGGAGTTCACCTAGATGCAACAAGAAAGCTCAGGGGAAGTGTTGGATGCCAGAATCCTGCTGATGGATAAGCTGCCGGATCCGGGAGGGATGGCCGAGGACGTTCCAGAAAGGACGCACATGCGTTCTGCGCAACCGCAATTAATGCAGGGCGAGGAACCAATAATCAATGGGAGTTGCCTATCAACCCGGGCTGGATATTGGGTGGTGGTGGTTCCGTGGCTGCCAGGATGGATAGCCCCGATAATGCTGCACCCGCAGATTGGTCCCGGCCGTGGCAAGGGGCCCCAGGAACTCCGTCTCTGCTCCGGGCACCATCCATGCTTCCAATCACCAGCAGACCACCAATCTTTAGGGTGGTGCAACGTTCGCACTGGCCTCCCCGTGAGAGGTTGCATATATCTTGGCCACGCCGTACGACCTTGACACCCCCTCCCGTTCCTGCATAGCGTCTCTGCTTTCCCACCACATTCCTCCTTGATCGCCCTTTCTTGTGTTTCTTGAGCTTGAAGTCATTCGGTCCATCCTTTCGGATCATGGCAGGCGTCATCTCTGCCGCCAACCTGGGCGGAGTGGCCGATCCCCGCCTAGGGGATGAGGCGGATATCATCGGCACCGAGGAAGAGCATCGCGTCACCATTGAGAAACCTTCCGGTCATGCGCTCCATACCATCCCCGCTCCCATCTTGCACGGAAAAGAGTCGATCTACCTGGACAGCAAGATCACCTTCGAGAACTACCTCTTCTGGGCCAAACGCTCCCGCGAGGTCGAGACGCATATTCGGACCGATGACAAAGGCTTGCAGCAGCTGGGAAATGTCATTATCGGACGCAAGATCAAGCCGGACCCACCGCAACTGACTCCCCAACCCGAGGCGACGTCTGAGAAGGCGATTTCAGAGAAACAGCGGTCAACACCTGATGACGCGAACTCAACGTCGGATTCCAAGGAGGGATCAGGGGATAAGGTGGACCGGTATGGCATCAGCGAGACAGAATGGGAACAGGCACAACGCGCCGCTCGTACAGCAACCTGGGGTTAGTATCCCGATTACTGGATCCTGTCCAGGACTGACTATGATGCTGCCAAGGATCCATCTTCTATCTTATCACTACCGATATTCTAGGACCGACTAACGTGCCATGGGCTATCAGTGTGAGTGATACATTGTTGATAATGAGGTTTAAGAATCACCATGCTAACATACCGTAGCAAATGGGTTATGGACCAGGATTTGTAGGTTTCTCACACCCAGGCTACTTTCGCTCTGACAAGCTGAACTCGGAAAGGCACTGTATACTGTTTTCGGAATCATGGCATACTAGTAGGTTCCCTTGCTGATGGCAGTCTGACAGCGCTAAGTCGTCTAGCTCTGGCATGCAGTTGTGGAAAATGTTTGTCGGTTTGGATTCCACGCGGTATCCGATGCGCAGTGAGTGACCCTAAGGTTCATCACCTGTGGCGAGCTGACACACGCAGATTACGGAGACCTGGCCTTCCGGGTGTACGGCACTTGGGCCCGCATTCTTGTCAACGTCCTTCAGAGCTTCCAATTCTTCCTCAACGTGTCCTTGTTGATCGAGAGTAGTGGTCAGAGTCTGGCCCAGATGGCCCAGGGTTCCAGTGGCAACGGCTTCCTTTGCTGTGAGATCCTGTCCTCATCCTAGGAAATTCAACTCTAACTGTGGAATATAGTCGTTGTCGCTGAGGTGATCTTCACCCTCATTGGTTTCGTGCTCGGTCAGATCCGGACCCTGCAGCGTTTGTCCTGGTTGTCCAACCTCGCAATCTGGCTTAATGTTATCGTGATTATCATGACGTACGGTCCCCGATTCACCTATGGTTGAGATGCTGACTTGCTACTAGTATGGCCGTGGTCTATGAGTACCCACCGAACTACTCCGCCGCTTGGACTACCTACAAAACACCCAAGGGCCCGGTCAAGACGAGCGCAAATTGGCCCGAGTCCGCTTCGTTGTACGATCGGATGACAGCCGTGATGAATTGTGTCTTTGCGTATGGTGGTGCCACCCTATTCAACGAATTGATGGCGGAGATGAGACGACCGTATGTACCACCATTATCGTGTATTACCTGTGTGTTTCCTGACATGTTTAATAGATTTGACTTCTGGAAGGGATTTTTGTGTGCCGAAGTGTTCATCTATATCTGTTACCTGGTGGAAGGCATGGTCGTATACAACGCACAGGGACAGTTTACCTACAACCCAGCTTATCAAGGTCAGTCACCCTTGTTATTCTCGACTACCCTACTCACATAGCCCCGCAGGTATCCCGGACTCTGCCTACAGCTACCAGACCCTGGGCAATGCGCTTTCTTTCATCACCTCTGTCATTGCGGCCCTTCTTTACGGCAACATCGGCATCAAGGTCTTCTACTCCTCCGTGCTACGTGACGTGTTTCACATGCCACCTCTCGACCACCGGACCGGCAAATTCATCTGGATCGCGCTGGGTAGGCATCATCTCCGTTTCCACCCTTACAATCCCATTCACTGACATTTGAGCTTCCAGTTCCGATCTACTGGGCCCTCGCCTGGATCATCGCCGGCGCCATTCCCCAAATCAGCAACCTGACCTCATTCGTGGGCGCTCTGTGCATCCTACAATTCTCCTACACCTTCCCGCCAATGCTCCTAGTCGGCTACAACATTCAGAAAGATGCCATGCTTCCCGAGGAAGTATTCGACCCTCACACAGGCGAGACTAAGCGCGTCGACCATGGTCTGAAGCGTTGGATCCGCGGCTACAAGAAGAAGTTTGCCATGAACACCTTTGACATTTTGTATTCTCTGGCGGCACTGGGAACCGCAGGCATGGGTCTGTGGGCGTCAATTGTGGCCATGAGACAGTCTTTCGCTGAGACGAAACTGACGCCGTTTACTTGCACCAACCCGGCTGGTTAGTGTATGGTTGCCCGTTATGTAGTAGTGATGGTGTTGGGGATACTAGTGGAGGTGGGAGTGAAGATTAGCAAGTCAGATGAGTAGTAGTAATAGTAGTATTGTAGTTCGCCGCTCTTGAATGTCGCTTAGCGAGACATACGTGATCAAATGAAAAATGTTCGACCCTGGCACCGGATGTAACTATGGCTAGGATAGAATAATAAATTTGACATATTTCTCTAACAATATAACCAACCTTCCCCCCTCCCCCCTTCTAGCTAATCCCCTCATCAAAACCCCTTAGTCAAATAATACAACGACGCCAAACTTGGCACCTGAGCCCCAACCCTAAACTGCTCCACCACCCCCTCATCAACTCCCTCATACCCCAACGCCCTTGCCGCACACGCCAACTCCCTCATCAGGGGCGCACCCTCCGCAATCCTCGAAAACACAGCATCGCGGACCCTCATCAACGCATCCATCGGATTCAAAGACCCGTTGATAAGTACCTTCGTTCATCGTTCAACCGGTACATCCTCTACATATCTTGCATCTGCTGCGCCCTGGCACAATAAACCCACAATCCCTCTCGCTAATGCAATGCTCATAGAAAAGTACCCGCTGGCACGCCCTACGCTCGACGTGCTCACGCCCTATATTGCGGATGTCCGAAACAATCAAACTCTCTGCAGCACATGAAATGCTATTTCAGAATGCAAGATATTGAGAGTCTAGGGATCATAGGGGACTATAATAGTCTAACCAACCAGTTCCTCTACATCGTGGTGGCCTTTCTTCCCGGATGAAATTGATTGAGGGGCGCCCTACGCCCTACGCCCTACACCTACGCCTGAGCATCTTGGCAGCACACGATGTCTCCCATAAGAGGGGAAGATAGCCGGTGCAGATATTCTTAGCATTGTATTAAAGTGTCAGTGACATATTCTTACTGTCTACATCTTCTTCCGATTCCCCTCCTTACCTTCCATCTAATCCCCCTTTCATCCTCAGCATTGTCCACACACATTCCTCTTCCAATGGCAACTTCAACCCAACCATTAGATGCCTCCAGACTTAGCATCCACCTAACCACCACACCCCGCGAGGTCCCCATCCCCGGCTCCAAAACCGCCACCGGCTGTACCGACCACATGATCATCGCCGACTGGACCACCGAAGCAGGATGGTCCACCCCCCAACTCGTCCCCTACGGCCCCATGGAAATGATGCCCTCCGCCAGCGTCCTCCACTACTCGACCTCCTGTTTCGAAGGACTAAAGCTCTACCGCGGCCACGACGGAAACCTGCGTCTCTTCCGCCCCGAAGCCAACTGTGCCCGTTTCCTCCGCTCCGCGCAACGCATCTCCCTCCCCGAATTCGACCCCGAACAGGTCCAACACCTAATCCGCAAGCTGTGTGAGATTGATGGCCCTCGCTGGCTGCCGAAGATCTATCCGGGGAGGTTCTTATACCTTCGACCCACGATGATTGGCACAGACTCTAGTCTGGGCTTCCATGCACCCCGGGCTGCCCGGCTCTTCATTATCATTTGTTGCTGGCCGACTATTCAGTCCGCGGATGATACCGGGATGAGACTTGTTGTCAGCACGGAAGGGTCTGTCCGCGCCTGGCCTGGGGGTACCGGTGCGTCCAAAGTGGGTGCTAATTACGGTCCTACGGTGCAAGCACACGTCAAGGCCACAACGGCGGGGTTCCAACAAGTTCTCTGGGTGTTTGGCAAGGACGATCAGGTCACCGAGTCTGGGTCTTCGAACTTATTCACTATTTGGGAAACGACCGATGGAAGGGTTGAGATTGTCACGTGTCCGTTGGAGAATGATCTCGTTCTGCCGGGGATTACTCGTCAAAGTATTCTTGCTTTGTTGCGGGAGAGGTTAGATGTGGAGGGCTCGGCGTTGCTGGGATCAGTGAAGCCTGTTACTGTGGCAGAGCGGTCTTACACGATGGGTGAGATTCAGGCTGCGGCGAGGGAGAATCGCCTTTTGGGTGCTTTTGCGGCGGGGACGGCGTATTTCGTTACTCCGGTGTCGTATATTGATTATCGTGGAGAGGGGATTGAGGTTCCGGTCGGAAAGGTCCCGTATGTGGCGCTGTTGCAGGAGTGGTTAGCTGATATTATGTATGGGAAGGTGGAGAGTGATTGGGCTGAGGTGGTGGAGGAGCCGACAGCTTGAGAGAACCATCCATTGTCGTTGTTATGAGGAGTTATCGACCATATGAAATAAGCTCAATCGACAGGGTGGATGTAAATCATGGGAGAAGCATCGACACTAAACAGATGAAAAGCATTATACCTGGTGACTGACCACCAGACTGGCATATAGAACCATCGTCAACCCGTGAAACTCATGTCATGAACTACGGGAGTATGTTGATGAAACTCATTTTACTTTCTGAATGGCACTAATCAGCTCTGGTCAAGCCTGTTGGTTTCATTGAGCCAAGGTGTTTATAAACAGGCGATAGGCGATGATACAAAACACCAAATTTGTCTCAACCGAGCTTGCCACATACACTCTAAGACAACCCATACCTCGTCACTCATCTCCCAGGGCAATATCGGCTCACTCCCCCTTCATAACCCCCCAATCGCCCTCCGTCCACACCAGCTTCATAACCCAGTTGCGAACCTTCCACAACCCATCCGTGTCATCCTTCTCCACATCCACAAAATACAACGATCCGCTCATCAATCGCGTCGCACCCGGCTTGTTTCCCTCTCCGGGACGATAATGCTGCGCCAGCGCGGACGCCGTGATCGTCGCCTTGTTCTGGGTGCCCTCGACCACGCTAACCCGAATGTTGCTCAGAAAGTGGGTGGTATCGAGTTTGGCGACGTTGGCGAAGGAGTTGTCATGGATGGACTGGCGCCCTTGCATCACGTTGTCACCAAAGGTGAAGGTCGCGTCGGGAAAGAAGGCAGAGTTGAAGAGCGCGACGTCGCCGGTGTCAAAGGAGAGGACGGTTCGGTTGAGAGCATCGACGATGGCTTCTCGGTTGTCGAGAGAGGGGGCTTGGAGGGTGATTGGGATGGACATTGTGGTGGTGGCGGTTGTAGAGTAGAGTGAAGTTGTTGGTTGGGGATAAACGGTGGTATACATGTTCCTTTATATCTAACGATATGCTAGGTGCAGATATGAAACAAGCCGTTGACATATCGTGGTTGATTCGGAGACCGAGTGGGAGATGCAATCCAGCATCGGTCATGGCCCTAACTCCGGGATTATGTCCGCAGCCCTATGCGGCCCGGTTCCACAGCGACGCGAGCCTGCCAATCACCACTCTGGAAGCGAGCACATATCACGCATCTCATATTGAATGGCGTGATGGCTCGAATTATTGAATATGCTTGTCTGAACTTGGCTCTGGCGGTCCTACATTTCCGGGTTAGCGTGATTCTGACAAGGCTGAGTCGAGATATGCTAAGCGGAGCAGAGGCAGCAGGCCATGTTTAATCTCTGATAATTGTTTCTTGGTTATCATAACTGCGGATACTGCGTATTCAAGGTAGATTTCATCGACATCGTTTGCCCGGGTTGGCCGGAACCTTGACAACATCACCGTCGGTGAAGAGACTCATCCTCGAATCAGATCGATGTATCAGGCTGACCATGCCTTATCCTCTAGACTTGCGAGCCGGGCTCGTAAACGCGCTAAAATCATCTCGGATACAGTACCCTGCGTGCTTTGATACTCTACGTCGTCGTGACCCCCACCTCGGGGTTCTCGCCGAAGCGGTAAGTCGTGGCAGTATGCAGGTCACGTTATGCTTCGTTCAAGGGACCAATGAGAGCAGAGCCCTGACTCGTGATGCAGCGGCATTCAGACCAGGCCAGGGTGAATGAATATAATCTCCTGTTGTCTATAGTGAAATTATCATGTTGGAGAATTTCCATCTTCAAGCTTCCTGAAAAATATTAGCTTCATCTTAATCCAAACATCCTTTTTGTCAGCGGATGCTGCTCGCAAGCCTTTCTCTTCTCTACATTACAGCCCTACCCCTCTATCTTATACCAGACCGCCACTCCAGATTGGATAACATTCTACAGTTCATCTGCTACGCGTGCTGAGGAAAGTGTGATGTGTATTTAGAAATCAACCAATCTACCCCCACTAATCATTCATCAATTGATGGACGGCCCACTGGCAGTCAAAAAGTCAAAATCCGCCCCCTGATGCGCCTGATTTACCGTCCTCTCATAAAGCCCCCTATACCCCCGACGAGAGTCTGCCTCTGCGTCCAAACCGATCCTCCCTCCCCAGGTCCCCCACTCATAACCCCCCGTTTCCGCCTCTCAATCCTCTCCTCCAACACCCCCTCATCAAGCACAACCTCCAACCTCCTCTCCTCAACATCAAACCGAATGACATCCCCCGTCTCCACCACCCCAAACGCCGACTCCGGCACCACCGCCTCCGGCGACACATGCGACACAATCGTCCCCCCCCGCCGTCCCCGACATCCTCCCATCCGACACCCTCAACATATCCATCACCCCCTGGGCAGCCAGTTTCCTCGGAATCGGAATCATCCCCGCCTCTGGCATCCCAGGGTTCCCAATGGGCCCAATCCCCTTGAGCACTAAGACTGAATCCGCTGTGACCTCTAACTCCGGATCATCGATCCTCATCGCCAGATCCTGCGAGTTTTCAAACACCACTGCCCGTCCTTCATGTTTCAGTAACCTTTTGTCCTTTGATGCAGACGCTTTAATCACCGCCCCGTCAGAGGCAATATTGCCATATACCATTGCCAATGATGAGCATGGATACAAGGGGTCCTCCAAGGGGCGGATAATACTCCGCGAGTGCTCAAAGTCCCGGAAGGGCGTACGGTCCAGGACTTCACCCATTGTTTCACCTGTGATGGTGAGGGTAGAGAGATGTAGTAGGGGACGTAATCGATGAAGTAGGCAGACCATCCCCCCCCGCGTTATGGAAATCAGTCATGTAGTTATCTCCCACTAGGCTTGAGATCTACTAGTAGTGGCGTCGTCCGACCAATTCTATCGAGAGTTTCGAGTGTAAATGTCCCCTTGATATCGGGATGACGGTTGACAATGGCCATGAGATGGACCATTGCGTTGGTGGATCCCCCAATCGCTTGAAGCACAATCGCAGCGTTATAGAATGACTCGACAGAGAGTAAAGTCTGCGGGGTCCGCTTAGCCCTAGCAGCCACGACAGCATTCGCACCCGTTTGCTCTGCAATGCAAGCGGGACGCAGACACAGCCGGTGCAGATGCACCCTGCAAGGGAATCAGACCGAGGGGCTGCCGTGATGCATGCCATGGTACTGGCTGTGCCCATTACGCCGCAGGTTCCGATCTGCAGCCATCAGCCCTGTGGATTAAGCAAAAAGGGAAGACTTACTGTAGGAGCCAATTCTTCGTTAACTGCCATTATCTCCTCCACGTCGATGGTACCTGCACGGTACGAGGCCCAATTATTTCGACAGTCTGTACACGCACTGACGCGTTTTCCGCGAGGACTGCCTGGCATCATTGGACCCGTGAGGAGCGGCAGGACGGGCTTGTTGGCGGATATTCCGCCCATGATTTGCGCGGGGACGGTTTTGTCGCATCCTATACAATACTCATCAGCTTCCAGATTATACCACAGAGAGAGTACGAGAAAATAGAAAAAGCGAAAGAGAAGAAGAGCAGAAACATGGAATAAGGAATGAATACCCCCAATCATAACACACGCATCCACCGGCTGCGCCCGAATCATCTCCTCGGTATCCATACTCATCAAATTGCGCAGAAACATGCTCGTCGGGTGGGAGAATCCCTCATGGATACTAATCGTAGGAAAATCAATCGCAATGCCTCCATTGAGATGGATGCCTCGTTTGGCTGCCTCTAAGAGTTGCGGAGCGTTGCCGTGGCAGGGGTTGAACCCGGAATTGGTGTTGATGATTTCGATGATGGGGCGGGAGAGCGTGTCTTCACTGTAGCCCAGGGCTTTGATGAAAACTTTGCGCAAGAAGAGGGAGAAATGTGCGTCGCCGTAGGAGGGGAGGGTTTGACGGAGTCCGGTGGTGCTGGGGAGGGGGTGGTGAGGTCGTAGTCGGCTGCGTGGGGGGTTGATGTTTGGGGGGGGAGGGGTCATTTTGGTGGGATTATGAGATAGATTGCTTGTGTGTGGATGTGTGATTTGGGGAGTTTGTGTATGGCCAGGTGAAGTTATAGATTGATGGATGTGATAGAATGGGTGGCTCGGGAGTGGTCCGCTCGGGATTGAGGGTGGACGGAAGGGTCCCGAGAGAATAGGCGGGGTGCGGAGATGATCCGGATCTGATGGTGGAGGGGAAACAAAGTAAAATTGCAACATCCTGTGAGAATATCTCAAAGACATTATACATTTGGTACTCGTCCCGCAATTTTGATCTTCGTCTTTCTTTGTTTTCTCCACATCTATTGGCAAAATGCTCCGACTCGACGGCAAAGTTGCCCTAATCACCGGCCTCGGCCAAACCACCGACGAGGGCTGGGGCATCGGCGCCGCCATCGCCATGAAGCTCGCGCAGCAAGGCGCACTGATTTTCGGCGGCAACCGCACATTAGCCAGCGCGGAAAGGACCAAATCTCGAATCGAGAGCGAGGGCGGGGTATGCGATGTGCAGCAGACCGATGTCACCGATTCCACCTCAGTCAAGGCTTTGGTCGACAGCTGCATGCAACGCCACGGGCGCATCGACATTCTGATCAACAACGTGGGCAAGTCCGAGCCCGGTGGTCCCGCTGAAATGAAGGAAGAGATCTGGGACCAGCAGATTGATCTCAACCTGAAGAGTGTCTACCTGACAAGTCACTTTGTCCTGCCGATCATGGAGAAGCAGGAAACAGGCGGCACCGTGATTAATGTGTCGAGCATTGCGGGGTTACGTTATATTGGGAAACCTCAGGTGGCATATTCTGCTACGAAAGCTGCAATCATGCAGTTCACCAAGGCCACTGCGGTGATTTATGCGGGCAAGGGGGTGAGGTTGAATACTGTGGTGCCCGGGTTGATCTATACGCCGTACACGAGGGAGCTTGCAAGGCGGTATGCTCCGGGTGGTGATGAAGAAGCGTATATGAAGATGCGTGATGAGCAGGTACCGATGGGGCGCATGGGAGATGCTTGGGACGTGGCGAACGCTACTCTGTTTCTTGCTTCGGATGAGGCCCGCTACATCACTGGACAGATGCTTGTGGTGGATGGTGGGATAACATCTTGGACAGGGAGGGTGTGATGAAGGATTTCTTGGATTTCCTAGCTAGCATTCGCATGTATCTGCTACTGGAGCCTGCAATATCCATATAAAACTCGCTATTTCTTCTCTTGCTCCTTGGACTCCGCCCTTTTTTGCATTCAAAGATTTCTTGTCATTTGGACCCCTGAGCCGTTCCCCATGATAACGCGCCACGTGCACCTTCAGCTCCTTGGTGACGGCTACAGCTCCATAATACCTTGTTTGAAATCGGCGATCACGACTCTGTGTGTGATGTGGTTCCATACTAGGCCGTTGGGTTCGCCGTCGTATTCGATCACGAGGAACCAGGTTGCGTTGGAGTCGACGGAGAAGATCCGGCCGTAGGGAATGTCGGGTACGAAGAGGAGGGCCAGGTCGGGGACGTAGAGGGGGCCTTCGAGGAAGGAATCGAGGGGTTTTCCGCGCTTTTGGTTCTGGGAGTGTTCGGAGTTTGTTTGTAGATTGCGGAATTGTCGGGGGAGTGTTGTCCAGGTTTCGGCTTGGATGGTGGTTGGGTTGGTGGTCATTGTTTTGGTGGGGACTGGTGGTTCTGGTAAATGTTGATGCTCCTCCTTGTCTATGTTAGTAACGAGACTGTTCAGCTGACAAAGGTTCTGAGAGAAATTATCCATGTTAGACCAGAATGGCTCAATGGCGTCACTTCATGGTTCATTGATTGCTCTCGTGTGGACTAATCAGCATCCAGCGGGCTGCTCCCGAGGCCTGCGGAAGGCGCCCGTCGATTAGCCGCGGATCGGCTTCACCTATCATGAGCCGATGGGCTATGGATATCCGGCTTAATATGCCCAATATATTCGTCCAAAACTCTCACAATGTCTCCTTAATATCTCACTGCACCCTTTTTGTATACACCTTCCATTCCATATCACCCCATCTAATCCCACACCAACCCTCCCCCAAAATGACTCTCGTCCACATCGGTCAGTAACCCCTCCAAACACCACATACATACCCTACTAACCAATCTCCACCACAGTCCTCTTCAAATTCCGCCCCGAAGTAACAGAATCGCACAAACAACGGTTCATCACCGAACTGAAAAAGCTCAAGGCCCTCCCATGCGTGAAATCCGGGCGTCTCCTCGTGGGCGGGCCGAGTGTGACCGATCCCATTGAACGCAGCAAAGGGTTCCAAATCGCTTTGGTGAGCTATCATGAGAATCAAGCTGCGTTGGCGGAATATCAGGCAAGTCAGGAACATCATTAGTAAGTGGGCTTCAATCCGGGTTAGGTTTTGTGGGGATTGGGACTGGGATAGGAATGCTAAGATGGGTGTGGCAGTGTGACTTCAACCTATATGTTTCCGTATAAGGAGGATTTGGTCCGGTTTGACTTCGAGGTTGATGCGGAGGATGAGTATATGTGTGATTTTCCGGTGTTGGGCTGAGCTTGAGGGATAATGGGACTAAGTGAAAGTGTGGATGTATATATTTCTTGCCAAGGGTGGTGTCTAAATTTGAGACGCAGTTCAACATCCCAACATGCAGCGATGTTGATAAACATAGACCCGATGGATGTCTTGTACTGAGCGAAATCTAGTCATGGTTGTAGCTGAAAGCATAACGTATGGAAACGCTCCAGATGGGAGCTTGAATGGTGCCTCAGGTATCAGGCATTAGATCACATGGTCAGCATCACGGGGTGTGTCCGTTAACCGAGCGGAGATCCCCGCCTCCAGCTTTTCTTCTCCCAACTATTTCCCCACACAACGGACAGCCAAGCTCCCTCGCCAATCAGCTGGATTGATTTACTTATCGAAATTGTTGTGATGGATTAGTTGATGCATTGAACTTCTCTGACATAATGGCATGCTTCTAGCCAGAAGATCACGTGGCAACCACATACCCCAACACCATCATAGACCGCTCAAGCCAATGATCGCACTCGATAATTAGAGCCTGGGTATTGTTCTGCACCTGGGATGGACTCCCCACGCAGAAACCGGAATCGCGCTGCCTGCAGGCGATGCCAACGAAGGAAGATTCGCGTAAGTGAGCCAGACCTTGCATCGTCGGACTGAGCTTATATTTCACATGTAGTGTGATGGAAATGAACCATCTTGCAGCTCTTGCCTCAAGGCAGGGGCTCACTGTGTCAATGATGGAAGACAGGAGGTTCCTCGAAGGTACATCTCGAATATGGAGAACCGGATCCGGTGGTTGGAGTCGATAGTCAAGGAAAACTGCGCCCATATTGATCTTGGCCGTGATGCCGAGATAGTGGCGGAGGGTACAATGCAACATGATGTCGCGGACATGTCTGCAGTATATCACTCTGGAGGTGTGACGGCTGGGGACCCACAGCAAATACCCCCTGGAGACATCGAGGGGCCAAGACACTCGAGCAACGAGAACGGCGCGCCAAATGCATTACATGAACATCAGTCTTTGGATCAGTCACGCGTAACCAGTAGCCAACACCAGCAAGCACATGAGATCGGCCTGGTATCATTATCCTCTGGAGGAGGTCCTCGATACATCGGACCATCCAGTGGGTATTTCTTCGCAAATCGTATCTTCTCGAGCACCGGACGCCGCCGGAAATCAAAGGGAACAACAAGGGCGACAGCAGGTTCAGCACAGCTGTCGGCTGAGTTGTTGAATAACCTCACTCTGTTACCTGCGCGAAAGGAAAGCGCTGTGGAGCTCTCAATCAAGTACTTTCGAACGGTCCATCTCACGTATCCGTTCTTGCATGAGCCGACCCATATGTCTGTGATTGACCGAGTCTATGCATCACAAGAAGAGAATCCCTTGGATCTCTTCCAGGTTTACATGGTCTTGTCAATTGCGGCATTGGCCCTTTCTCGCGAATGCAAGGTACACCTTCCGGTGGAGGGTTACTATGCATCGGCAATGAGGTATGTCGAGCATGTTTGTGCAGATGGGTCGATGACTGCTCTGCAATGCTTATTGCTGCTCATGGTTTATGCTCTGCATAACCCGTCCTCCGATGTCAACATCTGGAATCTGAACTATCAGTGTCTTGCGAGCGTGATAGACCTAGGCCTGCAGCGCGATGTCCGAGCTTCTTCCTCACTCCAAATTTCTGTCTTTGAGCAGGAGATGAGGACACGCGTTTTCTGGGTGGTATACACGTTTGATCGCGCCATATGTACGATGATGGGACGGCCCATCGGAATCAGAGATGAGGCGTGTGAAATGAGGGTAAGGGACCTTGCCATGGCTCGTTACATCGCTGACAATTCCACAGTTCCCGCTTGATATACCGGATCACAATCTCGTCAACCCAGACATTAGCCAGCATCCACCTGTAGGATCACTATCACACATGGCGCACGCGATCCATCTGTTCAAATTGGCCAAGATCAATTCAGAGATCAAATACGTCATGCACAGCATCCAGCGTGATGTGCCCGCATACGCATACCCGCCAGTGAGAGACATATTCACCTGGCAGCGGGATATTGTCAACTACTTGCAGGATTGGCTATCAGAAATCCCGCAACAAACAAGCAGTGGAGAAAATGGAATGGGCAAGGTATGTAAGATCAAGTATCATGAAACGATGATCTTGCTGCTACGTCCCAGCCCTGCAATTCCACATCCAGCAGATGAAATCCTTGATCTATGTTTTCATCAAGCCGTTGACCTCCTCCAAGGGTTTGGCGACCTATACAGAACGGGCAGCCTACTCTATAGCCGACTCCTTGTCCACTCAGTCTTCCTCGGGGCTTTGGTATTACTCTATTGTATCTGGAAACTGCCTCGAACCACTGCCAAGGTTCGCGTGGATGAATTAGTCTCGAACCTCACGGTGGCGCAGAACATACTCAGCAGCATCGGGGAACACTGGACCGAGGCTACTCGAGCGCGTGAATGCATCGACGAGTTGTCTAGCGTGACAATCCAACGGCTTCTGAGTCAGTCAACAACTGTTACATCGCGTTCCGCTGAAACAGAGACGCATTCGCGGGCTGGCGCGATTCAAATCACATCAGCCACGTCCCGTCAACCGCCAGATTGCCATGTTAGCCAGAACCAAGCCTTTTCTGGAGTACATGGCAACTCCAATGCAGAGGTCATGCCTTTGGTCCATCAGGAAGGAAACCTGCCAGATGATGCTTCGTACCACCTAAACCTCTTCGATGACCTCTTGCAGGGCGATTTCCAGGGCTGGAGCGGGATGTCCGATATTGATGGGCTCATGTGGGAGATTTTCAGTACCTCCCCGCAGTGAAGGACGAGGAATATACTGTGGAAAACCAGAAGCTCAATGAAAACCTACTTTCCGATTCTCGCCGCATTGTCCTGACTGGCGATGGATATCGCAAAGATTCATCGGCAAACATCAACCATCTCTACCGAGACAATATGCGAGCCAATCGGAGCTCCGCCGTAGGCAGCGGGTGGCTGCCGTGTGGGTCCGTCCTCGTCGCCCGCCAATCTCCGAGCCTCCATCCCGGACGTCCCACGTCATAAAAGCAGGCTCTCGCTCCAACATCTACACCAACCATCCACAACCAACATACCAGACACACAGAATCAAAATACCCATCACATCCGTCACCCCAATCAAAATGACCGACCCGTCCCACGAAATCCGGCACATCAAGCCCACCGACCTCACAACATTCATCCACTCCATTCTGACCAAAAACGGTGTGTCCGACTCTCACGCCTCCATCATAACCTCCTGCCTAGTGCAAGCCGACCTTCGTGGCGTGGACACACACGGCAGCAACCGCATCCCATCCTACATGAAACGGATCCGCCAAAACGTCCTCTCCCCCACCGCCCAACCCACCCTCACCCAACAAACCCCCGTGGTCGCCCTTATCGACGGGCAAAACGCCTTCGGCTTCGTCTCGGCCCACATGGGCATGGCGCGAGCCATCGAAATGGCCTCCGTCTACGGCATCGGCCTCGTCTCCATCAAACACTCCAACCACTTCGGCATGTCCGCCTGGCTAGTCCAACAAGCCCTGGACGCCGGGATGATGTCTCTCGTCTTCACCAACTCCTCGCCCGCGCTCCCCGTCTGGGGCGGGAAAAGTAAACTCATGGGCGTATCCCCCATCGCATGCGGTGCCCCAGCCGGTACCGCCCCGCCCTTCATCCTGGACATGGCACCGTCCATCGCCGCGCGGGGCAAAATCTACAAAGCACTGCGCCGGGGCGAGAAAATCCCAACCGACTGGGCCCTCGACGGCGAGGGCAACATCACAGATGACCCCGCCAGAGCCCTCGAGGGCGTGATGCTTCCAATGGGCGGACCGAAGGGATCCGCGCTAGCGATCATGATGGATGTGTTTTCGGGGGTGTTATCCGGGAGTGCGTTTGCGGGGGAGGTCACGGGCCCGTATGATCCCAGTAAACCGGCGGATGTGGGTCATTTCCTCGTGGCGATTAAGCCGGATCTGTTTATGGGGTTGGAGGAGTTTAAGGAGCGGATGGATTATTTGTATCAGCGGGTGGTGGGGAGTGAGAAGATGGGTGGGGTCGAGCGGATTTATTACCCGGGCGAGATTGAGCAGATTACCAGGAAGACGAGGGAGGTCGAGGGGATTCCGTTGACGGTGGCGGAGATTGAGGCGTTGAATCGCGAGGCGGAGATGGTGGGAGCTGATGTCTTGAGGGTTGACTAGGTTGCATGCATACCTGTTGTGTGGGAGCATGATACTGCGGAGGCTTTGTAGAGTAGTGCAATGGTGTGTTGATAGCTGGACTAGCTCTGGAACGAATTGCATATGTATAGTTGCGCAGAAATGAGAAAAGCCTATAAATGCGTGACAAAGGAGAATGTCGTTGGGCTCCTATCAACCTTTAGTGCAGAAAGCAGAATGGTGGTAAAAGGCAAGACGAGGGAAGACAGAGTGCATAGTTAATCTTAGCAATCAGTGTTGACTAACAGAAACATTCACGTGGCTGACTCCACCAGATTGCTCAAACATTCTTAGCCGCTCTCTATCCAACCTTTTTGGACGAGGTGCTGCCAGGGGCTGACGCCTGGTTTCCCGAAGAGCACCATCGCCTTGTTCTGGTTGAGGCGAGTGCGTCGGCTCTTTCGCGGTTAAGCTAACTCCTGACCGGAGCCATTTGGGTTTCTGTCGCGGCGCTGGTTTGCTAGACTTGTGGGAACTGTGCAAGCTGCTCGCGTCCGTATCCGAATAGATACAAAATATTTCACTATTCTCTTGTGAGGGGGACACTGACTCAGTCCTCGTGTCATCCGGTGAAGCTGGCGATCTCAGATAATTCGGGACATTGCTATCGGTAACCTTAGGTAGACCGGGACCATCTCCACAGGCGTCGTCTACTGGGCCAGCCTGGTTCTTGGCTTCCCAATGGTGAGGCACCAACTTGCCTATAGCACCCTTAACGCAATGTGCCCCGGTGGAAATTGCATCGCTGTGCCAGTTAGGTTTCCAAGACGGTGTCAAGAATTCTGACGGTGACTTGATACGCGGGGGTGAATCGTTTTTCGATGAGCTGGGTGGTTCGTCCACACCCTGTTTATCCTCGTTCTCAGCAGTACCTAGGAGGTCACTCAAGGCGCAAGCATGCCCAACCATATCTCCAGCAAACCCGACGTCTTCGTTGCCAGCATAGTTGCCAATGTCGCCTAGGTTACCTGTCACCGATAAGGCATTGCTTATGGAGGCGGCTCCCCTTCGAAATCGCTCTAACTTATCCGTGATAGATGTATGCATGCTGGACCATGTCTGCCGGGTCTCTGGGCTGGAGGATTCATCCCTCTGGCGTAGGGTTGTCTCCGAAAGATCGTTCAGGGCAGCTTGAAGTTGGCCGTGAGACTCCTCCAGATTGCGCAAGTGTTTTGCTGTGAGGTCATCTTCGCCCTTGTTTGTCATGACTGATTTTTCCAAGCGGTCCAGCAAGGCAAATCGATCCTCGATGCCAGCTAGTGTGCTCTTTATATTTGGGATTGCCGCCTGTTGGTTGGCCATGGTAAGAGTAGCATCGACTGCCCCTCTCACCTCTTCGACGGATGCCGCCACAAACCTTCGGACTTCCTCCTCCGCCATATTGAACTGACTATCTTGCACATCACTGACGGGGATCAATTTCAGAAACTCCACGGCGCACACTGCAGCAGCTATAGCAGCATACCCGTGCCATTGATCATTTTTGTGCGAATCCGCGTAGTCACAAATACCGCGAATGCCAATTGCATCGATGTTGGTCAGTGCCGCTGACTCCATATCAAAACAAAGCGTCCCCAGCCGCTGGGCGTGATTGTCGCGTGTCCGGGCATCTTTGATAACCTGATCTCCAGATGCTATTGCACCCGAATGGACCAGAACACGGCTGCCCTGGACACGAGGTTCGCGGTTGACGAGGCGATCGGAAAGCTGGGAGCTCGCTCTGCTGCAGTCGCAACCTTCGTGATGGACATAGTCGGATAAGTACAGGCGGTCTGACGTTTGCTCTGGCCGTTGAAACTTGCGTTTGATCCGGCTGGACATGCGGCCGATCTTGTCCTCAATGATTTCTTCCATATTCAATTGTACCATGGTGCGATGCTGCATGTCATTCGCTCGGTACAGAAGAATATCGGGAGGGTAAAGCACATGGCCCGTGTATTCATGCCCACTGGGGGTTTGTTTGCCGAACAAGTACGGGATCACCCGGGTTCCGACGACCACATCCCCGAGGCGCACGTCGTTGCCAGCATCCGGGGAGCCCCCGGCGATTCCCACCATGACTGCGAACCGGATCGAGGGGAAGCTGCTTCGCATACTTGCTATGACCCTGGACGCGGACACCAAGCCATACGAATTGGCGGGTAGACAAACTACCACAACATGGTGTTTCCCGATGCGGCCCCGGGTGTACACGTTGTAGTCGCCCTTGGCTTGCAAGGCATCCGGGTGGTCCTCATAAGTCTCGTCCAAGACCTGCAGAGCGGCAATATACTCGACCAGCAGGGCGCAGATCCATCCAACTGTGAAATTCCAAGAACCAGGAGGAGACGCTGGTGCCATCGGTATGAGCGTGTCAGTAGGCGATTAAGGAACAGTCTTGAAATGCTTCGGTCCACTCTCAAAGATAGACAGTTCCGCTTATGCTGCCAATATCCAACATTAGTAATGGGAATACAAAGAGTATTCGTCGGATCCGCCGTCTCGAACCTCCCTAGAGCCCATGTCTGTCTTCTGTGGGCGCGGAGTTCATGAACTCGGGATCGGTGCGCTCAGTTGGCTTTTAAAACGGGCCACCCCAAGTAACCATTGAGGCAGCTCGATGCCCAGCCTTGTGTGCCAAAATCCGCCTCTTATGCCCCTCCGTGGCGTGCAGGCCACTACTGCAAGATTTGCTGGCGCGCGGCGACTCTGATTGGACGCACCATTTTCTACCCGACGAAACATGTAGCTCATCCTGTCATAGCCACCATCCTTTATCATGAGTCTGGCTGCCTTCTCCATTTATTAAAACGAGGCCGATTCGGATCGAGAGCGGCAGAAGTTGATGCTCGCTTCTTCCTGCCACGGGCAGGTTTGCGGCGGAAGACCTAGCCCGGAGATTGGGCGCCTTCATCTCTAGATTATCTGCATCCGTGTCTTGCGACCCTTGATCAAACCGGCAAATTAAACTGCTCCGCCAGTTTTGATGCTGATCTTCAATGATCCGATTTAGCATGGGCCTTGGCAGGTGCGGCGATAAGATCCCCGCTTCCCCCCCCTTTCTCCCCGGGCCCAGCACGTGGCGTCCAAGACTGGCAGGCGGTGGAGAGCTGCCGAGTGAATCAATATATGGGGCAAGGCATGCCACTTCCTTTTTGGGCAATTGTCAACACCAGCAAACGCATCCTAGATCCCCTCAAAGACCTATTTCCAACTATCCTCGACAGTAATAGATTAGCTGAAAACATCATTGCAATGAATTCCAGCCTGAGCCGTTCGCCGAATGTTTGCCAGTACCAATGGTACTCCACCCGATCTGCAGCCGTGGAAAGTGTCAATGCATACACCCGCTCCCGAGGCTACACTATCGCTTTCCTTTATAGCAGAAACTACAGAGCCGGCACGACCAAAGCCGTATATTTCGGCTGCGACCGCGGCGTACTATTCGGATCCCTTTCCCGTGGTCGGAAAACTCGTCGCCGATCATCGCCCTCCCGAGACATCGATTGTTCATGCAGTCTAATGGTGAGCTATCACATAGTTACCGGTAGTGCCGGGCTAAGACTCGCAATCCATCTCCCAATTATGGTCCGGAGGAGGGTTATATCCCGGCTGGAGTGGATGCGGGGCTCTCTACCGGAAAGGGTGTTGAAAGGGGTATTGCGCGACGGGTAGGTCAATGTACAGAGGTTCAGGACAGTTAGGGTTCCGGTACCAAAACCGGTCTTCAAGTTGTTTGGTTAGTGATGCGTCTGACACTGGCTTTGGGCAAATAGCTGCAAAACTAATTTGAAGATAGAATATCCTTTGCGGCCATTTTGGTTACCCCACAAGATGAAGTTGTATTTTATCACATGGATGCCCACACAATCAACTAAAGTCAAGGCTTATTTTCAATGGAGCTTCATAAAACTGGATATGTGTGCCGGATAGACTCCCCGGATATTGATGCAGGGGCTAATTCATTGTGCAACCTGTCATGGAGCTATGATCTACAATACCTTGATGATCGACCGAAAACCGCGTAGCCGTCGCGGTACTTAGACGTCCCATCATGCAGGAACTATTTCTTCGACTTCCATCACATTTCCCATTTTAGCAGATCTGACATTTAACCTCCGCGGGCCATGGAATTCAAATGCAGAGCGGGGTTTGAAACGGGGACTAGGGTAGGCACTGTACACCTGAGCGACAGTTCTACAAAGATATTGCGAAGTCATTTCCCTTTTGCACAACAGCCCTAGTCTGTGTATTATTGAGTCGAATTCAACATTTGAGACGCGATGTGGTTCAGCTCGCGACCAGGAACAACCCCGCCGGCATGTACGCACGCCGCTCGACGCAACTTCCAGCGCCAATCACGCCATCCCATTGCACGATTGATAATAGGTCGACATGGCCTGTCTCCTCATCTTATCAGGCTTATCATAAATCACGACAATGCGGAATTAAGCCATGTCTAGGGCAGATCAGGTATTTAAGATCCGGGCGATCTGTCAAACTGTAAACTATCTCGGATCATCCGCACCCAGCACCCAAGTCCACAGCGTAGCCAATCAGTCAAAATGTCAACCACGAACACAAATACACCACCCAAGCTACGCGTAGCAGTTATTGGGGCCGGCCCAGCAGGTCTGGGTGCAGCCATCGAATTTTCCAAATTGCCCTTTGTGGACTTGCGCATCTACGAACAGGCCCGCGAGCTCCGGGAAATCGGCGCAGGGATCAGCATTCAACAGAATACCTGGCGTATGCTGGATGTTTTCGGGGTGTATGACAACGTCGATCCAAAGGATCTGTTTCGCCCGGCAGATGGACATGCGGTCCAGCATCGGTGCGTGCATACCCAGTATTCTTCTGATCAAATCTGACAAGAATAGAAACGGCCGAACGGGGGAGTTATTGCTATCCAAAGGCCAAGAACGTGTGTACTCCTACATTCTCCTGGAACATCACTAACGCCATGCCAGACACGCCTCCTCGCTATCTTCATGCCCGCGCACTCCGCTCCGTGCTCCAAAAAGCTCTCCTCAAGGGCGTCGACAAATCCAAACTGCGACTGTCCAGCCGACTTGCCGAAGTTACCCAACTACCCTCCAGTGCATTCTTCCTTCGCTTTGACGACGGCCACACCGACGAGGTTGATCTCCTCGTTGGTGCAGATGGTGTCCGATCAGTCAGCCATACCCTTCCCGTCCAAACCATCCTATCTAACAGTCCGTCCAGGTAGTCCGACAGTTCATCTATCCCGACCATCGCCTGAAATACATTGGCACAACAGCATACCGCGCTCTAGCGGACGCCAGGGACATTCTCAGCATCCCCGGCATTCCCGACTCGATAACCGTCTGGCATGGACCAGCCGATCGACTATATACCTGTAACCTGAATAACAATGTCTACGAGATCGCGGCGCGAGTTCCTCAAACTGCAGACACTGCGCCGGTTAGTTGGGGGCAGGATGCGAGTGTGGAAGAGTTTAGCTGGAGATACAAGGTTGTACTCCCGCATGGAACATAGCTCTCGCTAATATATGGATAGGACTTCTCTCCTATGCTGCAAAGTGTGCTTGAGAAAATCAAAGAAGTTAAGAAATTCGCCCTCTTCTCCGGACCGCGATTGTCAAGGATTATTTCTCACGGCTCGATCGCATTGATTGGGGATGCGTCGCATCGTATGTTTCTCACCTGCTATTTATTCATAAAACTAACTGTTTGCAGCATTGTCAGGAGCCTTCGGTATATGCTCCATCTCTACATCCATTCCCAACAGCTAATACTTTATAGGCGCCGGCGCCGGCTTTGCCCTCGAAGACGTCTATGTCCTGACCCGGGCAGTGAAATGGGCACACGACCGCGGGCTCCCGATCAGCGATGGCTTGGAATTATTTGACCGAGTTCGGGCTCCGCATTATGCAGCTATGGTTCGTTACATACCCATGTTATCAGTCGTGCGTTGCTGATGAAGACAGTATGAGATCCTGGACGGATACAGCAAGGCAGACGTAACGGTCAAGGAAACGGACGGCTTCGACGAGGCCGTGTCGGTTATCGTAGCGAATAAGTGGGATGATGATCATGGTTGGTTGTATCGGTATAACGTATATGCTTCTTCTATTTTCTCTTCTTGCTTATAAGGGGATAGACTGATGATGTATAGGTTGAAGAAGCGTGGAGAAAGACTCAGGAAGCGGAGGATGCTCGTCTAGCTGAGATTGAAAGCTCTACTAGCCTTGGTGAGAGTGTGAATCCCCGCCTCTAATGAGAGACATTACTCTTATGATGTCGCCAACACCCCGGAGCATCAACCTTCGAGAAGAAACAACCAATATGGCGAGGCACAGGCTTCGTGGTCAGAATATATCGCATCAAATTGCCCAAGAAAATTGGAATTAGATTTGGACGCAAACAAATTACACAACAAACCTGAATATGATACGAAATCAGGGAAGGGCAAGTTAATAGGACAGCTACCTGCACACTATTCTCCTGTTCGTACACGATCGGGGTTACTCGATCATCCCATTGATATCTTAAACATATTCCAGATATTCCATTCAATGTTTCCAACATTTATCTAGCATCCTGCCAGCAATTGCATTACTGATTACTTGCTGGGCTATATACATTCAGTTCCTATTCATACACCTCTTACCCCATCAACCGAGTAAAAAGCCATCCACATACTAAAATACATCAATTCTCACAGATACTTACTTTTCCACCCCCATAACGAAACAAGGAGAGGAGAGTCAAACAACACTCAACCCTGAACACCACCCCCTCCATCATCCCAACTTCTCCACCCCACTCCCAGCAACCAACATCCGATCCTAGAACCCATCAGCAAACTCCCCATCCCCACCAAAAGCGCAGAAACTCACCATAACCCACCCCGGCATAAACGAGGTCAAAAACCAGGTAATACTCGCCATCTTGCCCCTCCAAACCAACCCACTCTTCCCAGCCAGCAAATCATCCACCACCCGTCTCGCATACTCCGACGGCGCCATCGCATCCTTCACCACCTGACCCGTCGCCATATCCACAATCTCCTTCTTCGCACCTTCATACATCGACCCCTTAAGATCCAGATCCGGCGCCTTCGTCCAAAGATTCGACCCCACGACACCAGTCATCACGATGACAACCTTTACCCCGAAAGGCGCGAGTTCTTGACGTAGAGACTCGCTGTAGGATTTTAGGGCTGCTTTGGAGGATGTATAGAATGCTTTTACCCACATAATGGACCTATATTAGTATAGTCTCCGGGCTTTTCAACAAGGGTCTAAAAGGAAAATGGTAGATGAACATACCATTCCACGGAACAGGCATAACGCCGCCCAAGGAACAAATATTCACAATCGTCCCCTTGGCCTTGATAACCAACGGGGCAAAAGCATTTGTCATACCCACCACACCCCAGAAATTCACATCGAAGAGTTCTTTTGCTTTCTCGAGCGGAGTGTCCAGTGCTGGTAGGGTCAGCGGTACACCGGAGTTATTGATGAGGTAGGTTAATGTCCCGCTTGTGAGAGAGGATACTGTTTCCACGGCGGCGGAGATATCCTCGGGTTTGGTTACATCCAGCGTGAGGAGCGTCATGTTGGGGTACTGCGATAGGTGGGAGAGTTTGGCCATGGAGCGGGCGGTTGCGAAGACGTGGTGGTTTCGCGCGTGGAAGGTTTCGGCTAGCGCGGAGCCGATTCCGCCGGCGCTGCAGCCGGTTATGAGGACTGTGGGGAGGGTGATTGTCATTTTGGGGTTGTGATGATGGATGTGATGGAGATTGGGATGGAGGAGGTAAGATGGATGGACGTGAGTCAAGGGGAAAGGAAGTCAAGGTTATCATGTCAGAGAATGTCATGAGCGGGGTCGGAGATGATTGGAAGCTTGGCATGGCTATTTTTAGGGTGGGGCGTAGATTGCAGAGATAACTCTATCCAATATGTGGGAACTGGGAAGAATGTGCATTATGAACCTCACATATATTCAGATACATGTTCTCAGTGCAAGATCCGAGGCAGTTTGATCAACCCAATGATATCAAAAGCTCCCCCAAACTAGAATCGAAGGCCCCGAGATTACTACCCCGAAAACCGGTGGCTGTCCCGTGACTTGAATTGCACATGGTAGTGAGCACAATATAGTAGAGAGATGGTAAGGCATGCATGACCAGATATGCTCAACCTACATGACGCGATATCTACCTCGAAAGCCTAACTCGGGCGGCCTTCACGACCGGACCATACAACGCTTCTCATGCTCTCATAGGCGACTGGATCCAGTTCCATCCATTGTCACGCATGTATTCCAGACACTGCTCGGCTTGATAGCCAGAGTGTCCCTCAAGAAGATCATAGGTATCAACCTTTGGAAACAAAGGTGCGAGTGTTGGATGCTCATATCTCCAGAACTTGACTTTAGTTCCGATCGCCGTTGCTCCGAAAATGCGGCGTGTTGGATTAGTATTCCCCTCGCAATGTTGGGCGAGTTGAAGCCTTGCAGACTCCCACTCGTCCGGTGTATCCTTGCTGGGCCGTTTGCATTGCACTATCAAAATATCATTCTCCGTGAAGCTGGGGGCGTCTTGCGGGTCTGGAATGGAGGGGACGACAAGAGACATCTGGAATATGACATAGTCGACATCCATGTCCTGGCGCCGGACAGTCTGTTTGCTGCAGAACTTGAAACCTGACTCGAGGGGAAAGAAGGCGATACAGATGTTCGTCCAGAGAATGCTGACAGACGACTCGGTGGAGTGCGGGGTCACCGCGCTTAGCGCACTGGATAAGGCAACATGCCGCGAGAAGGCTGAAGGGGAGGAAGTTGACATGGTTGAAGACGTATGCAGTGTATCTGATGACCGATTAGCCAAAAGTGATTAGTTTTCATGAAGCATTTATTGGTTGTTTGCAATTCAGGAGATGGACGGAGAGTCACAGCAGTCCGAGAAGCGAAACAAGACTTTGTCACGTGATATAGAGGCAGGCAGCCAATAGCGGCCTTCTGCCAATTATGTCTCACTGCTGTTTGTAATCCCACCATCGGTTTTTTTTTGTCATATTTTATGACAACTAGTTGACTCTTTCTATATGCATAAAGCAATGTAAACGCTACTGTACTCAGCGATCACCCAAGTTGGACTGAAGGAACTTCCTAATTTCCAGATATGACTATCCTCTTTACCTAACTTGTCGATGTTTGACGTAAGCACCACATTACTCACTCCAGTAATTTAGCCCACCAGCTGACCAAAGGAAAAGGCATTCAAGATGGTTGCATTTGGTATCAATGACACTGCATCGCCCGGCACAGAACCGTCCCAACCAGGGAAGAACCTGCCCATCTGGCCACCATCCTGCCCACCGGAAACGTCGACTCTCTATCCTAAGCCGCAGGTACCACCCTACCAGACTTTCAATCGATTTTTGAATATTGACTTTGGGGGGGTCCGGGGACGGAGGCTCACTCATTTCACACGGATCGTGGCCCACATGTTCGCCTCTCAGGCTCCTCTGGTCGACCTGTCGTTTTATTATGATCAACAGGACCCCTTGCACTTTGGTTGACAGGGTATGACCGAGGTTTCTTTCATCATCGATGGGCCTAGCGGGGAGACGGTAGAAAGCGTGACCTATCAACAAGCATCCGCCTCACAGGGGATTGTCACACTGCATGTCGGTGGCCATTATCACTAGACACTGACAGCCTTGTCTCCATGGCTTTTTTTCAGCACCTCGAGTACCCAGATGTCATTGGAGGGATCAAAGTTACCTATGAATCGGGCCATGCTTTTGATCTAGGCACAGTGAGCGGAGCTCCCATGTCAACCGGGGTATTCTTCGAACCCGGCGACTCCATCAACAGGGTTGAGCTTTTCAAGGTTGCCTTTGGATTGGTCAATATCTCCGTAGGTCCTTAAACTTGCAACGCTGCTACCCTTCTCCCTTCTTGCCCCATGCACATGGCTAAACTCTACAGTTTCTGTGCCTGGACGCCAAAGGTAGACAGTTCACCACAAAGGCATTATTTGATGCCTCCACAATGCGACACGGGATCAGAGGAACTATCGCCCGGCATGTGATCGACATTTTCACGCGAAAGTACCAGTTGCTATACAGGCGTTTCAAGGGACCAACTCGTGAAGAGGACATTCCCCAAGGTGAAGTGGTCGGGCTCTGGGGGTTTGATATGGCCGAGAGGGGCTTGTCCATCGGACTGGTAATTGACCAAAACAACCCTAACTGAGTGTTACAAATACCCCGACGCGGCCTACAATCTACCCAACCCCCCCGCCTGGACCTGCGCAAGCTAGATTCGACATGTATTAACAACATATACCACCCCACCCCCAACCGTAGATAGTAACACCTAACCACCCAACGCTCCTTCCCCACCGACCCCTCAGAACCTCAAATCAGTAGCCCACCTCCACCCCCTCTCCCTAACAACCACCAAAGCCTCCTCCAGCCCACATCTATCAGCAGGATCTTCCAGATCCAACTCAATCCCATCCTCAATAGACGTATACCCCACCGGATACGAACAACAACAAACCCTCACCTTCATCCCAACCGCCAAAACCCCATAGATTCGTTTCCTCCCTTTCAAACTATCCCGACAGTACTCGAGCATCTGGGCCTTCGCGTGCTCCCAACCCATCTCGGTATCTTCTGTTGCGTCCTTGTATAGAACAACGAAGATGGGAACGTGAGCGGAGTAATCGATACAGTCCGGATCGTAGGATCGTATCACGATGCAGTCGAAGAGGGTTCGTTTGTGAAATGGGGGGTTGCCTGCAAGGACGTGGCATTCTTCGCTTTGCGTGAATTGGGAGAGGGGGAAGGATTGGGTGCAGATAACGGTCCATAGGTTGCGTGGTGTTGGGCAGGTGCGGTTGATGGTTTTGAAGTCGTATTTGAGGATGGATTTGGCGTGGTAGGTTGGTGGCGGGGCAGTGGTTTTTTGGGATGGTTTGCGCATGTTGTGTAGATATGAAGTATGGTAGTCCGTAGGAGTTTGAAGAATTTGTGGTAGTGAGAGAGGCTTATGAATGTAGCAGTTTCTTTGTTTTAGGGGGGTTATATTGGTTTCCTTGATGAGAGTTTGTTTATTCCTGGTTGGGCATAAAGAGTTGACTTGGTGTTAATGGTTCGTGCCCTACCGGTGGCTTTTATCGTGCAGGTTGTAGGAAGTAGTCGAGATTTACTACTTCGGTAAATTGCAATCCATTGAATCCTATCGTTTTGCAGTTGATGAAGGGTTAAGTGCGGTCACACGGCATATTGTCAGAATTTCGAGATGTATGAGTAACACTATAAGGAGATACCCTTGATTCAGCTTTATTTATATCTTATTTACAGGACAATAGAGATAAAACAGATGATGATGGAGTTGAAGGGAGATATGCATAATTGAGGATTGTGATAATTGAAGGATTTTCTGAATAGTATATTCACCAAAGCCTGCAGTATTCCCTTAGCCTTAAGGGCCCTTGCTGGGCGGTGCTTCGTGATTCAGAGTTATGTTTCCCTTTCGAAATCATGCATGATGAACATTCCTAAACTGGTGCGCGCTACTATTCCAAATCTGGATGCTGAAATCAATGTTCAATAAACAGGAATATGTCTATTTTTATATTGAATTGTATAACAATTAGAAGGCTAAATGCCGAGAATCCCTCATGAAATATTGACTATAGGGATATTGCTGTTATAAATATTTTATGCTGACCCAGCGTCTACCGAGATTTCTATCCCGGGAATCTTACGGTAAACATGGTTATCTATGCTTTTCAAAGCCCGCAGACCACACGGTAATTACCGCTCGGATGAAGTGTAACACTTTGGTATACGAAGCTTGTCGATACGATAGGTTTCTTTAGTCCCTAGCCTACGATCAGCTCCAGCATTCGTTGTGCTAGTTTCCATGCTCCGAGATCCGAATCAATATTCATAGTCCTATAGGCCAGGGGGCTGTAATTGCAATACGCACTCCTATCGCTCGTTGGCTTCTGCCTCGCCGGCTGCTTAACTCGGGTTTCCTTGCTTTGAATAGTGTTATAAAGCTTATTTTAAAACCGTATGGAGGATTCAAATCTCGTATCTCATTACCGGCCAAGATACTCTAATAAATCGATCACAATCAGTGCTTTACCCCAAGACACCTCGCTCCAGAACGTCACAATAGACAAAAGCCACTGCTTTTACCACATCCTGCCACCCCTTCACCACTCAACCAGAGTGGGCCACTCGTTAACCTCACTTTTCACCAAATCAACGCATCGGCACGGATCCTCATCCAAAAACTCCTGCAACGTTCTCTTCGATAAATCCATATAGGGTTCTCCATTAATAGATGCAGTCGGCGAAGGAATATCCTCCGGCTCACCGATCGAAACCTTCCAAGACCGCATGTTCGGCCCATCCGCAAGAGCCCAAGTGACCTCAAACTTATCACTCCTCCAGTATGCAAGATACGCCACCACAATATCCCACAGGCATTCGAGGGTCACGGCTTCAAACCCCTCACGTATATCTGCTCTTGCTGCAAGCCAGCTTGTTTCCTCCGTCCGGGATGGGGCGATCGTCGCCTCCCTGACGGAACAGGGGATGTTGGATGGGAACATCCGACGCCAGGAGGCCTTTTCGTAGGTAATGGCTCGTCGAAGGTCCTTGGATCGGTACCAGGGGTGATCGATAAGCGATCCCGTTTGGTACAGAGATGCAGGGGGAGCGTCGCACATGGTTCCGGGGCACAGCACCCGGCTTAAGAATGGATGAAGCTTGGGCTGTTCCAGACATGACTCCCGTGGAGGTTCCAGGAATAGGGCCCGGCGGAGTTCTCGGGACTCTTCGATTACGGCCTTAAAGTATCGGCAGACTTGCTGGGAATGCAAGAGACTTTCGAACGGTAGATGGAGAAGAATCATTACCAGGAGTTCGGTGATTGCAATTGTTTCGTGGGCCTTGGTGGTTTGGGTAGGGAGGATTCCTGGGATAGGGGTGGTAGGGCGGCTTTGCTTGGCCATCTGGATGTCCAAGCTCTGGTCCTCCTGTCGTTCTTTGATGAGTTCCCTGAACTCTTCGACTGTGTTTGACATTTTGGATGTATTAATGATGATTGATGAACACTTTCGAGGTAAGGTATCGGTATTATGTATGAGCTGGAAAGAGTGGAGACGATGAATGGCAAGGATCTGGTGCCGGAGACTCCAGGATATATATACCAGTCTAGACATAAAACATATTAGCGCGCGCTTAAAGATCAGAAACGGAAACTACAGAGGAATACCTTTCAGATGGCATACTGCATTGTAACAATATTCTTGTTCTCCGAGCGGAGACATACATCTAACCTGATATCGCCTTCTTGCTATGCAGTTAACCGAGGTGGTATCCCCGGGTGTCTTTTTTGACATCATTCTGGCCGTGTTTATGGCTGGCCGGGTCGAAATGGCGTTCTTGGGTAACACAGAGATTGAATGCTTCTATATACTGTGATATGTTTCCTTTCTCCACTTGAATGTTTCCGTCGCTTGCCTGCCCAATGAAGTGCTCATTTCTCTTTTGTCGTTTGTCTTTCCAGAAAATAAACCGGGTTAATCGGCATTCCCCACGTGGCATGTAAAAAGGTTCCTTAATATCTGGACATGGCGATCCTTGTATCCGGTCTCGCCTGCTAATACCTTCTTATATGTGTGATCTAGTCGGGAGATGCCCTCCCTGCGATGGTATGTTTCACAAAATATGCCATTGGACCATCTTGCCAGAAGGGTTCTGTATTAAGGATTACCTCTGTACAACCGTCTTAGTCCACATATACACTCAGTGGAGACACCTTGGTCTTGCCAGTCAATTACTCAGTTTATGGGCATATATTTATACCTACAATCAATGATCGCAATGTGGGGCCCCATCCTTCAATTGCGCCGACTTTCATGAACTGGCTGGAGATACTCTAGGGATTGATGGTTTAGTACCGGATCATCCGGCCGATCCCATCGATGGGTGAGAGATCCCTAACCATCTACTCAAAGGGCCGTTGACCGTAAGTAAGTCGACCCTTGGAGGAATTTTCCTTCGGAGAAGACTTAGGGCTGCAAATCCCGAGTGCATCAAAGTCAAGGACGTTTTCGTTCCTTTCGTCTGAGCTTGTTGCTCTGTATTTTCTCCATTATGTTGGGTTTAGACATTATTGCCAGTTGGTCACTAGAGCAATATCAAGTAGACCAAGATGAGTATATCGTCTCGACGGTCGCTTGCCCTCCCACTTTGTACAGCGTCTGAAATCTGAATATCCGGTCCAGTGATTATAGATCATGGTAAGGCATGATCATTATATGCTACCTGAAAGGCATTTCAACTAGTGATGACATGCATAAAATCGATCAATTTCTAATTCAAGAAAGATACACCCTATTGGCACCTATCTGACCTACATGCCCGATACAATTTTCAAACCCTCCAAGACAGCTCTGGGTTCTTTGAGCAGACAACCGCTGCATCCCAATCCCACTCGTCGCCACTGTGGCTCGTATCAAGACTGGGCCCCCCAGGAAATTCAACATCCGAGTCACTCAAATAATCAAACTCGTCATCCGAGCCCGTATCATCCTCATCATCCTCATCATCGCCTGTCTTCCACAACAAACTCCTCTCCTCCTCCTTCCGCGCCACCTGCCACTCCCTAACCTCCACCTCATTCTTCCCCCCCAGATACCCCCACCCCTCACTCTCCATCTCCACCGGCAGCCTCAAACACGAGAACCGAAACGTGCCCCTCCCACGCTCCAATCGATTCTTCTGTCCCACCAGAACGGAACACTCATACCCTATACCCCCCTCTCCCTCCCCACCATCAACACCCTCCCTCAACACCCACTGCACCACCATCCCCCTCTCCGCATACGCCCCCAGCCCACACAGCACAAAATCCCACACGAGCGCCATATCCGCCCCTAGAACCGGATCCTGGCCCGCCCAGGGATCATACACCCTATACGCAGCATCCCTCGGCTCATGACTCTCGGTATCTTTCCAATGAATAACCAACTTCTTGATCCGGCAGGGAACATCCATCGGTTTCATTCTCCGCCAGGATGCATGCTCGGAGAAGACCTTCTCGTGATACTTGCGGTTGTGAGCAAATGGGAGGGAGTGAATGGTTTCGGGCACAAAGTATAGAGTTGTCTTAGTGGAGGGGGTTATTGGGAAGAGGGATGGGAAGAGCCATTGGAGGAGGGGATTGAAGGTGGGGTGTTCTGGGGGAGGGGAAGGGAAGCGGTAGCCGAGGATGCATTGGAGGGTGTGCGTGGATTTGATCAGGGTGTTCCAGAGGCGACACACGCGTTCGGAGCTGAGGAGGTCGTGCGGGGGGAGGTAGTGGAGGATGGTGAGGAGGGTGTCGGGGGTGGTGAGGACTTTGGTTTGTGCGGGGTGGGGGGGCGCTGGTTTTGGTGTCTTTGAATGGAATTTTGCTGTGAGGATTGTCTGCTAATGTGCTGTTGAGTGGTAGCTCTTTGGGAGAGCGCTCGTTGTTAGGGTGCTCCACGTTGGGAGGATTGGTTAGCTTGGGTGTCCATTATGGGCAATTAGCAGGCTTGTCTTTGAATTTTCAGATAGTATGACACAACAGTATTGTGTCCCGGTATCAATTTTGGGAATTCTAGCACGTTCTTCCAGCGGGTGAACAGACAAAGAGTAGGCGAGCCAAAAGCCAAAACGGTTTGTCCAAATAACCGGGGTCGGAGGACACTTTTATAGCTTAACCTATATAGCTTACAAGCCCTGTGGGTCATTTTAAGAAACCATTTCGGGAACTATCGAGAATTGAATGAGATGAACAAACTAAATAGGGCAGCATCCTGTTTGTTTACTGTTCGACAAATTGATCTACCTGGTTTCCTCAAAGTCGAACGGGTATGTCCGCTTCCGTGGGTATTTCCAAACATAATTAGACAGTCCAACGGTCGTTATCCTAGTCAGATGGAAATCTGTAGTTGGATTATCCTCCTATTGCTTTCACCTAACTGCATGAAGGTTCCCGACTACTCTTTCCTCTTATTGTGTTCGCAGCATGCAGGCCTCTACCAGTCTGACAACAATCAGAATCCATGATCTCGATCGCTTTCAATGAGTGACTGCGGTTCGCCGCAATATATGAAGACGGGAAACACCGCCCTTTAATGTACGAAACAAAGGGCTACCTGTATCACCTGCAGGAATCTTCCACACTACCCCTTCCTTAAGACCGCCAACAATCTTTCTGGTTCTATCTCTCTCTCGTATACCTCATTGACATAAGGCGGGATGGTACCCATTTCTGTTTTACACTCACGCAACATGTTATCAACACAAAGAACAAACACAATGGGATTGTCACGATTCACCATCCCTATCGGGTCCGTCTACATAAACTCCTGGCAGTGAGTTGTGGAGTTATTGATGGCTCTGGGCAGATAGTGTTCGTGTGGGGTGTTGTAATAATTGGTAGAAGGAGTGATACTGAGGTATTTGTGAGGTATTAGAATAGTTTGGAGTGGGAGTGCCTAATAAAAGCTTCTGGATCTGATGGGTGATAAGGTGTGCTGAAATGCGGGTTAAGAGGGTCTCAGAGAAAGGTGCTGCCTAGACGGTTAGTTGGTATGAAGTGCATACGGGTTTCTGTATGATGGTGAATAAATACAATGTCCGACCATCAGCTATTTAATCGGCTAGTTTTGCCATCCATTACTAGGCAGAGGCGGACGTGCTTACTAGCTTAGAGAACTCTACCGAAATGTTCAGAAAAAAATGGAATAACAGTTAAATTACAGAACATGGTATCTCAGTCATGCATCATCATATGCATCAAAACATCAACTCACGCATCCTCAGCATGGAAAGCAGACTGTTTCCGCTCCGCCTCATACTGATGGGAGTGGAGGGCCGGCACCTCAAAGGTGCTGCTCTCCCAGGGCTTAACCCGGTTAACGTACATCCAGTCCAGCTCCTCGAGGGTACGACCCCTGCCCTCGATCACAAAGAAGTAGACGACGAAGGCAGCGACAAACATGCAGCCCGCGAACACGTACCCGTAGGCGAAGTCAATGGCGCTGGTGATGAACGGGGTGAAGAAACCGATCAGGAAGTTCCAGAGCCAGTTGGCCGCCACGGCCAGAGCCATGCCCTGGGCACGGTACTTGGAGGGGTACAGCTCCGCGGTGATGGTCCAGACCATGGGAGCCCAGGTCATGGCGTACCCGGCGATGTAGATACAGGCCAGGAAGATCATACCCTTGCCGGGGGCGGGGGTCTTCTCCGGGTCGTCGACATCGAGCACGAAGTGGCCGATCGACGCGAAGATCATGAAGCAGAGGAAGAGCCACAGGGCGCCGACGATCAGGGACTTGCGACGACCGAAGTTCTCAACGGTGTAGAGACCACCGAAGGTCGAGACGAAGTTGACGGCACCCAGGATGACTTGGGTGATGAAGCTGTTGGACAGACCGGCTCCCTTGAAGATGGTGGTACCCTGGAGCATGTTAGTATAATTCAATGCAAAAAGATGCAAGGGAGACATACGTAGTAGAAGAAGTAGTTGGAACCAGTCAGCTGCTGGAGCGTCTGCAGGGCCATACCAATGCAGATACGGTGGAACATGCGAGGAGCCGTGAGGAACTCGTACCACTTCTCACTGCCGGTCTCGGCCTCGAGCTGGTTCTGGATCTCGTCGAGTTCCTCCAGGATGACCTGGTGGTTCTCGGGCACACCGTACAGCTTGGACATGGTGGTACGGGCGCGGTCCACACGGCCATGACGGAAGTCGAAACGAGGCGACTCGGGGAAGAAGGCCATGCCACCACCCAGGGCCAGGGCGAACAGGAAGGTCAGGCCCAGGGTGATCCGCCATTGGGCCGTACCGTGCAGGGTGTTGGTGCCCAGGTTGATGAGGTAGGCGAGCAAGATACCGAAGGTGACGAACAGCTGGTAGGTACTGATCATGGCACCACGGATGTGACGGGGGGCACTCTCACCCATGTACATGGGCACCAGCAGGGAGCAGGCACCGACACCCAGACCGGTGGTCCAACGACCCATGACCATCTGCACCCAGTTACCGGAGGGGGCGGAGATCTGCACCACCAAACCGACCATCAGAATCACGTTCCAGATCGTGATGGACCACTTGCGGCCCACGCGGTTGGCAATGGGGGCGGCGACGAGGGCACCGATCAAGGTACCAATGGACAGGAGACTGGTCAACAGACCCGAGCGGACGTCACTCAGGTACCAGGTGCCTTCAGCATTTCGCATGCCATACCGACGGAGGTAGTCCGTCTCCTGCTCGAAACCGGAGATCTGACCGGTGTCATACCCGAACAGGAGACCACCCATGGAGACGAACATGGCCATGACGACGGACCGCCAGGTAACCTTGGGGATATTCGCGTTCGATCTGGCTCCGGCAGGCTGAGGGGCGACCACCGGGGAGATGTGCTCCCCGTGGTCGGCAGAGGTTTCAACACCCATCGTGTGGGACACAAACCACAATAGATTTCAAAATTAAGATAGGGAGACCCTAGGAAGGGGAAAAGAAGAAATTATGTTGGGGGGTGGAATGGAAGATGGAAAAGGCCCGATTCGAAACAGCAGAATCTGGGGAGACGGGCCCCCTTTTATGTGCCCCATTGTACGAGAGACTGAGAAAATTTCAACAGGGAAAAGAGATCCACGGGGGTAGAGCCGACCTGTGGAGAGCCGACCTCAGATGCAGCGTGTGCCGCCGGAGGGAGACCGACCTGACGACTCATGAGGGCCCTCCGTCAGCAATCATGACGGACGGCCGGCCGAAGCCGACAGACCAGTCAGAATGTCCAACATCGGGTTCCACGGCCCTCTTCGGGGAAGGGAGGGTCGCGGGACGGCCTCTCGTTGGCTCAGCGCATCGGCATGGCGTCTGGCGACAGAACTTTAGCCGGTAAATTGCGAGGATCATCGTGACTGGTAGGCTGGCCGATAGAGGCAGCAACCGGGGAACACCACGGTTCGGAGATCCAGTATCTAGATCATACCATCTACGGAATGAGCATGGCTCGACTGCCTTGACTGTGTTGGTCGGATCACGGGCGGTACGGTGGCTGAGCCGGGTGGGAAGGCAGAATGGCAGTCGTGTCGGCATGTCAGCTGCTCGGGGCAATCAGAAGGGGAACCCCGGGGGGAAGAGGAAAGGGAGGCGAGAGACTCTCAAGGCATTCTTGCCCAACGTGGAGAACCCGCCCCAGTCACGAGGCAGCCGCCCCACCGGTCGGGCTAGTCCCGACGCGCTAACCCCAATGGAGATGTCCTCCAGCATTCGGCAAGCAAATGACCGCTCGTGGCTCGGAAGCGGACGGACTGGAGCAGGGATTTCCTGGAGGGCCCGGAGCCTGGAGGTCGGCCGCACAACCTGGAGAAAACGAGGGGACGCCCATCCCAAATCCGTTGACCGGTGAGTTCTCATCCCACGATTTCCTGGCCCTTGCAGGGGGAAAAAAAGAGGGGAAATGCGGAGATTAGTAGACGTCAGTCGCTTTGATCGAACTATGCCCAAGAACCGGATTCTGGGGAACTTTCAGATCGGCTGCTCAACTGTCAACGTCAAGTACCCGATCTAGACGAAGCGATCCCGGTGCCTGGTTCTCGCACCCTACGTAAAAATTTCCTCGTCCATCGTTTGCGACAGCCACGGCCAGCCGAGCCAGTCGGCCCCGAAACACGGCATGACGAGGGAGCAGCCATAAGCCAAGCCCAGCTGCAATGCTCAGCACAGGAATCCCGACCGAGCCGACACACTGAGCGCCACGGAGCGACGCGACTGGTTGGCTCTGGAACCATCCACCACTCCCGTTGAAGCTTTGTGGCTGCCTTGGCTGCAACATCATCGTCAGAGCTGGCCGCTTGGCATGACGACGGAAGACGTGCTGTTCGACTAATCATACCGGATGCATTCAACACCTACGCAGTACTGGATTAATATCGAGTAAAACCAATAATCTACAATCGACGATCGATATGCAATCTGCGCGCTGCTGCAGTCCCCCCACGCCGCTGGCTGATGGCCGACCGAGGTTCATCCGGCAAAGAGGTCATCCCCAGGGCTATGCAGTAGGGTTGGTTGCCACACGTGGTCGGCTAATGCTGGGGATGACGTAGCGAGTTCCCCCCCCCTCATCTCCGGGCGGCACCCCGTGGAACCTGCCTAGAGCGGGTGCCGGACCAAGTTTCCTCCGCCTTCTAGAACTTCTCCGCCATGTGACCTGTCAAGCCACAGCGCCACGCCGTTGCGATGAAGACCGGTAGCGAGCGACCAGACAGTGGTCGAAGATTCCAGAGAGCCGCATGACGAAATCAATCGTCTTGTGTTTTCCGCCGCCTCCGGAGGCTGGCTGGATGTGGTGTGATGGTGGAACAAGACAGAGATGAAAAAACAGGGTATCTGGGGAGTGTCCCTGCATGCGACTCCGTGGGGGGGCTCCAGGTCGGGGAATCCGCATGGCCACTGCAACTGCAACTGCTCATCCACTGCGTCATTTTGATCTCCCACCATAGTACTTCTTCCACCGTCATGATTCCCAACTCGTGATTCTCAAAACCTTGATAACTCAATCAGCTACATCTATCCACCTCCCCCAACCCTGCCTTCCGCCCAGACACCACAACTATCTACCCCATACCAGTCGACCGGCACTTCCCAATCCCCACCTGCCGCTCTCCCATCCGGTCAGAAACATTTTTCCGACCGGTCCTCAGCACCACGTCGCCCGACCCAAACATCCGAACAATGGAGGAATGTCGCCCGAGCATCGGCCTAATCCTCCACGACTACTGCGAAAACTGCAGTCAGCGCCGATATTACCCCAGGCAATTATGCTTAACGCCAGCTGACTAGCCTGGTTGGTCTATGGCCAGAATCCATCGGGCCGACTAACACACGGCAGGAGCAGGAAGGCTAAGGACTAAGTAGAGCGCTGAAATCCTATCCTAGCTTCAGCCCCGGATGTCGGAATAGATTATATCCCCGGGAAGTGTGTTGCGCTGTAAAAATGTGGGATTGGTCTCGACCGTGACTAGTAGGTTTGGGGGTGGAGTACCCCGTCGGGTGTTCCTGGATGTTGAAACTTGAAATCTCTGACGGAGCCCAATGCCAGCCCTAACAGGCGTGAGTGTGGTCCGGTGGAAGTGGACATGGTCCAACTGTCACAGCAGCCAGTGTGAAAACTTGCAATGTGTAAAAGGATGGGTCTAGTGCGATGATTGCCATTGGCATCCTTTTGTCCGAGGAATGGGACTCCTAGAGAACCCAAGGCTAGTAAGTGATCTTCTACAATTCTTACTGCATCAACAGTCATCGTATGATCTTTGCCAGGGTCATGTGCCTTGTCTGTGTAGAGCCATTGCTGTCGTGTCAGGTGGGTATTGTTGCTTCTGGCCAACTTTTCTGACCTATCAGCCCAGTGTCACCGGAGACCGTTAGGAATCAACAACCTGACTGCCAGTGTTCTAGACTTTGCTGATCACCGTTCCTAGTATCCTTTAATATCACCACATAGACCTCTGTACGGTATGCTTGGACTAGACACCCCAACGAAAGAGGTCTATTCGGACGTTGAACCAATGGTGTAATTTACTGTTCCGTGCGCTGTGGGCGACCGCAGGCCAAGGGATCGCGAAGCGTCTTATAATGTATATTATAGCGCATTCTTACAAGATTCAGCTGTGAAAGGCCTGAAAGACTCTGTCAAACACTCCCAAACAGCCTTACCAAACTTTTTAAACGAGCTCTGTCAATGACTCTTAAATGGGCTCACCAAGCACCCAAGGAGCCTTTTCATGCACCCAAGAATGTAATACTTGATTCAGATCCATCGTATGAATCTATGTAAAGTTCTGGTTCATATTTACACTCTAGACCTGTGTTCTGGAGAGTAATAGGCCTATTATTCTCAAACACCACTTGTTTGTTTGCGGCAGCCAGTATAGATAATTCGAGACCAAGTCATATTACGGGTAAAAAGAAGGATTACTTTAAAGCGTTACATTGTACACCAAGGTTGGAGTAGAGCTGAAACTTCTTGAAACATCCTAACCTAGAGTTACTGGGCGCTACCGCGCTTCACAAATGATTCTAAATTTGCGCATTGATTTTCAGGGTTCTATCAGGAGATAGAGACCGTAGTATTTCAAGAGGGATCAGAAAATTCTTTAACACAGAAATCCTAAATCTAGCAGAAGACATCGAAAAACGGTCTGCGATGATTGACTGCCACTCGTGCCTGGAACTGATATTCATTCAAAAGATACACCCGGAAATTTATATATATCGGCAGCGCAACAAGCACTCAGATAACAGTCCACGATAGAAACAGACCACAAGCTCACAGATGCCAACTATGTGAACAGTGGGTTCTATCAAAACGGCACTTTATCCCTTCAACTCAATTTACTATTATTATCCTAAGTATCGTAGTTTCATGGCATGTCACTCAAACTTCCCTTTCCGTGGATCCACCAGCTGCCAAGCACGTGGTGATATCGGGCGGCCCCACGTGACACCTGTACAAAATGAATGTTCCACCCTCCAGCCTAAATAATGATCTTCTCACTAGAGAAACCTCAAAGTAAGGTTTGAGCATCATCATCCGTCTTCTTCATCCATCTTGCAAGATGACAGAAGGTTTCCCGCTGCCCAGAACAACCCCTCACCTCCAGTTCTGACTTCTGCATCGGCATTCGGTCCCGATCATCCGACCACCTGCCACGGCACGGCAACTGCCACTGTTCGTGTCAGCCTGAAACCCCAAGAACATCAGAGTCGATCAAGGGGTACTCTTCATCAAAATGCCTAGAATAACCGCAACATCACCCCACTACAGCCGTCCCTGAGCAGAATTCCAGCCAGTCGCATCGCCTGAAACACACCGCATGGGCCTCGCCATACCGGATGGAGCACGGACAAAACACCTGCAGAGGCAGATTGATTAACGGCTACGACGATCATCACCCTCCGCTCTCAACACGGTATCCGACCCATAGGCACAGCTCTTCCTGAGCCTCCTACAGGCCAACGCTTCTTTCATCACGGAGGGTCGTCCGTCCGGTAAGATGACCCTGGTCACTATGATCGGGTATAAAGCCACATCAGACGCCTCGCCATATCCAGGACCATCAAGCAGCAAGCAGCCATCAGAATGAAGCTATCCAGCACCCTCCTCAGCTTGGCCAGCCTGGCGTTGGCCACCGCTCTCCCCAAGAACCCATCCGTCCCCCGCAGCACCAGTTCCTTCTCCAGCACCTCCGGCCTGCAGTTCACCATCGATGGCACAACCGGCTACTTCGCCGGAACCAACAGCTACTGGATTGGCTTCCTGACCGACGACGCCGACGTCGACCTGGTGATGAGCGATCTCAAGTCCTCCGGCCTCAAGATCCTCCGCGTCTGGGGCTTCAACGACGTCACCACCAAACCCTCCGACGGCACCGTCTGGTACCAGCTGCACGAGAACGGCCAATCGACCATCAACACTGGAGCCGATGGCCTGCAGCGTCTGGATTACGTCGTCAGCTCCGCCGAACAGCATGACATCAAACTCATCATCAACTTCGTCAACTACTGGACGGACTACGGTGGCATGTCAGCGTATGTGAGTGCGTATGGCGGGTCGACTGAAACGGACTTCTATAATAGTACGACCATGCAGGCGGCGTACCAGAATTATATCAAGGCCGTGGTGTCGAGGTATAGTAACTCGTCGGCGGTGTTTGCGTGGGAGTTGGCCAATGAGCCCCGCTGTCAGGGGTGTGATACCTCGGTGCTGTATGATTGGATTGAGCAGACTAGCAAGTATATCAAGTCGTTGGATTCGGAGCATTTAGTTTGTATCGGCGATGGTGAGTTAACTTCTCCTCTGTGAGTGGTGAGGGATGCTGACGTGGTTATAGAGGGATTCGGTCTCGATACCGACTCGGATGGCAGTTACCCTTACACATATGGCGAGGGATTGAACTTTACCAAGAACCTAGGCATTGAGACAATCGACTTTGCGACCCTTCACCTGTACCCCGATAGCTGTATGTGGATTCTATTTGATTCTTGATGTGTCGAGACTGACGATGATAGGGGGCACTTCGGATGACTGGGGCAATGGATGGATTACCGCGCACGGAGCGGCCTGCGAGGCCGTGGGCAAACCCTGTCTGTTGGAGGAATACGGCGTCACCTCGAACCACTGCAGTGTCGAGGCCCCGTGGCAGCAGACGGCCCTGAACACGACGGGAGTCAGTGGAGATCTGTTCTGGCAATATGGCGATGATCTGAGCACGGGCGAGTCGCCGAATGATGGCAACACGATCTACTATGGCACGAGTGATTATACATGCTTGGTGACGGACCATGTGGCGGCTATTGATAATGCTTGATACATAGTAGATAGCTACTGGTAGTAGAAATTGACGAAGTGTCAAGTATAGATTTCCACGGTATTGAGCGTAGCACAGCCTTGCGGGGATCCTGAGGCAGCGGCGGCAGCCTCGCCGCCAAGGCCGAGTCTGCCTGAACACCTCGTGTTTCACTCCTTCACGCTCTTTTCTTCAGAACAACATCCCCTCAAGGTGAGTTTGACGTTTTCCTCATCCCCTACAGCTCCTCATGTCGGACAGAACCGTCTACAACTCCCAGATTGACTGGCCAGCGAGCGCCACCATGGGCCGACCGACCGATCTGCCCCCGTCGTATGAAGAGAGTGTCGCCAGCGATCCGCCCGCCGCCTCGCGTCCATTCCCTCCTCCTGCCTTCCCCGCTCCTCCGACCGACAACACAACAGCACCCATCCCCGGCAGCAGAACCTACCAGAGCGTCCGCTCCGACACTCGAGAATCCGACACCGTCACTCTTGCTCCCGCCCTCAGCCAGGATGCGTCGGCCCTGCACACGCTCATTGCCCGCCAAGCCGAGATCCCGCCGCGACCGTACCTGACCGTGCGCGGCTCCCACACCGAAACTCGTCACGACCACAACCGCAAGGAGGACCGCAAGGAGACCGTCGAGGACTTTTCCTTCAAAATCGATTTATCTGGATACCTGGTCCGCGATGAGCACGCGTCCCAGCAGCAGGGCGATGACTACGACACCGGAGTACAGCTAGCCCCAGATTCTCAGGACGGGTGGCACGTTCTGACCCTCGTTCGCGATAACGACGGACAAAAGGCCTATCGTGGAGGACGGTGGAAGTCGGATACATGGGCGGGGCATGAGCAGAGACAGAGGTTGCAAGCAGTACACCTGGAGGATGGGCCACACACCGAGACCGCCGGGTTGGTGCAGGAGCACGAGGATGGTCCTAGCTTGATGGGCTGGTGTGAGCGGTTCTGCGACGATCCGGCCCCTGTGAAATCGTAGGCTCATTCCTTCCCCCCCTTTCCACGTATTCCTGATGATATTGATCTGTCTAGGTTCGCCTTTGGTCGCAGCGTCGTCGGATTCGACAGTGACGTTCTCCACTCCGCGTTGACGTCCCATCTGCGCAGTCTCCACTACAAGGGGGACATTAGCATCACGACAAACCTAGCAAATAGGGACCTGGTCGTGTACTCGCCTCACTGGGTGAACCAACTGCGAAATAACGGTTTTGTGTACTGGTGCTGCATTATCCTGCAGCTGTGGATCATCGCGTGGCCGGTTATCTTTTTCCTCGAGCGTCGCTACGATGTGGCCCGCTCGGTGTGGTACTTTTCCCGAGTGGAAGGAGGTGATACCCAGTACGCGTGTCACCGGAATGAGGCATCCATAGCCGATGAGTTGGCCCCGGCGGTGACACAAGCAGCTTTGGAGCGACGACTCGATGGGAAGATGCTCACACCGCAGGAGATGGAGCTGCTTCACCGGCTAGGAAGAGAGCGACAGCAGCGTGGCGTGGTCGTGATGCAGTGGGATCGGTTCCTGGGATGGGGGAGCGATTCCTAGCTGCGGTGTGGTGTCGGGTATGCTATCTGGTGCTTGCCTCTTGGGCAGGCTCGCATGGTGTTTCTCACTTCATTGGTATGGATTGGATAATTATCACTATTTCGTTTAGCGGTCAACTTTTGGACATTGTTTCTCCCGGTGGCCAATACATGTGGCTAGACTAAAACCGGGAGTCGGATTCAGCATAGCTCTTGAAAGCTGCAAAGCATTGGTCAAGTTTCTTCTTATCGTGTTTGACGCGTATCTCTGCTTAAGCGAGATTCCCGTACAGCATCTGGGTTGACCTGCAGTCATGCACCGGGTGCTGCCGATACGTGACAGCCCCGTCAAACAGCATCCCGGACCGGTGGCCGGACCGGTAGAAGCGTCTTAAGTTTAGGCAAGGGATCAGGGGTACTTGGACCCTGCGACAAGGCTAGGATATCGGCGATACGAGCGCAGAGATAGCAGGACGGGCTGGGATAGGGTGAGACAAGACGCGCTAGGGGCAAGCGAGATGCGGCAAGCCACTGCAGCCATTCGGAGGTCTGTCCTCTTCAACGGCACCAGGCTGCCGCCCTCAGGATGCCTGCATGGTCGTTCCGGTGGCCGGTCTGCATTGGCAGAGGGGCTGATAAGCAGCCCTGAGCCGGTGCCATCACGCGCACCAATCACCGGGTGAACCTAATTTCCCCGCATCTTCTTATCTCAGCTGCGCACCCGACCGTCGTGCCTGTCACTGGATGAACCTGTCACCGCACCGGTTGCGGGGATTACTCTGTGGCCAGCCATGTCATGCCAAGGTATGACCATGACAACTTTATCCCGCCTTTATAACCGAGGGACATCCGCCGTACAACGTTGCTTTTCCGTCACCTGAGATGTGCACCCGTTCACCGTCTCTTCACCCTCCACCTCCGCTGTTGCTGGCACATTATGGCTGCGAACGAGAAACCAACAATGGCATCTACATCTCATCCGGATCCAGAATCCGGTTTGGCATCTACCGAGCTTAAGCACAGCACCATGCACGAGATGGTGGAGCGCGACTTGCTCGATGAGCGATACAAGGTCACCCAGCGCGGCCTCAAGAACCGTCACGTTCAGCTTATGGCCTTGGGCGGCACCATCGGGACTGGTCTGTTCGTCGGATCTGGCCAGGCTCTGCATATCGGGGGTCCCCTTTCGCTCTTGTTGGGCTATATCTTCATCTCCGGTCTCGTCTACGCTCTTGTCACTGGCATCGCGGAAATCGGTGCCTACATGCCTGTCCACGGTGGAACGATGAGCTACCACGGCTTTCGCTACGTCTCTCGCAGTATGGGCTTCGCGATGGGATACTTATACTGGTACTCGCTGGGCATTTTAGTTCCTTACGAGGTCGTCGCAGCATCCATGGTCATTGACTACTGGCACCCGAATGTCAACCTTGCTGTTTGGATTACGATCATGTTGGTGATTATCGTGCTCCTCAACTGCCTCCCGGTCGGGGTGTATGGCGAAACTGAATTTTGGTTTTCGGGCATCAAAATTATTACCCTTGTCGGGTTGCTTCTCCTCTCGTTCATTCTCTTCTGGGGCGGAGGTCCGAATCGTCAACGGCTTGGCTTTCATTACTGGAAGGACCCTGGGGTCATGAACACGTACCTGGTGTCTGGTGATGCTGGTCGGTTCGTCGGACTTCTCCAGTGCATTGTCAAATCAGCCATCGCCTTCATCTTTGCGCCCGAACTGGTGGTCATCAGCGGTGGTGAAATGGAATCCCCGCGTCGCAACGTTCCGAAGGCCGCTCGTCGGTATATCTACCGACTGGTCATCTTCTATGTCCTGGGTGCTCTCGCCATCGGGGTGATTTGCTCTTCGAACGCCAAACAGCTCACCGCCGGCTCGGGTACCGACGCATCTTCGTCGCCATTTGTAGTCGCCATCTCAAACGCTGGTATCCCGGTCCTGGATAGTATCGTCAACGCCGCGATTCTCACGTCCGCTTGGTCCGCCGGCAATTCTTTCCTGTACATGTCGTCCCGCTCCTTATACTCCCTCGCAGTGTCCGGCAACGCCCCGAGTATCTTCAAATCCTGCAATCGCTGGGGGGTCCCGTACCTCGCCGTCGCCATCTCCTCCCTCTTCTCCCTCCTCGCGTACATGGCCGTCGGCAGCGGCAGTTACACCGTCTTCAACTGGCTGATCAACTTTACCAACACCTCGGGCTTCATCTCGTGGATCTGCTGCAGCATCGTGTACTTTCGCTTCAACAAAGCCGTCACCGTGCAGGGCGTCGAAAAGCCGTATTCGTCTCGGATGCAGCCCTGGGGAATGTACATCGGTCTCGGAGGATCGGTGTTCCTGGCGCTGATCAACGGATTTACCTGCTTCTTCCCGTCGGAATGGTCCGCCAGCACCTTCTTCACCGCATATATCGGCATCCCGGCATTCGTGGTCTTGTACTTCGGACATCGCATCGTGTTCTGGCGTGATCCGTGGGCGTGGAGGAGCGAGGAGGTGGATTTGCATACGGGGTTGCGGGAGATTATGGAGGCGGAGAAACCCGAGCGGGTACGCGATACGTGGTGGAAGAAACTGGCGTTGGTGGTGGAGTAGGTCGTCACAGTTGTCTCGAGTCAATGCTGCTGCAATTGCATGTTTGTCATAACTGTCACAAGCCATTTACTCTTCTCATCCGATGACCTGAAATTACCTCGCAGCCGTAGTCTGTAATCCGCCTCGCTCGACACCAGATCCTTACTTATTACCTACCTAACCAATGCCGTCGGCGGTGGTGTAATGGTACGACCACTGCTATCACTGAATGAAGACATTATTCAGTAAGTATGGGTTTGATTCTACTACCGTGACAACTGGATCTATGAAATAAGGAACCCTTCTACTCCAATACTGGGAATTCTCAAGAATACCGAAGTACCATTATCCGACCGTTGATTCTAGTACATTTCTACTGCCAATTCAATAAACCTGGCCTAAATTTATACCTGAAATAGACAATCTTACGCATCAGCCAACCTAGTATTCCTCAGCGCCAGCGCGCTTTGAAAAATCATCCCCAATCCCCGCACTTACCCCAAATTCACCTAGGTTCGACTAAGGCTGATCCATACCATGCGGCTCTAAAACAGCGGTGAATCAATCCCTCAACCCGGAAGATCAGACAGACAACGTCTTCCTACTTCCTATATACGTACATAAACATCCAAAGCGGCCGTTCTCGGTGCTCATTGGGTGGCGCGGAGATTAGCATCGCCCGGTTTTAGTGGCCTGGGCGGGTATTTAGGCTGACCAGTCCGGGGGACGCATCCACTTGGTGATGAACCCGAGGGCGGAGAATTTTGCCGCTTATCGTATCATTCATCACCTTGGGGAGGGGGGATTCGAATCGGCGTTGATGGCTGGGGATGATGGTCTACTATATTACTACTATTTTGAGCACTAATAATAGCACTTGGATGCTGCTGCTGCTCTCGGTCGCGGTGGGGCCTGCGTGCGGTCCATGATTGCGGCGGTTGGGGTCGTCATGCATGCACCAGGTACTTAGTAGGAGTACTTACTAGCTCATGGCTGTGGATGAACTGCGGCCGCTCACAGCTCGGCATTATAAAGCAGTGAGAACTGGCACTGCAAGATAGATCACGTTTATTTGTGAATACTAAGAACCAATTAGGAAGCTGAAGCTGTTGATTTATGGACCAATGACAAGTATAGGAGCTGTAAACTTCCCGAGTAGGACTGAGCAGGATCGGGGACCTCGGAGATGCGGACTCCTCGCGGGGATTGGGTACCAAGATTCGCCGATCTCTAGGGTTGCACCTACATCGCTGCCGGCTGGACTCCGACCCGTTATGACACCATCAGAAAGAGCCTCAAGTCAGGATTCCATGATGAGGTTGTCCGCCTTGGTTGTATTCGGGCGCGCTGGGGAATTACGGTATCGGGCAAGCATGGCGACCGGGGTTATGCCTTGTTGCTGGTTTGAGCCACTGAGAGATGTTCAGTTAGCGCTGTCTTTTCAGTCTTAAGAACCCACCCAATCAGACTCCCTGGTCTGTCTGCTGTTCCCATAATCCAGTGATCATTATGATCCTGGATATCTATACTCCATTGGTTTCAGTCGATTCGCCTCACCTTTGGAGGCGCTGTGTGCTGTGGTAGTTCATAAGGGCCCTGTTGAGACATGCTATTTCTACCTTCTACGCCCGAGGCTAAGAAGGGATATATTCCTTTTTGGTCTACGTGGTTCTTGACAGGCCCTCCCTGACTCCGAGTATTGTTCTTCCTTTCAGAAACCAGCAGCACTGGGGCTTACCCACAACCAGCCCGGCCACCGAGTGTCCGACCCCATCTCGAGGGCTATGCCATGGGCCCACCGAACAGAACGTTGGTTGGCCCGTACCCGATCAACCCCCCTGCGGTGCCCGCATACCCTCAAGGTCCAGCCCAGCTGGCTGCACCTGCCACACCTCATCCACCCTGGTATGTTGCCCATTCCCTCTCATATTTCTTCTTTTTTATCCCACCTCGCTAACTGGTCAAGGAACAACCTGCGCTGTGGCTGGGCCGGATGCGCCTACACGGGGTCGTTTACCCGAGAGGCCGATCTCTGGCGACATATCAGAAATCTGCACGTGGCGCCCGGGTCCTTTCCGTGTTTCATCTGTGGCCAGACCTTCAACCAGTTGTACAACCAGCGAAGCCACATGCGCGCCCGACATCCGGAGATGATGCTGCATTGACCTCTGCATTCTGGGCTCGTTCGACTGGGAGGAGTTTCGGATTTTTTTCTTTTCTTTTCTTTTTTTTTTTTTCCTCTTCATCTTCTGTCATGTTGTTCAGTCTTCATCGTCTATTTGTACTTAGGCATCTGGAATGTCCTGTATCCAAACTCATAGAGCCATCATCATACCAATCTTATCACTTCATAGCCACACACACACGTCACATCCCCAACGTGGAGAAAATGCTCGATCAATTTAAAGTTGCGGCCGATCCGTCCACAATCCGGCACCGCTAATTCCCGAACCACGCGCCAGCGGCACTCCAGCAAGGCGACTAGATCCGAGCTAATCCGAAAGTGGCATCCCCCACGGCCGGGTGTCTTTTCCCCCGGTCGCTCGCCTCATTCCATTTGCTCCCCGGGGATCAACTTACTGCAGACTAGCGTGGTTCGAACCGGGGAGTGGATTCCTCCCGTTGGGTAAGCTAATCGCGTTACTGCTACTAAGTACATAGTACTAGTAGTGGAAGGAGTGTCTCAGACCTGCCCGTCGGACAGATGCTAGACAAACGGTTATTCATATGTCGCTACTAGATAGCATGCATCTGCAGATGTCAGCGTTGGGCTGCATTCATGTTCTGGTACAATTTCTCCATTAGGAGGTTTCGTACGAGAAGGTAAATAGGCCAGGAATCGCCCGGACGGTGCTAGCCCCAAAGGATCCTAGGGCTACTCCGTACCGACTAGTGAGTGCAGCCAGCCACACTGGCTTGTTGGTATCACACCGGCTGGTATAATCCGGATTACCCACCACAAGGACAAGCCTGTGTTATTCCTCGTGGAGGATCCTGACTATTGGAATTGTCACTGCTGGACTGTGATGAAGGCATACATAAGGCTCTTTGTACTTTTAGCAGGGCTCTGGGGACCCTTAATGCATCGAAAGGGCCGTGAAGAAGACTTACTTCATATGTCTCTTGACAGCAGTATTTTGCGAAGTTGGGTCTAGAATAGTAGACATATCCTACAGACCCAGGCGGTCGAGGCAGCCGGTAGGTGGGTTGCGTAGTAAGTTCTGCCAAGTAAGACTGCTATTTCCTGCGTGGTAGATGAGATAATTACTTCATAGCGTGCAATATAATCACGTGACCATGAATCGATCTCGGAGTGATGGACGAAGGTGGTTAACTGAAACACCATGGTTACACGTGAGGCCGTCCCTGAAAGTGACACCTCAGGGGTCATAATTGCACGGCCACATCTTGTTGCGCCACACCACGGATGATAAGTATGTGGCTGGTGCATGGTGGATACTGGCGGAAAGGGTGGAATGGTGGACATGGGGGAGGTGGAGTGCCGATCAAACTAATACACAGGAGTTACAGAGCCCATATATTACCATCCGGCCAGTGGATAGAGATACTTGAGGCTCTCCCCTTTCTTTCATTTTTGCATTTACATGCACGATGTTCATGTGACAAACCTAGAAAACGAGGAGTCTTTTTTTCTTTTTTCTTCTTTTTTTATATCAAACTCAGTCACTGGTTAATGGTACAGTCGATCGACCGGTTCGCTCGATGAAGATCCACAACCCCACCACCGAGGCCCTGGTCCTGAGCCTGCGCGACTGGTCACTCGTGCCTAGGTCATCCTTGTTTCTTGCCCTGTGTGATACATGTACACAGTACTCCACCTGGAGTGATCCAAGCGCACGCCCGCCAGATCTGAGTTTTTTCTTCGCTGAACGCTCACTTCGACGAGGACTAGATTATAAAAGCCAGAGGACTCATCGCTGCGATGTTGCGCCTTTATCCTGGATAAGTCAATAGTATCCTTTCTCGTCTTTTCAGCACTCGCAGTGGACTTTCCTGTGAGAACCATCCCTTAGGTCTGTCAGGTATCTTACTCCAATCATGTCAAACCTACCGCTTATTCGTTCTGACGGGACCGGGAACGGCCAATAGTTCCTCTATCCATCTGCCGGGGAGGATGTGCGAAACGGTACCATGGGTTTCTTAGATGCTCTAACCTTAGGCTCAAGTGCCAATCACCAACCCACTACAAGGACTACAACCCAGTCCATCGATGATGGCAACGCCGTGCTTATGAGTACTGGGGCTATTACAACAAATTTATCAAGGTATACGGGTGCAACGACTGTCCTAACAGGTGTTCACCGAGGCTACCCAGGTACAGTCGCTAGTACTAGCCCGTACGGCTATGTCAGGGACGTGACCAATCTTGACTCCACTGCTCTCCACCAAGCTACGACCCAAGGAACCATCCACCAGCCTGCGACAGGACACGGAGAATGGGGATACTCCCCCCAATACACTCCAGATATGTATGTCAAACTAACCCGTGACTGTCTTTCCTTCCACCCACGCTAATGCTGAGAAGCCAATCCACCGATCTCCGCTGCGAATGGCGAGGCTGCACCTATCGAAACACCTTCAACCGCCCAGCCGATCTCATCCGCCATGTCCGAAATCTTCATGTCGCTCCTAGATCCTTCGCTTGCTATATGTGCGGTCGGCGATTCAATCAGGCATATAATCTGCGGAATCATATGCGAGTCCACCAACACACTGATGTTCCGTCTGTATGTCCTTGAAGAATCGCGGGTGATCGTGTACGATCGGGGAGATGGATCGGGAAACGTCTGTTTATAGGATCGGTCGAACGCTTTGCATTCATCGGCTGTGGGAGGCAAGGAGGGCGGCGTGCACGCGGGGGCCGTGGGAGAGTGGGTCTGGAGAAATCGGATCGGTGTGCGATATCTAGTGAAAGAAGTTGGGTAATGTTAGAGCAGCAGGCATAACTTTGCGACTCGTTTTCCCTTTCTTCTCCTCCCCTCGCTTCTCCTTTTGTTCTCCCCATTCGATCGCTTCGCGTGTGTTGTGAGGTCGGTAGGAAACGGTCGGATATTGTCCCATGATCACTCTGTATCGCACGTGCTGATTGTCGAGTATCCATCTCATTTCCCCCTGATAATAGCGGACCGTCCCATCTCCCTCCGACAGCCGAAACCAACTCGTTCCCAGTCGTATCATCAATGGTGAACCAACCAACGATCGTTCCCTATCGTCCTCCAACTCGGCTCGCCCATCCTAGTCGACTCAACTCAACAAGATCATGTCGTTTCGCCATCCGCAACATTGGCTTTGTTGAAATGAAACCGACGCTCTCTCACCTGGGCGACATCCCGAGCGACATATATGAAAGACTCCTCAGCCTTCCGGCTGACGTGGGCGTCTAGTCCGAAACCCAATTGCTGCCTAAACTGCCGCGGACGTATGCCAAATGGCCGAATGCAGACCGCCGTGGAGGACAAATCTTTACGAGACTCGACCCCGCCATTGGAATATTACTTGGTTACATTAGCACTGGCGTCGCGGTCGGACTGGCATGGTCGGAGATTCGATAATCGTGCGCCCGTCTCCGGGCTTGGGCTAGAGATCACCAGGGGATCGCCCGTGGCTTGAGCACGACTGGGCTGGAGACATGTGCTGAGTAGCAGCCATAGTGGAATCTACATGAAAGACCATGGCAGTCTGTTGGAAGGCAGCTCATGAATAACCCCATGATACAGCTTGCTGCTACTGCTGCTACTGCTGCTGCTGCTCAGACCTCACCAGGGTGGCCAAGATGTTGTACGAAAACCGCAGCTGGTTGAGATAGCAGGAGTCCATCGACTTGAAGCAGGAGAAAAGAAAGGAACAGTAAAGACGCCCGTAGGTCACACCCCGAGGCACCAGTTTTCTCCACCGTTCTGATCAACTTCTGACGGCTGTCGGCACCAAGGGTCATTCGCGCGAGCCCACTAAGCAGCCTAAGCCCAGTGCTGTAGAAGCTTCCATCGCGTCCCGACTATTGATTGGATGGTATGGTGCAAGACCCATCGCAGTGCTGTGGGCGCCGGCCGGTGTGGATCCATGGAAGCTCTCCTGTGTTTTCTGGTTCTGGCGGGCGGCTGCAGGATCAGGCGGGGTCAATTGTCCAGTAAGGTGGAAGCATTTCTTCTTGTTCTTTTTCTTTTGTTTACATTAATGAAGAAAAAAGTAAAAAAAAAAAAAAGAAAGAAAAAGTAGGGGGAACAAAGACAAAGAACCAGAGACGGAACTCCTCATCGAAACCGGGATGACCTGGGCTTGCACCGCCATGGTTGATCCCATGCTATCCAAAATTTTCCTGTAGCTCCTGGCTGCCTTTTTCATGCGGCAGCCTGTTCTTTGTCTAGGAGAGAGGTAGCTCTATTGTATCATCGCTCGGCTCGCGATCGCTTCAACTTCGATGCTTGAGATATCCATCTTGCTCTTGATACTATGGAGGTCAGGAACTCATATTAGTAATATAATTAAGACTGGAGCGGCTCTAGATACAATAGTGAGGCCGTAGGAAGACCACGAGAAGAAGAGGTTCATGAACGGCAAGCCTGCCTAGACGGGTGAATCCTCAACACTTCCAGTTGAGACGGGATACCGAGTCCGTACCTCCAACGTCCGAAGATGGTCGCTACGTGATCACGGGCCCGGGCGAGCAAGACACTCCACCTGACATGCACAGTGCTTAAACTAGCTTAGAGGTTTTTCGGTGATGATCTAGGAAGTGCTTGCGACCGTGTACAACTTCGTTTAGGGAAATCTGTTCACGCCTAAGGATCCTGCGCCTTGTCTGAGTCCCCCGTCGCAAGCCCATTTCCTCAGTCAGTGGGAAGAATGCCTCTGAGAACAAAGAAAGTCTGCGGTTCTGCAACCCTCTGCAACTCGCTTGGATGCATTGTAACCACGCGAACAAAGAAGACAAAGTGGTTCAGCTACGGAGGATATTCAGCGCCATTGCATGCCAGGGTTCTATTCTTTGTTCATTGACATTTTCGAAGGAATTGTTTTGATTAATTCAATTAATCATTATTTTTTTTTTTTTTTGCAATCGAGTCATCCGAAGCCCAGCGCCCGCAGCCCAGCGGACTAGACCTAGAGCGGAATCTGGGAGGAAGAGAAAATGGCAAGCTAGGGTACATGGAAGGAAAACCAAAAAGCGATGCGCTGAAGGAGCCATGGAAGGTGGAATAGAACTTTTTTGATCTTCAAATGGTACCTGACCGTAGAAACAGGAGAGCCACCTAGCTAGGTTTAGTTAAGCTGTTCTGCACAGTTATTGCGATCTGATTCCTTTCGTGAATGTCATGGCATCGGCCATGCGGCGGTGCAGCGGCTGAAACGGAACAGAGGACGCAGAAGCAGGGCGGCGCCCAATGACGTGAATGGGCTTCTGGCGAGCCCAGGCATGCACGACGCAGCCCATCTAGTAGGCACCATGAGGGATGGTAAGAATTGAGAGCGACCGTTGACTTGGGCGGGCAGGAGAGACGACTCAGAAGGTCAAATCGTCGCAACAAAGGTATAAATTTGTGCTCATTCCCGTGGGAAATTGGAATCATGTCCGCTTACGAAGGCTCGATTCACGTACCTACCAGTTTGTGTACATCGTGCTTACTTTATTGATACCACATTATACTTCAATATGTCTGAAGAATTTACTCAGAGCTTTCCTGTTTTCGAGGATCCGCCCGACATCGGTACATATTTTACGAACTACCCCGAATATGGGGAGATGCTTGGGCCTTTAGAAAACAATACTCAGTTTCCGGCCAGTTCATGGGCGGAATCGGGCCCCATGAACGGGTTTCCGCAACCCGCCATGGGGCAGAATAGCTTGACTGCTATGGCGGAACCTGCCAACAGAGCGGCAGGCTTTGGTGCTCCAAGCACCAATACCTTGGACCACGCCGCCCATAGACCTGGACCTGTTCTGCAAGGCCAGAGTACCAACGACGCTCCTGCACAACCGTAGGCAGATGCTCTTCAAGACCACCTGCTGAACCATCGACTAACAAATCCTCGCAGGTCTGAAACTGTTTCTTGCCTTGTCGAAGCTTGCGACAAGTCTTTTAGAAGGCGGTCTGATATGTTACGGCATCTCAGGAACTCGCACACATCTCCCCGTTCGCAAGCCTGCCCTCATTGCGGCTATAAGGCGAATCGGAGAGATAATCTGCGGAATCATGTCCGGAAGAAACACGGCAGAGAATTGCCTCAGACGCCTCCGCAACAGTAGCCTTTCTGATCTTCCTTGTCTGCATTCCTTTTCGGATCGGAGTTTTATGGGTCGGGTGTTTGTTTTGACTTTCTCCACGGCGGATCTGCGACTAATGATCCTGCGCCCCACCTTTACACTCTACACGATAAACGGATTTCCTTCACTCTGGATCTTCATCCATCCATTGCACTTATCGTGTGATGTCGATTTGTTAATAGATCAAAAGAATACTACTACTTAGAACTGATCCAAACTCCTAAGAATTTCCATCGAACGTAGTTATTTCCATCTACCATCCATCTATTAAACTTTGAGCAGAAAACAAAAGTTTCCACCCCTAGCATCCATCCGCGACCGTTGGAGCGATCACGAAGCAATCATGGAACCCCGCATCCCACCTCCGACCGGTCGGCATCCAGTATTCCCTAGTAGTGGGCGGAGAGCTACATCCGCTGGCAGTCAACAGTAGGTACCTCCCGGGCGGGGCGGTGAGAGCCACGATATAGCAGCAAGCTTTGTTAGTCCTACAGAGATAGCACAATACGTCCTCCGAAAGAGCTCATACTCGAACTCCACATAGTCAGGGGCAATCGGTCTACAAACTTACAGGCCCCGTAGACAGAAGTCTGCTAGAACGCCCTCCCCCCCTCCCCCCCCCGGTAGGCCTCCATCGAAGCATCAGGCAGCAATCTTTTCCAACGCGGTGAAGTAGAGACTCTGCGCGGGAGATGAAAGGGATCTGGTACCTAGTACCTTGTGAGATACATCTACAGACTCAGAATCTAAGTTTAAGAGATCAAGCAAAAAAACAAAGAACGCAGCGGATAAGCGAAACAGGTGGAAAATGCCTTGTGAGAAATACAGGGACGAGGGGTGCTGTTAGGATCTTGTCAGCAGCGACATCCTGCACTCCGGAGTACTCCTCTGCAAGCAAGGGCCGATGCAGGAGACTACCCGTGGAAAGCTCCTTTGCAGCGCGGAAGGTACCTTAGATTCTGCCTCTCATGAAGGGACCCTCCACTTGAGGCAGTAATCTAGGACGTATCTACGACTATTTAAAGGTTTAAAGTAGACTATGCAACGCTTGACTATCATCAGCGTCGCTCAATCTATTTTTCTCTATTCAGTTCGCATCTCAATCACTGAATCTGCGAAAACTATCTGCTCATCCAACGGTCGCAAGATACTTAGGACGAGTCAGCGGCGGGAAGCTTAGTCCCAACACCCGCCGACCGAGCTCCAAGTCCTCACCTCACGGGTGTGAGAGAAACCCCGAATTTCTCCATGAACATGGGGGGGAGGGGACCTCCCTGACACTCCGCCGTCAACGGTGAGCTTGCCACTCCAGGGATGATGGGTCGTCAGGGCGTCTGGGAGTGCCTCCTGACCAGCTGCCCTGTTTTCCTATTTTGTATAGGGATGAGTTGTCTGTGGGGTCGGCCGGAAAAGAAGCCCGCAAAAAAGGCCAAAAAAAAAAAAAACAATAATGAAGAGGGAAAACTGTTGTTCTCACCGGTGAGATTCAAAGTTTGGAACGGCGGGAGATGCATGCGGGCTGAACCCTGTTTACGCCTGTTCAGTGGCCCTGGTAGCTCTCCACCCCCCCGGTCAGCCGGACCGTCCCATACTATGGATGAACCTGGTGGTATTGAAAGATCGGAGACGGCCGTTACTAGTGGGATACCACTGGGCAGCCCAGAACTACTAACGGGGATGAGAGCGCAGGTATTAATCAGCGCTCAGCAGAGTCACTGCTGTGTAACGATACAGCATACGAGGTGGAGGCAACACCGGTTCGAGGGCCGTTGGAAGGGCGGTGGTATTGGGGTGCAGCCTACCCCCGCCGCCGTATCAATGGAAATCCGACAGAGCTTAATGATTATTGTGGCTGATTGTGGCTTTTTTGGCCTGCCCCTGAACCAGGACATGAACTGAGTTCCTTCCCGATTCATGGGGGATTAAGTTCCTGAGCAGGCAGATTTTACTGCCCCTGTGGAGTATATCATAACGCCTTATTTCTCGAGAAGGAAGCTGGAAGAGGAGCGATGGTTATACTCAAGCTTCACTCAGAATATCCAAGCCACATGGGGAACGATGCAACCCTGGAGAAGCTTGATGCTTCATGATACCGAACTGGAGCGGAAGAAAAAGCAAAGAAACTCGTGAGAAAAAGCAAAGTAATGTGTTTATATATATGTCTGTTCTGGAACGAGGAACATATCGAGCTTTGTCAAACCAGTTGACAGCGTCAACGCATAAACTGCAACAAAGTAAGATGGAGCAATATCTACCTGATGTGCGGTCACCGAGGGTGAATACTCATTTTGCTGGCCTGTCTGATAGCAGCCTCTGACGGATGAGAGATGACGAGATGGAGAAATGGTGTCTATTGCATTCTTGAGTAGGGAGGGAAAGAAATGCGATGAGAAACATGACTTGCTGCAAGAGCTGAGCTTCAGTTCTTTGATGTGAGCTGTGGATGAGCAACTCTCATATCTACACTTGAGTTAGCGCTATTCTTATACACAATGTCCGGGGCCTCTTGAAACTTCTTTTCCGATCGGATAAGAAGCTGACTCGTTCATCTCCTTCTACGAATCGAGAGAGAGCTAGCTGGCTTTGGGAGAAGGATATACATACCCATGCTCTGTGGCTGGAGGACCATCTCGAGCGGCATCTCAGAAACTCCCACATTTGCCTTGCGTCCCTTGGCTGTGGAGTCTGTACTTGGCGCGTCAATCACTTATACACTTTGAGGAACTACTCGATTTATCACCGACGTGGAGGACTTTCAGGGGCTGTGGTTTCTGCATATTATGACAGGTTGGGTGGTTGCTAGTGATGTTGAGTGGTCATTTATGGCTTTACCTTTCTTCCTGGGTGTTGCTCTGATCGATGTATCCTATTAGTCTTAACTATGATACATACTAGTGGGCAAGGGTATAAATCACGATATATATTAGTTCCATACACTTCAAAGCTAATCTGGAAACCATATGACAGTAGCAGGTCTACAGTATGTGCAGGTATTTGATCGTAATCCATAGTCCAAAGTGATAATCTATATGGGCCATGGTCCGTGGATGAGACGGTCCTAACCCATGGCCATTCAATGGTTATGAGGGGTAGTACCCTTTCCACATGCCCATAGAAACAGCGGCGGAAACACCCGAGGAATGACCAGTACAGTCGTTTACAATCTGACGGGCGAGCTGCACGAGACCAGCAACTTGTTGGATGCAGTCGTTGTGACTTATTGACCCATAACATGTTAATCTACAACGCTGACTGTAATGCGTTTCCTTTGCCTTCTGTCTTAGATAGTATGCCAGCTAAACTACAGTCCAGCGACTCATGACGTATCCAAGAAATGTGCACCACGCTAAAATACGAGCCCTCGAGTAAGCCTGTACGTTGTACGGTCACCGGCACCTGTGCAACATAGTTGTGTCCTTGGACGTTGGCCGGTGGGTGGCAAAAACGGGGTACCACCGGAATGCAGCTCGACCGACCGCTGGAGCCAACTCAGCAGAGGACGGGATAGAACGGGGTGCATTCTTGGTTAGATGGGCGCTGCCTATTCCCTGTTGCTATTCTGTTGCTGGAAGCTCTGTTGGAGGGGTAGGATGCCCTGAGTAGAACGTGCTTGGAGCACCTCTGCTGTATCGTAGAATTTCAGTCGGTTCAACGGCTATTGTCCGACTTGATCAGACAGCTAGGCAGGGCTCACCATGTGGATGGCTGGCCCAGTGCATCGGGCCCGAGGCCGGGGCCGATTCCAGTAAGTTGGTTTACCCGAGTAGGGGTTGTTTATTGCCAGTACAGGAGACAGCACAATGCGCTGGATAGAACCGGGCCGCTGTATCAATCTGAACAATAGTAACAAGTTATGATCGACAAAGTGACGACGAAAGGGAACCGAAGGAGAAATATCAGAATGAAAAGAATAGCAAGAGAACTGGGCGCTGAATTGGCCTCCAGTGTTCATTTCTCATTCCCAGGCCGGGCAGTCACCAGGCAGGGAGCCCAAGGGGAACGCCCAGTCCTAGCACGACATCCCTGATTCTTATGACCGACACGAATCGGGACGAACCGCTCAATTGGGAGAGCGCCCATCCCGTTCCCAGAGGTTTGGTGGGGCTTGTCCAGGGTATCTGGCAGGCCCCCAAGCAGCTGCAGCTAGGCCTGTTTCACAGGTTCTTGCTGGGGTTCCAAGAGTTGGCCGGGCGGGCAGGCAGAGCAGCCCGCTCGACTGAGCAAACTGGAGGAGATTGACGAGGAAACCAAATTGATGGAACGTTACACGGGGTCACGGGTGCCGGAGGGGACCTGGAGCCTGGAGGGATCTTGAGGGGAGCTGGAGTCGATTTCTCCAAATTCTCTGCCAACATTGACAGTGTCTAGGAGTTCAGCGCCCACCCTCGAGTGGCTAGTCAGGACAGTAGGGTAGATTCCGCGGTGCTCGTGAGGAATCTCCGATCAACGCCGGCAGACGATCCTGCTGCCGATCCCAGGCGCAACTAAGAAGTAAAGATACGGATAATACCAAGCAGACTGTCTCAGCTACTCGCGTAGACAATCTCCATCTCCCCTACGAAACATTCCTACATATATTGCAGTATTCCGATCGCCCCTGTGCTTCGGACATCTATATAAAGCCTGTGTGTCTTGCATGGGGTGATTGAATCAACACCAGCTCAAATCCTCTGCACATTTGACATCAGGCATAATCGACTGAGCCATAATGACCGACAGAATGAATGGTGGAAGGCTATTCATTCTGTCGGTCAGCACTCAGACCGCCCGAGAAAACAGACAGCGTCCCGCGCCGTGGGAAAAAGGTCTATACCCATGTGTTCGGCTGTGGCGCAGCAACACCGAATCCCTATCGCACCGTCCGACCATGCCCTGACAGACTGCATCAGGACAGCTCCATCGTGCCATGGAGGTTGGTGACGACGGTCGAAACTCACGGAGATGCCTATCCGTCGTATATATACAGGCCACTGCAATTGGCCAACAAGCAGCAGAAAAATCACTGACTCAACGCTCAATCACGGGGAAGCTCCCCAGGCCGGCTGACAAACTCGCTGCACAGGAAACAACATATTCCTGGTGGCCATCAACACATGATTTTTGGCCATCTGGTATATTACTTCTGGTCTGGCTCAATGCCCACAACCCATATATCTGTCAAATATGGGCAGAGGTGGATTGAGCAAAGCGCCTTGGTGAACATCAATAATGGGCGTCAGGGCTTAGGCACGGCCGCTGTTACAGCAAGCTGGGCTCACTCCAAGCCCACACGCCCACTCATATATTCATGACCCATGCGGTTACACAGGCTTGACTGGAGCCATTCATACAAGGACTCAAACGCTCTGCGATGCTCTCAACAGCACAGATGTTTCATTGGTCGGGCGCTTGGTCGCCGGGCGTGCGAGTCGCAAGAAACCAGGGCGCAAGCAATGGGCTGGAAAGGGCGTTGAGGTAGAGGAGAGTCTGAAGGGGACTATATAAGGCCATATTCTACTCAGAATAACGGCTATTGCAGTGTCGTCTCTACAAGACACAGATCCTCTCAATTGTCCTATCATCACCTCCACTTTCTACAATGTCCAACCCCATGTTTGGCCCAGACTACCTTAGCGCCGAAGAAGAGCGCTTGGTCGAGGACCTAACCCAGCAGTCAATACGGACCTACATCGACTCACAAGCTGTACCTGTCGCGGAGGCCACATCCTTTGATTCATCCGTCCTCACTGATCTGGGTTGGGATACTAGCTCCATCATTGGCGATAATGCTGGGAGTGTGCCTAGCAATGCCTACGAAGCATTATATCCTCTCGAGCCAACACAACCTTCCGAATCATCACAACCTCTGGAGCAAACACAACCCCTAGAACCATCACAACCCCTCAATCAGAATACCCTACCCACCCCTCAGGCTCAATCACAGACTCACATACCCGCACGCACCCCAGCTGCCAGGTACATGACCTATATATTGACCACTCTACTCACAACACTGACGCAGCCTCAGACAAGCCTCCATCGCATGTCAATGGCCCGGGTGCACACGGACATTCGGGAGAAATGCCGACCTGTACCGACATCAGCAGACAATTCACCTCTTTCCCAAGAGTGTCGTGTGTGAGAGGTGCGGTCGGGAGTTCAATCGCGCTGATAATCTGCGGGAACATCAGCGGAGAGTCCACGGGGAGGATACATCGCGGGGTGGGGGGGGGGGGGGGGGATAGAGGTTAGAGATATAGTGCGGGTTGCGTAGCTGGTTTGGTGGTGTTGTATATATATAGACTTGGTACATGTTGGTTGTTGGGGAGTTAGATGGTTAAAGCATTGGTGTTGTGTATGGGGTCGAAGATATACTGCAATATTGGCGCGGTTAAGGGTGTCGGTGTTGGGGTATCTGGAGCGTCTTGCACCATATCCGTCTATTTAACCATTCTCAACAGAAGATTGACAATGGCTACTATGTGCAGCTATACCACAACACAACATACTCTAAATAACGTTTTGAAAAGGATGCATAAAGATGGATAGCTATAGCTATATCTTTATATCTATAATATGAGCGAATTTAGACGAGAACCAGAACCCCAGAACCAAAGTTACTTATCAATTTAGACCTGTATTTGACGAATTGTAAGGCAAATCAACCATCTTGGTCCTTCAAATAAAGTCGTTGGGTCAGACCCACTAAGCGAACCTACCCGGTACCTTTGCGGCAAGGATCCACGGTTTGATACCACTAGCTCTAACAATTTGACCCTCCGTCTCGCCTATCCCCACCGCCGGTTGAGAGGCGTTTCGGTCCCCCTCCTCCTCTCACCTGCCCTGTAGAAACGAACTTTAGAATAGATGAATCATTTCTCCAACCCTGGTTTTCAATGAAGCGGTATTGGTAGAAGTGTTTTAAATGCTCTGTGTAGTGAGATTGGTTCACCCGTTCGGAACATGGAGGGGCATCCGTCAGGCTGTGATGCCTTTGTGCCTGAGGCAATAAGGCATTCAGGCTGCAGGAGGGATCCTCATCACGTGTGCGGTGTGGACTGACTCGGAGATGGGCGAGATTTGAATGTGACATTGCACGTGCTCAGTGATGTTCTGATACAGCTAGTATTGTCATATGCATATAGCCCGGTAATGCTTCTATATAAGGGAACATGATGAATTCAATGGAGGCGTGATTACCTTCACTAAAACATAAGTACCTTCTACCCACTCTGCCACCTTGATTCGAGATCCTACTCTATAGCAGTCTATGCACCTAGTTAGCATAAAGGTTCTACTATGTATTTAGAAGGATTACCATAAATACTAGCTCAAGTACCTGCTAGAAGACTTACAGGAGACTTGAAAAATGGTGGTAATCGTATTTCGGTTGGACAATGCCTTGAGGGGATATAGGGATAGGCCTAACCTTTATTTACTTTTCTTAGGTGAATGGCTTGATGGGTATAATTGCAGAGCTAAAAAAATTCCTAATGATGTTCACCTATGAATGTGTCTGCAAAGCAGTGTTATTCAGGTAGTGGCTAGATGCTGCACTCACCTTTTTTTAGCTAACATAATCTGGGTATAGCTGTTCTTTCTCCACCTTCCAAGTATACTTAGTCTCTTGTCTAATTAACATCATGATTAATTCATTGCTACCCCTTCCCGTGCTTCATGTAATGAATGAAATTCAGGAGAGTAAACTGTCCTCATCGGGTCACTGTCACCTGTTCTTTGTCACAGGTTAAGCTCATTCCCATCATCTATCTTTGTTCCACAGTATGGTACCGCTTATTGGCACGTGCCCTAGCCCTATAAAAGATTTCCTTTGACAAGTACCAAATTTCTACCATTAACGATACCTCTTCTGCTGCTCAAATCGCACTACATTAGGACATCTCCTACTCTTTACCCACGTGACCCATCAGCATCGGCATCTTCCATCATCAACATGCACTGCTAGACCAAGGCAAATTTTCACCCTCCATACGAAGAATCACATTGTTCATACGGGAAATATCCTCTACACAAAGCCAACGGACTTTTGTCTCCCCGGCGGGAGGTATATCATCTACACCAATCCTTGTCAACCTCCACATCACGACCATCCTCTCCGCCACCACATACCAACATGGATACCCGACCTGACCACTTCACCCCCTCTCACCTCAACCCCCTCATGACCATGAACACCTCCACCACCGCCACCGACCCCGACACTCCCATGACAGACCCAACAGACCCCACCCCGGACACACCACTCCTCAGCATCGAAGCAAATCCCAATCCCCAAGCCCCCAATCTCAACACCACCCCCCAACCCAACCGGATTCGCCACCCCACCAGCCCCATCCAACTCGACGACCTCTACCTCCCCATCATCTGGGACGAAACCTGGGAAGCGCCAATCATCGAAGCTCCTTACCGGCCCCGCCCGCACAATCCCTCCCCATCATCCTCATCCTCACCCACAGACACCGACAATACCGACATAGACACAGACACAAAGCAATGCACATACCTCCCCTCCCCCGAACAATCCGACCAAGACGCATACCCCACCACCACCACAACAACAACCACAACAGAAGAAACCAACCTCCCTCCTCCCCCTCAGCCTCCTTCCACCCCATCCCCCCGAAAACACCACCCCACCCACACCCCCCTCATCTGCGAATGGAAGAACTGCACCACCAAGCACCGCTACACCAGTTACGAAGGCCTCTTCAACCACATCAAGCTGGCGCATTTAGATGCCGTGCGGTGTGCGGTCTGTCACAAGGTGTTGTTGAATGTGGGGATGTTGAGGAAACATGAGCGGGTGTATGGGCATTCGGGCATGTCTGGGACTGGTTCCAATTAGGGAGGGGGAATAGGGCTGGGGGATGGGTGGAGCGTAGGTGTTAGGGGTAGGGAGTTTGTGGAGGATGGGATAGGTCCATGGTGTATATGGTTGGTATTCGGCCAATGAGATTGTAACGATATCAGTTGTATGAAATTCCATTGGGCATTTCATTTGGGTCCTACTCACAGAATGTTTTAGTAGTGGGCTCGGTTATATATCCGCGCTACAACCGTCCCCAAATCTCCATGACCACCCCAACTACAATCCATACCAACATTTAAATAACTGAATATATAGCTAAACATACATTTATTCATCACACCAGCTAAACTAAAACATATCATCACATTCAGTGGTATCTACTGCAGATACTCATTCGGCATATACAACGGCATCGAATCCTCCCAGATAGTATCCGTAACCAGGGTCTTGTTACTCCCATCATAGTTCATGACCATGATCTGGCCGTAAGGTTGGAAGGTATCATCGAACAGGGCACTCTCGTCCTTGAACCCGTACATGCCGGTACTCCACATGATACGGCCGTCTTGGGACCACACGGCGCTGTAATACCATTAGCACAACGAAGTATGGAAAGGGGGGTTAGGTTAATCGGGGGGGAAGAGGGGCCATACTGAGCATCATTGGACAAGCTATCCGTCACACGCGTCAACTCCGATCCATCCGGACGGATAGTATAGATATCGAAGCGATCGGCGTACCAGCGTGCGCCGTACGACTCGGTCCAGTTGTTGTTCCGGGTGAAGACGATGCGCTCGCCATTAGGCGACCAGCCCGGGGTGTTATCCCAGCCGGTGGTGAGTTGGTGGGTCTTGCCGGTGGTGAAGTTCAGAATGTGCAGACCCTGAGGGACACCCGTTTCGAGACTCCACTTGCGGTAGACGATGGCCGAGCCATCCGGGGACCAGGAGGGGAAACCCGAGTTGTCGGTGCCGTCGGTGAGGTTAGTGTGATGGGTGCCGTTGGCGTAGGCGCGCCAGATACGAGCCTCAGCTTCGGTGCGGCTGACGAACCAGGCGCCGAAACCAGAGACCAACTCCGTGCCGTCCGGGTTCCAGGAGGGTTGGAAGGCGCCGGAGTTGCCCTCTTCGAGCCATTCGACTTCGGTGGCGTTGTTCAGGCTGTAGATGTCGTAGGCGTCGAGGGCGTCCACCACGTCGGTGTAGACGGGGGAGGAGTGGACGAGGGAGCCGTTGGCGCTGCCGAGGACCTTCTGGGTGGTGGCGAGGCGGTTGGTGGCGGTGTGGTGCATGGGGAAGACGTCCATGTAGCGGTATTCCCAGTCGTTGTCGTAGCTCCAGAGTTCCAGCTCGGCGGCTTGTTGGGTCCAGTTGGGGATCCAGTAGACGAGCTTGGAGCCGTCGGGGGACCACCACGGGTCCCGCAGGTAGGTCAGGTTGAAGGTGTGGTGGGTGGCATCGGGCTGGGTGTAGTGGATGCCCTCGTAGTCGCCGGCCTTGATCAGGTAGCCGATGTTGGTCGAGTTGCCAATGTAGTGCTGGCCGACCTTGGGGTAGCTGCCGGAGGTGTGGGCCGTGACATGGGCGCCGGTGGCAAAGTCCACGCTGTAGATCTGGGCTTCGACGGCTTCCTGCTGAGCGGAGACACCGTGGCAGCCATAGGTGTTCTCCCGGGTCATGTTGTTGTAGATGATGCGCTTGCCATCGGGCGACCACTGGGGAGTGCCCAGGGAGTATCCGTCCTGGCGCAGTACGGTGCGGAAGTCACTGCCATTGGGACGGATGGCGTAAAGGCCCAGGGTCTGAGTGTGTTCCCAGCCGACACCCTCGCTGTGGCCAGTCCAGTCGGTGTTGCGATCCGAACTGAAGGCGATCCACTCGCCGTCGGGGGACCACGACGGACGGAAGTGGCCAGTGGGCCAAGTGTTGTCTGCCCGGGTCAAGGCAGTGTCCGTCAGGTTCTGGGCCAGTCCAGTGGTCAGGTCCTTGACCCAGATGTTGGTGGTGTAGTTGCCAAAGGTGGACACATAGGCCAGCTTGTTTCCATCCGGCGAGAGGACACCAATGTCTTCGACAGAGTCGGTGGCTGCCAGCACCTCCAGACCTGTGCCATCGGGACGAACCCGGTACAGGTCGGACTGGCCGGGACCGCGACGCTCGCTGGTGAAGACAATCCATTGTCCATCCGGCGACCAGGAGGGATGGTAGTCAAAGGGATTGGTCTGGTTGGCCAGCAGCTTGGTAGCATTGGTGCCGTCCGCATTGGAGATCCAGAGCTGAGACCCCGAGGGGCCAATACGGTTCACTGCGTGTGTCAGTCCTGGGTCCCGATGGGTCTGTCGGATCACTCACTGTAAAAGATGCCCTTCTTGCCCTCGATCGGTCCTCGACGGGACAGCCCACGAGTATCCTTTGCGGGTGCAGCAGCAGCCCGCTTGGCATACGGACAACCGGCCGCAGCAGCAACAGAGGCGTCGTTGTTGGCGCGCTCAGCATACGGGCAGGCTGCACCGGCCGAGCCGGCCGCCAGACCGGCCAAAGCAATAGCAGCAGAAATGCGCATGTCGTCTACCACTCAAGCTGGAGGCAGATAATGTGAATGCGACTCAAGAGCTGGTTGTGAGACAATGCGGTTGAGATACCCGAGAGGCAGGCGATCGGCGGTATAAATACTGCTGGCGCAGAGGGGGATAATCTTTCATCTCGGTTGCTCGCAGCTTGGCAATATGGGAGCCTGGGCAAGATCCCTCGGTCGTCGCTAAGGGATACCCTTTCTTCATTGTGTGGGTGAGTGGAGCCGATCAGATAGCGATGATTCAAATCCCAATCTATCAAGTGGACCGGGTCAACTTATCAATCAATCAGCGAATGGGGCGGGGACTCCACCGGCCCAGGAAAAAATCTTCATCCCATGTTGCAGAGCGCTGCGGAGGCTAGTGGAAGTTGAGAATAGGCATGAATATGAATCATCTCCCTCTATTGTCTCAGCCCTAACCGGTGTACATATACTACGTAAGAATTTGCCACGCTTACTTACTGTCCAACATGCCATGTCAACATGCCATGTCAACTGCTGGCAAGATGGAGTCTCCCATTGTAGGCTCACCACCTCTGGCCAGCCGAAATGAACGGGAGTGGATCAGCGTGGTGCATCCAACGGTGCGGCCGGTGTCGGCCTATCCTTCCCTGTTTTTGCCAATTGGGATGACGATCGCATTATCTCCGACTTGGCACGGGTTGGCAGGATCTCGGCGCCTTGGCTCGCCCCTTGGCGCCCCTCAACAAGTAACCAGTCCCGACTCGACCAATTCTCGCCGATAACCCCGAGCAGCGGCCGTCTGCACTCTGCAGCTCGGGTATCTGACGCGGGGATGACAGGGTCAGGCCTGTCCCCTTACTCCCTGGGGGTGCTGCGCCGAACCCTACCGTGGTCGGTGTTCCGCCGCTAATGCCCCCACCGCCGCCTAAGTCTCTGCACAGCCTGATGGTTGCAGCACACCTGGGCGCCAGGACACATTCTATGCCACCATATTACGAATTCGATAAGGGATTTTGTCCGTGCAATGTGAAGTCGGAGGTCCAGGCCTCAGCGTAGGACCAATCACGAAAAACTCATTGCCTACCGGAGGACGGCTGGACGGCGGATGGGTCGGAAGGATTCTCCCGCCAACTGTCAACTTGGGGTAGCTGACCAACTCGATATTCGCTGCTTCCCGTTCGATGTTCACAATCAAGCTCATTACCCACGGGAAGGGGTGAGGAGTGCCTGACGAAGGCTGGGTCCAATCGGGGCTTTGCTGGGGTCGGGAGGATTCAAGTCCAGTGCCCAGTGCGCAGAGGGGCTTACGAATAGATGAGAACCAATCGGTCAACATTGCCAAAGATGCTTGCACACGAAGCAGCAGACGGAATGTAGATCCGTAAGCTCATCTCGCCTAGAAGCAGCGCTCAACTGTATCGTTGGGCAATCTCACATAGGTCTGAGGCCTAGATGGACCCGTGGCAGTGATTGATGAGGCTACAGCTCAGGCTAGTGCCGTTGCATTTCTCGATTCCCATACTCGTGAATAGTAACTTCATTAATTGTTGTGGCCTGGAGTTGGTGGGAACCAGCGGTAGGACTGGTGGCTTTCCGAGATGCAGGACGTCTGCCAGGGGCAGTGCTGCATATTTCGTGGCTGAGATACACTGCCGCAACCTTATGCGGTGGCCTGATACACGTGGTCCCTATCTTGATCCAGTCAGTGAATACAGGCATCGAGTGTAATCCGAGTGATGTAGGCTGGCCACTTGTCCAACCAGGTACACCCCATTATTAGGCTTACCTTGATCGACAGGACGAAACTCGGGGCTCCACCATTTATTCGGCCTTGATTTCCATTATCTGCTGGATGATTAGCACCCTGGGGACGCAGGCTCGGACATGACGCAAGGATCTGCATGGCTGGAACTCGGCCGGGTGGCGACCGAGTGAGTTTCCACAAGGTTCACTGTTCCGTGTCTGCGGCACGATACCACACTGCTCTCTGGGTATCAGTGTCAGGCAACAAGCTATTGGAGGAGCAATGTTCTCTCTGTAGGCTCTGTGTGCGGTGGTGATAAAAGCTGGCCGGGCAGTCGGGAAGCACGTCATGCCGCCCGCACTTGCCCCACTATCCTCAACCATGATTCAAGAACATTCTAAACATAGCTCGGGTTGCGTGACTGTCAGTAGGGCTAGGCTGCTACATTTTACGCAGCGAATCAGTGCGTGGGATACGTGAATCGAAGTGACGATCATCTATCGGTCCTCGAAAGTCATCGATGTTCCAGCCTGAACCGGGTTTTATGCGGGAAGGCGGTCACAGCCGTAATTGCGGCGGTCGCAAAAGAGAAAGGACTAGTGTGGCTTTCGAGAAATGCGCTGGTTGGGAGATCAAGAGTTATGGCTCTATCCAATACATCTCCTTAGCTTAATGATATGATGAGGATCGTGGCCCTGGGAAACGGAAGATGGTGTTGGTGATCATGAGATCGAGGTGGCTTCAAGAGTCGTGGAGGCCTTGAATGTGGGACATGTGATCCTCGCCTACGCGCCAATCAGGTGTTCTAACATGATATTATATACTAAACCATGTCCCATAGCGATGCCTACACAGAGCTCAGACAGGAATGTCTCGCAGAAATCTATCCAATTCCTCACTGGAATCATAATTGGTGCTAGACACCAATGACGTGACACACAGGCCGAACAAGGCATGGGAAAATACCAGTCAATCAGAACCCAACTCAGGAAGCATCATGCCTCTCTAGTACGGGTTCGGAGTAGCATACTTGAAATACTCCAAAATCGTCTCCTTCTCCTCGACCGAAGCAAACGAAATCTTCTTCCACCGGCTACCCAACTCAAAGGTCGAGTTCTGCGAGGGCACATTGGCGCCCCAATAAGGCAGGGTTCCATTCATGTACGATCCTCCCTGGTTAGGGTTCTGAGTTTTGACAAAATTCGCCCAGTGGGACGACATAATGTCAGCAATTTCGATATCTGTCTCCGTGTAGTCCTCCGACTGAGCATACAAATTACCGAGGCCATAGACCACCTCGGATCCGTGCGTGGCGCCATCCGAGCCCGGGGGAGAGTAAGTCCAGAGGTAGTAGTAGATAGGCTGGTCGGAGGACTTGCTCCAGCGGTCGGCCCACGACCAGGTCGAGGTGCAGTATCCAGAGCGGAGGATGGAGTTATATGCGTCGGTCGCTTCGCTGGTGTTGCTCGCTGGGTTGAGAGCCAGAAGTTCGGCGGCATAGGGTCCGTAGGTCGACTTGATCGCCGACTCATACTCTGCCACCGTGTAGGTGACGCTGAGATTGCTGCCGTCTTCGTCCTTGTTGTTACCTACCAAGATGGGGACATTGTCGGGGGCACCATCCTCCAGACTCACGATGTACTTGTTGGGAATGGAATGGTAGTTGAGCACCGGGTCGAAACCAACGAAGGTGGATGTCCCAGTTCCGGTCAATAGGGTGTCAAGATCCAAGGCTCGCAGGTCTGACACGCTGGTTGCGTTCAGAGACTCGGCGAAGGTCTCACTGAAGGCATATGCCCAGGTCATATTCCGGTAGTCACTACCGTAACCCCACATGTCCGGATCATAGGGGTCCTTGAGGCCGCTCTCCGCAATAGCGCCCTTGATCAATCCCTTGGCCAAAGGACTGTTGACGATGTGGTAGGCTGCCCCCGAGCCAAAGGACTGTCCAGCCACCGTGATCGAGTCGGGATCTCCCCCAAACGCGGCAATGTTCTCGTGGACCCATTTGAGTGCCTGGATCTGGTCCAAGAGGCCATAGTTGCCAGTTGCCCCGGTCTCGTTGACCAGCTGATGGAGAGTGAGCCAGCCGAGGGGTCCAGTGCGGAAGTTGTAGCTGACGAAGATGATGCCCTTACCCGCCATGCCCGCCCCGTCATAGGTAGACTGGCTGGATTCCCCGCCAGCGGCATAGGACCAGAGCATGACGGGGAGCTTGGCATCGGTCGAGTTGGCGGGACTCCAGATGTTGATGCTCAGACAGTCTTCGCTGATTCCATCCCCGGCCGACGAGCTGGGACAGCTGGGGCCAAATGAAGTGGCCGGGAGTGTTCCGTTCCAGGACGGGGCTGGCTGAGGTGGTCGCCAGTGGTTCTAGCCTCCGGTCGTTGCGGCATACGGGATGCCCTTCCAGACGGAGATGTCTTTCCAGTTGGAGATGTAGGATGGGGCAGGGCTCGAATTGAAGGCAGCAGTGACTTTTACTGATCCTTGGGATATCTGGATGTCCTGGTTGTAGAGAGCTGCGTTGGCCGCGTGCAGCAGCGACAAGGAGCTGATTCCGCGGAGGGAGTCGTGACTCAGCTTCATCGTATCGGTTTCAGTAGATGGCTAGAGAAGAAAAGATGTGGACGAAGGTACCTGACAATTAATATCGCAGAACGGTGCCCTTAAATAGGCGCACCGTCATATGTCCATTCACCGAACATAAGGTGATGCCGGAAATTAATTGCATGTCCGGGACTAGACACGTCCTTCTTCATTATGGTTACGTAGATTCCCCTCGTTATGGCTGTGTTGATTTTCAACTTCCTGCAATATCTTCGCCCTGCCTATATTGGGCCCGCGTGTCGCATTTCCCGCTTCTACCCTGCCGTGCTCCCCCCAGCCCTCCTGCAGCGTGCCAGCGTGCCTCATCTTCATTCTCCGTTATCTTCCGCAGAGATCCACATCCTATGCTTAGCCAGAAACGCATCGTCAGAACCGTCGTAAGCAGTCGCAAAAATCCCGCTTTCCAGGGCACCCGAGGTCTTCACTATTGACTGTGGACGCTATCTTTATCCCGACGGAGATACCGCCCGATTCCGGATATGATCTGTTACCTGGCCCTGAAAATAACCAGGATCCTAACTCAATCAGGATTTTTCTCCGGCGGTCAGGAAAAATGAACGCAGCGGTGTCTCGGCGGCTCGGCGATGATCTACGATAAGGGTCCGACATCCGATGTCGATCGTCGGGGGACGGAGACAGAATGGACGGGATGTCCGTGCTGCAGAACATGGCCATGTCCGTCAACAACATGGCTAGGAACGAAGTAGTTGGAGTCCAATCGGAGGTATTGTCCTAGCTGCAGTCGACAAGTTAAATTGAGTATGATTTTGTTTCATTTAGACCCGCACGTGGAATGCACTCAAGATGGATCCGCTCGGTGGTCGGATGTTGGTCGGCAATGGCGTGGCTTGGATCTACCGACTTGGCAGTTGCATACGGCTTGTTCCGCGTAGTTGATCAGATAAGTGATATCGGTATACAGCATCATTAGAAGAATGCAATCGTTCTTTCTGCTGGGACGGAGCTGTCATGTGACATCGGACTTGCTGCCTCAGGCCTTAAGGTAACACTGTATGTTGTCTAAGGTAAGTGAGAAGATACAAGTGCACAGCTGAGAAGGAACGTGACGAAATATCAATTGGTATCATAGTCATAATATAGACATAGATGGCACTGACAGCATCGTCAAGCCCGCACTAATGCTGAAAGATGATCAGCATAGCGGTTGTGTCTTTGCCAGGCCAGTCAAATCCGTCTTTTGCACCCTCCTATAAGCGATCCATCAGATGATCTATAAGACCATCCATGACACTGCTCACCCCATAGGTCTCTGTCTCCAAGGCATTGGGGGTTTTATTGTTGAGTCGTTCTATGAGCCGACTACGTCTTGAAATTCCTCGACCCCATCGCGATAACCCTATTTACAAACGGAAAGTCCCGTGAAGAATATATCTAATGATTCACATGCAGTAGGAACTCAGGTGATCGATAGGATCAAGCCGCTTTTAGTATCGCAGGCAGGTCACATGGCCACCATTGTGATTAATGCATCTATATAATCCCCGGATAGATGCTGTCAAGGCGAGATTTGATGGCGCAATTCCCACCTGCTAATTGTCAACCTTTGTAAGTAGTCGTTGATGAGATGGATATATCAGTGACACTCAATATAGGCTCATGGTAGGAACATAAACACATGCTGTATGTTCCTAACAGCCCCGTCGACAGAGATGATCTTTCCGACAGGACAAAGAAATGACCATACCAGCTCAAGGTATAAAGCCCATCTCCTCTCCTCGCTAAACAAGGGAAGTCGTGACTGCACACAGTTATCCCAACATCGTGCTCTTTGTTCTCCTGCCCCAACAAACGTCTTTGATCCACCACAGCGGAAGCCCCTATCACAACCTTTCACAATGTCCTTCCTACCCTTGGTTGACGACAAGTTCGAGAATCCTCCCTTTGATCCAGCCATCCAGGTCGCTGGAAATAAGGAAGAATCGAAACAAGGCCAAGATACGCAGGCATCAAGCTCGGAAGATCCTGTCGACAGCCTCGCAGCCAAACTTGAGGCGAGCGATATGGTTCCAGGCCAGGAACCCAAAGATGGTCCTCCCTGCTGCCTGCCCTCCAACACCAGTGCTCAGAATACGCCTGTCTTGAATCAAGATCCCATGCAGGATGATGCTTCTTGCGCTGAGACTATGAGTGCGGATTACGATTATACGACTCCTCATGAAGAGGCCAATGCTGCTCCCCTTCCGGCCTTCGATATCATAGTGCCAGATATCGCTGTGCATGGCCCGACATCCGATTATGGGGGTGCCGATTGTGAGATGGACAAGACAGTGGGTGACGCTGATGTGACACCAATCCAAGAAGATCATGATGTCACTCCCTGTAATGAGCTTTCCCCTGAAGCCTCGAAGCCTGACACGATGGTTGCAAAGGAGATGCTTGCAAGCCAAGAAGATCAGGATATCGCCCAGACTCTGCCCTCGAGCGAGCAATCCCCACCCGCCTCGACAGGAAACAGGGTTCCCGCTATGAGCGAGATTCGTCCTGGCGAAGACGTGACCAGGATCATTGGACGGATCAACGCAATGGTCACGAGTTCCATGGAGGACCTCCCGATGTCTCCTGCGCAGGACAACTCTTCACCCATTAACGGCTCCACGAATCCCCCAGCAAACGTGTCCAATGCCCCCATGGACGACGCCAACGAAGGAGTCTTCGAGCGAGTCGTCCTCACATACAGCCAGCCCACCGAAGCCCGAGTGCGAGTTCGAGGCCGTGCATCCGTGGATGTTGCCACCACGCCCGACCCTCTCCCAGGTCTCAAGTCCACCATCTCCAACACCAACTATGAGACGACGACCGCGGCGACTCAACCTACCCGAAGCGCCAGAATCACGTACAGCCAGGATTCCGAGACCCGCGTCAAGTACACAGGGTATGCCAGGCAGGTTGAAATCATATGGCGTCGTTAGAGAAACTCTCCGCAGCTGACATGGTCCTAGAGATGAATTCTATTGTCGCTGGGAAGGCTGTCGGCGACGGAAGCCATTTGACCGGCCTCAATATCTCTTGGACCATGTTAGGGTTTGCCATGTTGGGAGTGAGAGTCGCGCTTTGGGCGAGGATCTTAGTCACGGCGAGAAGGTATTCGCGGAGTTGTTTTGGGGGGTGCTTATTGCTTTGGTTGTTTATTGTTGGAGGTAGTCGCTCTTTATATATTCTGTTGAGGTGCCTGGTTGGCTGGTAGGCAAGGATCATGTGTTTTGATCACGTTGGTTACCATTACTAAGGCATTCTTCTTCTTTTTTCTGGTTGTAGTTTAGATAATGAATATAATTAATATCTTTAATCTTTTAAACCGTAATTTATAATAGATTATAAATCTAGCCTCATACATTTTGATATTAATTTTTATATTATTTTTATCATTTTAAATATCTTTTTTTAATTATTTTACGTGTGTAATACCTTTTAATAGATCTTTTAATATAATAATTTTTATTATGTATTTAGTGATTGTAATTCATTCCATTACTTTCTACACCTGTATTTGAGATATTTGCATTCTTGCCATTCAGCAGGATCAATCTGTCAGGCCAGTAATTCTGAGGGTATAGGGTGGCAATGAGGGCTCTCATGGCCCAAACTATATATTTATGATGTACAAGTAACAAGCTGACTATTAAAAATCTGAGAGGGAGGCCTTACTTGTGGCTGAGAAATTATCTCCAGAAAAGTATATTACGCGTTAAGACAATGGTTGCGCCAGTACTTATATCTACAATTTTAGAAGTAGGCGTCCTATTAATACTATAGGCGAGTATTGAACTTGGTAGTCCCAGAGTATTTTAGAAAATAGATACTGCCTGGATTGCCGCGCCTATTGACTATTTACCATAAGTTTAACTAACTAACTGTGCGGACGGTGACATGAAAACCCTAGAAAATAGACTAGTAATATGCTACCGAGTAGGTCTCTATCATTTTCAGATTTGATACCCTCGAGAGGAACAAATATGTTCAGCTATCTTAGTAGATATTTTTAAACATAGTTAACTAAAGTAGCGCAGAACTGATAAGAATAATCTTGAATAGACTTTAGAAAATATTAATCCTCCAGTGCATTGACCAAGACTTAGTTGTTTTAAGGCGGGCATCTGTTGCCGTAGGAGCTTAAATAACTATCTTGGAACAGTAACTAAAATATTAATTACTATAATCAACTCTCCTTTGAACTCCGATCAACCATATAACCTATTACTACCAAGGAGACCATATCCAGCGTTATTGATGACGACATCAATCTTCCCGCCGTTGCTCTCGATTATCTATTTAACATGCTCCTGTGCTCCCTTGCTGCTCACATCTAATTGCAGCCATTTCCTGTCTATTGAAGTGATCTGGGGATAATCCTGGACCGCCTTACTAAGGTTGCGGGTGGTAGCAATGACGTTATGACCAGCTTGTAGGGCCTTTTCAGCCAGCAGTGCTCCAAATCCAGACGACGCACCGGTGATCAACCAAACTTGACGGGCCATTGTGATGTTATTTTGAAGACGTAGGGATCAGAAATAATTTTTCAGCGGTGATATGCTTTGTGATTTATCATAGCTGCGCGCGGACTTTTTATAGTAGTTATCCTAGGACATACGGGGTAGACTTTGGTGATCTCCAAGTCAATGTCAGCAGAGAGAGTGATCTACGGATCGACCCACTTTTAGCTCGTAATCACAACCATTCCACTCGCCTATTAATACAGACTCCGATACCATGGTGGCGATGACATGTCCGTGCTTGGGTAAAAGTCAATCAGAGTTTCCCTCTACTTTGTCGAGGCATGTAGATATGGAGTTACACGTCTCTGTAGCAGTGATAAAACTCATATTATTCATAAACCGTAAAGAACGTGGACTCTGAATCATGATGTTAATCATGATGTTGCCTTCGAGAGTGCCAAATATTGAGTTGGCAAATAGTAGCTGTGGAAGCCACCAACAAATCATGGCCATTTCCATAGTAGTCTTCAAGCAGAGTCTCACATTTCCATCATCGTATCATAAGAAGCCTTCCATGCCAGGCGCTTCTCTCCTCTCAGTCGTCGCCAATAATTTGTAGACCAGAAGATCTCCGGACATCCCTTGACTAACCGACCCCACTTCTGCAGGAATGTTTCAGTAATTTCCCAGTTCATCGGATCCCAAGGATTGCCCCAGACGAGTAAACAATTACTCTCACTAGATACAGTCCAGAAGCTCATCAAATCCCGACAGAATTGAGTATCATCCATGCTATCCTCATTCTGAATAAGATTGTCCCTTAACTGTGCGAAAGGGAAGAAGTCCAACCACGGATGATGAAGCCGACTCCGTTGCATGCCTGTCGGACGCAGACTAAGGGGTAAATTCGCCGCTGGTAGGGCCGTTGGGTGAGGACTGCTGATACTGAAACGAGAGATAGCATCATCTGTCATCCATTCCCGAGTGTATCCCAGAACGGCGATGTTACGTACAAAAGCGCGAAAGACATTCAGCTTAGCGAGAGTGAGAAGGTGATCGGCCTGTGGGTTTCCACGATAACTCCGGTGAGCAGCGGCCTCGAAGACCGTCATTAGTCGATACAGGTCTGCATGGGGTAGTACACAACCATTTGCTGCTATTAATCCATTGGCTCTACATGCTTCCCGGGAGAGTTGTGCTAAGATGCTCAGATCATAAAAGGAATTCTGCGTCAGGTCGGTCAGTGCCACATGCGAGGCGACTTGATCGGGCTGCTGCAGGGCGTGTTCTTCGGCTAGACCTTCAGCCTCTCTCTTGATCCGCTGCCGTTCGCCTAAGCAGAAGACATGATAAGTACAATGAGCTGTGACACCCATATGCTACTTACGCCATGCTCGTTGATTATGCCGGTTTTGGCACCTCCGTCGCTCCTTCCGCGCTGCTTCCCGGGAGTGGCTAGAACGACTGCCGTCACTACCACTCAGGTCTGCAGATATTCCTGCTGTAGTTTCGGACATGCGTGGACACTGTACTATAACAGCTCTGTGGCCAGATCACGAGCGATGGTGAAAGAGACAGGGGCTCGGAAAGGTCGGCTTTATTTTCAGTGCCACTTCTTGGCGCTGACAAGGCACGTGAGGGCATTCTTGCCACATTAGATACTGACAAACTCTTATAGAAACTTCCCCAAAAATGTATTGACCCGCCATTGATTACGGATATCGTCACGGAGGAGATACAGTTCGAGCAAAGTACTTCTAACCTAGTCCGAAGGCAACAATGTTTCGTGCCTTCCCCCAAGCGCCAAGAATGCCATTTTCCAACTCCACCATAATCCTCGTAGCAATACCCAGTATCTACAAGTCCCCCTATCCTGTAGGTCAAACTAGACTCTACTCAGGTCATTGCATGTCGATCAGAGACTCAATTCATCTATAAGAGAGCCGGCTTATACTCTCCTCAAGCAACTCGTAGTACACAATTTCATACACTTTTCTTCAAACTCGTCAACTTCCATAAGGTTTTGTTCAATATGTACTACTACCCTTATATCTCTCTGCTCTTCGCACTCGCTAGTGCACGCCTCCAACCCGAGTGGGTGCACTTTGACAGTGACGGTATCTCCATTGCCGCGCACCTCTACGTCCCCCCCAACAACTCTACGTGGAATACATCTCGGCCCGCGATTGTTGTCGGCCATCCACACGGCAGTGTCAAAGAACAGACTTCAGGTCTCTATGCCCGACAGATTGCAGAAAGAACTGGCTTCGTGACCCTCGCCTTCGATGCGGCCTACCAAGGTGAAAGTGGCGGCTTGCCCCGATACCTGGAGGATCCATACCAGCGTGCCGACGACGTCCGAAATGCTGTGACCTACCTTTCCACCTTATCCATGGTCAACTCCTCCCGCATAGGCGCTCTCGGAATCTGCGCATCGGGTGGATATGTCCCCTTTGCCGCACAGACCGATGAGCGCATCCGCGCCGTCGCCACGGTCAGTGGAATCGACCTAGGAACCCTATATTCTGAAGGCTTCGGCAACTACGGTGGCCCTGTGCTGCCTAATCTTCGTGACCAGCTTCTTGAAGCAGGAAGACAGCGCATCCGGGAAGCCGAAGGTGCCCCGCCAAACCTCACGCACATCTTCCCTCAAACTGCAGCCGATGTCACACCGGATCTCCCCGTTTTCTATCAACAGTCGTACGACTACTACCAGACACCTCGCGGACACGTGGAGACCGCTCCCAATTGGCATCTCTGGCGCAGTATCGATCTGATTGCCACGTACCGGTCCTATGACTTCATGAACCTGATCTCCCCTCGTCCGCTTCTAATGATAGCTGGTTCGGAAGCGGATACGCTTTATTTCACACAAGCTGCCATTGAGCGTGCGAGGGAGCCAAAGGAGATGTATGTCATCCCTGGTCTGACTCATATCGATCTCTATGATCATACCAACCAGAGCACCCCGAGATTGGTGGACTTCTTTCGTCAAAATCTGTGAGAGGTTCTGGCAGTGATTGTCTATGTGGGCCTAGACTGCGTTGCAAGTGGTGCCTAGGCAGATTTGGCACGGATCTATCTGTCTTGCCTATGTGGAGTTGCCTGCAAAGGAACAGTGTTTCGGAGATTGTTCTAGGCATTGGAGTCAGTATGTTCGAGAATAAGAGGTGGATAGCTTCCAGGGTGACATTTATCTTTCGTTATCAATAACTGTCTATACGGTTATTCAACTATAAATAGTATATTTCACACACGTGCTTGACCTAGTCAATGAGCTACCTTGTGTAGAGGCTTCAGCGCTGAGAGTAGAGTTACAGTCATATTTATTTCACACATAATACTATTAGAAATACCTCGAGAAGCTCTTGGAACATTCTAACAAGCACCGTGTGGCGGATTCTTTGGAACAGAGGTGTTACAGCCACATTGTCCCTAGAGCCATATCGAAAGGTATTGTTTTTTTGAATGCTTGGACTAGAAAGACGAACTTAAATCCCAACCACCATCGGCGATTGCAACAAACTTCCTTTTACTTGCAGTACTGATCAAGTTGGGGTAATTTTGAGTTCGAGATTCTAATCTTTTTGCCCAGGCAGCTCTCTTCTTCGTAAGTGGATTACTGCAATTAATCAATGATGTGTTGTAATGTATGATATGAATTGATTGCTGATATGAAAGAATATAGACTGATAATCACTCATTAATACTAACGAAAAGCGGGCACAACTATCTGTTAGTCAGAGTAGCACTCTAATAACGTAAACCACAATCGCGCGGCCCATCTTGTAATGCCATACAAAATCTATTATTTTTTAGAATTATTATATCTCAACAAATACACTTTTTATGAGAATATAAGGCTATATAGAGCCTAATAACTAGAAGATAAGTATATTAGACTTATTCAAAACAATTTAACAAAATTTCTATATTAAATATACAGACTATCTTAAAATACGAGTAAAACACATGTATTTATATTACCAGCTATTATAAGTAGTTATAAAAATCTATAAAAAATATTAAAAAAGAATTTATAGTCACTATAGTCTATATACGCAATATAAAGTTCTATACTGCTTCAATGGTTGAGATATTTCAATTATCAAAAGTGGTTTTTATATAGCATTATTAGCTGGGCCGCGCGATTGTATGGGCCGCGCGATTGTGGTTTACGTTAGTTAGAGGAGTCAGCCACACAAGTATTAGTCAAACCGGGCACGTTGTAGTACTATGGAAACCAAGGTATCACCGAGTGCATTCTGTGAGTTAAAACGGTGGATGGAGGCACCTTCCCGTATACCCACTACAATACATGTTCCACCCGTCTTGATTACGCGCTAACGGTGGGTCTGCTTGGTTATCCACTCCAACCTCTCTGGAGTCCTGGACACCTAAAGTCGATTACTCGCGGGCTGCGGATGGATGAACCATTGACATTATTGGGTGTACCAAAGCCATGTGGGGTTTTCCATTGTCTCCAGCACCCATCTTCAGTATTCGATATGCGTTCTTGGCCTTCGGCCCTTGAGACAGTACCTGGGCGCCAAGCAATCCATACAGTGAGATTTCTTGGCATATTGTTGGATTTCAGGTAGGATTAATGTTTATAAAGGGATGCAGCGTCGCCCACAGACTCTGGCCGTACTTCCTCTAACTGAGACTCTCTAATCAGGTACCATGAAAATTCCTCTGACGCTGACGCAGGTCCTGAACATCGCTGCTGCCTGTTCAGTCGTTATCCCTGCCCATGCCGACTGGACTGTTGGTCAGACGGTGCGAACTACTAGCGGCCTCATCGTAGGACACGCTGCAGCTAACGCTCCGGGGGTCTCCGAGTATTTGGGGATCCCGTATGCCGTTCCTCCGCTGGGAAGGCTTCGTTTCCAGGCCCCTGTCCGATTTGTCGGGAATGATACCGTCAATGCGACCGTCTTCGTATGTGAATACACCAATGCTCCCTTTCCGGCTGGTCTCCGATGTCTTAGTTGATAGAGCCGCAATGCCACAGCCGTCTACGCTTATTCTGCCCGCTAACACCACTTAATATCGCAGAGCCCGACCTGTATACAACCGCCTGCAGCTCCTCCAAGCACTGACACCAGCAGCGCACCGCCCCAGGATCTCGGTATTCCACCCAGCTCAGCTGCCGCTTTCGGAAGCGAGGTATACCCTGCGAGCGAGGACTGTCTGACTGTGAACGTCTGGACGAAGCCGCAGACCGGAGAGACCAAAAAGGCGGTCCTCGTCTGGATATATGGAGGGGCGTATGTATCCGGTGAGTACGGCTCCAAGAAACATCCACGAAGCACCCTTCTAAGATGAACGTCCACTAGGCAGTTCTAGACAACCAGCCTACCGAGGGCAATTCATTGCGGATCAAGATGACGTTGTTGTTGTCTCGATGAAGTACGACCCTACCAACGTTTGCCACAGACATGTTGTATATTGACCGCAGCACAGTTACCGTGTTAACATTTTCGGGTTTCCTGGTAACCCGGCCGCCCCAGCCAATCTTGGCCTCCGTGATGTTCGGATGTCTTTGGAATGGGTAAGGGACAATATTGATCAATTCGGGGGTGATCCCGAGCGCATTACCATCTTTGGACAATCCGCTGGCGCTGGCATCGTCGATTTCTATTCATTTGCTTATGCCGATGATCCCATTGCCTCTGGCTTCATCGAAATGAGTGCGACTCTTTACGGCTTTCCGGCTTTGGCGGCGGCTGAGTCCAACAACCGCTGGTTCCATGTCACGGCCTTAGTGGGCTGCGGCGATGCCACCTCTGACCCAGTTGCTGTGAGCGACTGCATGGTTAACAAGACCGTCGACGAGATCCTTTCTGGCTACGACCCTGCCACCGTCCCAATCAATCCGTCTCCGTATGGACCTGTCATTGACGATGACGTCGTTTTCTCGAGCTACCGGGACCGTCTAGCCGCTAAGGGTGGCTATCTGATTGGCAACAATCATAACGAGGCGGGTCTGTTTAAGCTACTAGAACCCCCTCAGAATGAAAGTTACTGGACCAACTTCAACGACCGTTTGTATACTTGTGCAGACGTCGTGAGAATCGAGCAATCAATCGCGGACGGCAACCCAACCTGGCGATACCGATACTTCGGCGACTTTCCGAACTTGGCTCTAACGACTAACCCCCCAAGTGGCGCCTATCATGGTGCCGAGCTCTCTCCCCTGTTTGACACAGTCAATCAGACGTTGCTGCCTAGCACTCCGGCTGAAGTCGCTGTTGGAAAATACCTTCGGGATGTTTGGACTAGCTTTGCCAAGAACCCGCAGCAGGGCCTAGACACGTTTTGGCCACAGTACAGCGGAAATCGGAGCAGCTTGGCTCGTATCGGTTACGACAATAGGACCATGAGCTTGGCGCCTGGTAATATGTATGATGCTGTCTGCCACTGGACTTATGACGGAGTCAGTTCCCCAACTCCGCAGTGATTGGTCCGCTGGGGTTGTGTATACTCGCCTGGCTTGATAGCCTTAGTTGGAGCATGTGTATTCTATCCTATAGTGCTACAATTATAGTGGTGCAACAAGGCACTTATTTGACTAGAGATCACTTTTCGGAGAGAACATAGACAGAATAGCTTTAACTTCTGTACTGTAAGAACGGAGAATCTACTACTGACCTAGATTGCCATCGGCTACGGGTTGAGGATATTGTAGCTACCTCAAGAAAGGGCTCTCACCTTGCTATGACTAGTCACATCAGCAAGAAACATGGAAAGAAGGTCTCAATCGCATTTGTCCCGGCCCAGCTACCAGCCGTTCTATCGGGCCTACGGACAAGAATCTCTCCTATGAATATACGGTGTCAGCCTCAGCACGGAGTTCACGCCGAGGCCGTGGTCGTAATCGCAAGACAGCATACTGTCAATCTTTTCCGGATATGCTGCTGGATTCCCACGGATGCTATAATGAGTTAAGAACCATGACATATATGCAAGACAAGTCGACTCCTGAGTTGCCTGATCCATGCATGGGCTGCATTTACTACGTATTAGAGTAGCTAGTGGCACAGTCCATCTAAACTGAAGCGCCTAATCAGTAATCTTTTGCGGGGATCTACAATTTGATTACGCGCTAATGGTGGATCCGGAGATTCGGATGGAAACGGTGTAATCCACCGTACCGGGGTCGGAACGCCGTCGTCATCCATAGGTTTTGCACTATTACCGATCAACAGCAATCTCTAACTGTCTGTAATTGAGTCATTGACTTGCTGCAGTATTGTAGGTCTAATCTGCTGGGGATTCATGTTATTCGGCTTTTCTAAAAAAAGTGCTGAACAAATGTAATAGACATGAACGCTCCAATAACCAATCCAGGTATCATAGCCCGTGCGTCATTTGACGTCATACTAGCTCCTGAAGATGCTGAGGAAGGTACTGGCGATGACACTGAGAATGAAGTGATTGCATCAGGCAGAACATGACTGCAGTCGGTAAGCTGGTTGATCTTGTTCACGCCAAGCAAACTTAGGCGCACATATGCCGATGAGTATTGCGCGTTCCACACTGTTTGACCAGATGTAGCATCCTAATAGTTATCACTTGTTTAGTGGTCGATTTTTTTCAAGATATAGAGCATGATACGTACGGTAAATGCATCAAACCTTTGAGAAATGCCGTCAGCTAAGGAAAGTGCTTCGTCACTTGGCAGTCGGAATACGCCCCTAGTGAGTTGCGTGTCATGTCAGCACTCGAATAATGAAGGGGAACAGTCCCACTGAGTCTTACGGAGGAGAAGTTGGAAGTGCCATCTCTTGATAAAAATTCATGTCCCACACCCCTGGGGTTGAATCTAGTCCTTGGCCTGCAAGCGCGGGATTTACATCAAATTGCTGGGCCACGGTATGTGCTCCCAGGAGGGCAGCTAGATTTCGAGGTGAGATTGTCTTGTTTTCAAACAACTCGATAAGGTAGTTTGCATCTGTAACATTGTTGGATGGAATAAGACCCCTGGGGTTTGCTTCCTCATTGTCCTCTCGTCCTACCAGGGTCAGCAATCTTGGGCCCAAAGGGCAGGTCACTGTGGCGACGTTGTGCATGAATTGCACCAAGTCCGCAGCTGAGATCCCATTGCTTGAGTACCTATCCAGTATGCGCAAACCTTCGGATCGAATCTCTTGAAGACCATTGTTCTCTGCTCGGTTAATTTCATCCGAACTCAGTAGCAAGCTACCATCAGCGCCGCCATAATCGCTTGTTGTCGACCATGCACCGGCGTCATGAAATCCTAATCTCACCGCTGCTCGGGCAAGACCATTACAGGTTCCGTTTTCATTCCTGAATCTGTCGACCAGACCTTCCTGAACAAAATCCCAGGCACAACATGGATCACCTTGACATGCGGCACTGCCTAGGCTTCCGGGACGCTCGTAGTTCTATTGCCAATCAGTAACCCGAAAGTCAGAGACTCCCTGGTGCACAAACCTTTCGGGCCTGGAGTTCACATGATGAGCCTTCTGTGATACAATCGCGCACCCGTCTTCCCACTGTAGTGGTAGCACCGTCAGTGAGATCTCCGATAAGTTGACTGGTCCCAGAGCTCGATTGTCGACTTGTAATCTCATTAAACAAATCCTGCATTCCAGGGAATGCGAGGGCGAGGCTGCAAAACCATATAAGATAACGTATCGGCGTCATGGTACCTTTCTTGTACGCGATGTAAAATGGACTGCAGAATCGACGTATGCTGGTGCTTCCGTATAAATACTGCTTAAGCCGCAACAATTTGCCGTTATATCCGCGTTACCGGTCATCATGCGTCAAGGATCCTTGGCTAGATTTGTAGCCAGTAGAACGATTTAGTCGTCCACTAGTGGACCTAGTAGTGCATGCACCGAGATGATCTAGATGTGGATGAAACTTTCCTCGCCACGTACCACAGGACCTTTCCCTTGGGGCCACACAAGTATCCTGGTCATTAAACAAACAGAAAGTATCTACCATGTTGTTCCCACTCAAGATTGGTGACACTAAAATTAAAATTTTGGCACCATTTGCTAGCAGGGTGGCACCCGTCGAATAAAATGGGAGAAAAGGAAGAATCGATATACACTCAGGGGATAGTAGAGAACATGCACGACCCTCCCTTCGCGAATGGGATTTCCACTTCCTGACCACTGGGGATCACTATAGACGGATATCACCTAATGTTGTAGCATTTGCTCTCATTCTCTTTCTGTCCTATCCGGACACGGTTAAATAATGGTATTGATTTTGCCAACCGTACCTGGAATGGTGGTAAGCCCACTCATTTCCCCTTAAATGAGGCACTTGGAGACCCACCATTAGGGCGTCATCGTGTTTCCTTCGGCTCCTGAGCGCCAAGGAATCAAGAACTTCACATTAAAATTGTCAAATTGTCTTTCAATGCTTAATCGCTCTATCTAGGATACTATTTTATGGTCAAGCTGTCCGCAGATAAGTCTGTAGAAAGAAATAGTTTTTTCCAAAAACTGCAGCGAATAACCCCGCGGGGACGGGGGTCGCTTTGGGTGTTATGAATTGAGTAGAAATCAATTTGGAAATAGCGCTAGCTGTATTGGCATCTAGAAGAGGTTTGCGCAAATGGCCGTGGAGTAAACCTGGGCGACAGCGCTCCAAATATTGGGTCACTTTATCATCTGTTTTGCACATCCAGAAGTTCTCGTCTGAATCAGCAACTTCGAGTGGTCTCCCTTTCTAGCCTTTGCAGTACTCATACGCCGTTAACGGGTTTTTGTTTCTACCCGTCTCCCCTCCCACCATTCGGTTCACTTAGGAGGAAGTGCCCAATAATCCAGTCAGACTGTTCCGTTGTTGTTCGATATTATTCTCAATGTGATTATCTACCAGCTTTGGGTGTTATCAATTGTTGCGGGGGGTGGTCGTTCTTAAGCACTAGTCTCAGTGGGCACAGCACTCAGCTGTAGCTGACATTGCCTTGTGAAGGAGATAGTCGTTGAATTTTGTAGACTTGACACCACGTACCGCTGGCAGAGCTTGCTGAAGTATTGCTATTCACCATGGCAGGTCGACTTCAGCTCTGCAGTCCTTATTCACTGCCAACGAGAGGGACCCACAACAAATGAGCAGGCCTTCTGAGTGTTATATCCCCACCTACAATTTACCTGACCTCATCTCACATTTATTTTTATAGCAAGATCATCTCCCCTACAACTTCAGCTATCATCATCATCATCATCATCATCATCATCATCATCATCATCATTCTTGGTCCGATCCGATTCATCATCGTGTCTATTCAGAATGTCCTCTTCCCCAAGCGGTAGTTGTGCCAAGTGCGGGAAACTTACATCTCTGCAGTGTGCTGGCTGCAAAGGCGCCCCGGAATACTTCCCTGGCGATGTAAAAAGCATCTTCTACTGCAGTACAGCCTGCCAGAGGGCCCATCGAACGATCCACAAGCCCGATTGTATGTCCATGACTCGTCGGAAGAAGCTTCTGCGGACTGCTATAGTCGCCAAGGAGGCATTCTTGGTGTACAGAGCTGTCGAATATGATCTTGAACTTTCCAAGATTGAACGACGGGGCGACACTTTGTACCTCTCTGACAACCAGAAGAACCTGGACATTCCTCCCCGGCGCGGCCCCTTTCCTGAACATCTGACTGCCGACCCGGTGTATCGGGAAGCCGCTTTGACATGGTTCCAATGCAACGCCGCCCATGCCCTGTCGAGCCGTCTCATAAACAAGCTTCTCACAGGTATCGTCAACCCCTAGCTAAATCCCCTCCATCTACACGCTGGAATACGTGAATCTGACACCAACAAGACGTCCCCTGCGCGATTGAGATGTTTTTGCTCCGAATCGGAAAGCCGCATTTCATAACGCAGGTCATTCCCGGCCCCGACTCACCTAAAATCCCAAGCCTCGACGCCTCAACCATGCCCCATTCAGTGCTGAAGGTCGACCTCCAACTATCTTCTTTTACTGAGAGCTGGATTGTCGACCTCACAGGTGCTCAGTATGGCTTCCAAGAAGTCCTTGTTCCGTTCCTCAAGTACACGGAAAATAAGGAATGCAGAATAGCCAGCCCACCAGAGTCCTTCAACATCACCCAGACACATGACCTGGACACCTTGATGCAAGAATATCCTTCTGGAGTCCTGCGAGCTATAGCATGTGCGGAGCGTCCGGCACGGCTGCGTTTTGCTGCTTTTGTGGATACCATCGACAAGAAGATCTTGGAGGGGCCACTTGGCGAATTCGAGAATAAATTGAGTGTTTTTCGATTGGCATTGGGGCAGCACATGTCGAACAATACCCAGCGTGTTTGAAGGTTTGCTGGGGAGGAAATCTATTTGCGATGCACCCACACAAAGAATGTCGAGAAAATAGCCCATTAATCCTGTCGGGAAAATGGAAAGAGATTGGCCGTCGGACAGTCTATGCTCTCCCGAAATCTTTCTGATTAAATTGATCCAGCGCCCCCTGTGTGAATACCGGCTGAAAATGAGGATTTGTTTGTACATAGAGTGAACTTGAGCCTTTGTGCCTAAGGTGACAATCGACCAAATTTCACTTGACGTGTATACATGCTGGTGAAACCTGCCTTACTTGACAACTCGATATGTACAATCCAAAGGAGACAAAAAGCGCATTCAAGGCATAAGCAGAAAGAAGATATGTCACAAAGGATAACAGATAGCATAACCCAACATTAAACAAAGCAACAATGAACTCCTTTCCAGTCATGATGCACCGACGTTTAGCAGTATATAAGTTCTCCTAACCAATGGCGCAGGCTTCCTGTTATCTAGTAAACGTTCTGCTTTTCGAAGTCATAGTACTTTCCTTGTCTGGCAGTTTACTTCACTTTCCGCAATGAAGGATATAAGATTTGTCTTACTACTTAGACGTTCCTCTTCAGGTGATTCCTTTTCAGGCAATTCCTCTTCAGGTGATTCCTCTTCAGGCGATTTCTCTTCAGGTAATTCTTCTTTGGGCGATTCCTCTTCGGGCGGTTCCACTTCGGGCGGGTCCACTTCGGGCGGGTCCACTTCGGGCGGGTCCACTTCAGCTTTCGTTTATGCTGCTATGTCCATAGGTGGTAATAATTTCCATCCCTTGGCAGCGGTGCGTTATTGACATTCGTATCATCCATCTAGAGCCCATCAGAATCAAATAATTTCACCTCTAACCGCTTTTTAGCATGTGATAATATTTATATGTATTCAAGACAAACGGAAGCCAGAGCCTTACTTTTAAGCGATGCATGTGTGTCCTCAATATTCCCTTTCTCTACTAACCCAAGAAAATACTGCAAATATTTACACCTTCACGCATGTTTTAGTATTCAGATACTGTAATCATGATCTAGACTCTTCTTTTTACTGCCATGATATCAGCTATATCTACTTCTTTAACACTACACTCTCGCCTACCCGAAGCATCTTTAGCCCCACACTTATATCTCACAAAGTATCTAGTTGTCCTATCCATGATTGGGGATTATGCAACTAATTCATACTACTATATGAAACTTACCCACATATATGGTTGCGCTGACCAGAGTAATCTAGTAAAAAAATTTAGAAGCGATCTTTATGAAAGTTATTAAATATATATTCCTCCTTCAATTTACAGCGTGCTGGAATAATATTTCACAGTTAAACAAGACATGCTGAAAGCTAATATATATGTCTCAGCATATGGCTTTTTGGATCTCAATAAGGCTCTGCTGTGTTTAATTAATATTCCAGGTAACTAACAAGTATAAATCTTCCTCGGTATAAGCCTAGGAATTTATTGAGATTAGTATACATTAAGCATAACCAGACACTTTACCTTTATGATTTTAAAAGACCGCCTTTTGGATATACTCATGACATGATAAGAAGGATATAATAGTTCAAGTATATAGTATCTTTATCTTCGAGTTTATCTCAAGTCTGCAACCATTATCGCAGGCATAATTATATGTTTTTATTAAATCTATTGGGGTCTACATTGTTTTATCTTAAACTTTAAAATAAAAATTAAAAAATATCTATATATAGAGTAGTTATGATTATGATTAAGCTTCTAATGGATAGACCACCTCTTTAAATAGCTCAAATTCGTACTATTATACTCTATTTCTAAGAAAGCATAGATAGGTATAATTTATACTGAAGTGAAACCTCCTAGAGGTATTTCATCTTAATGGTTTCCTTCTATTAATAACTGTTAGAAAAAAAACAGGAGACACTAAATCAAAAAAGGAAAATACTATTTCTAATTAGGTCTAGTATCTTCTGAATACAATTGACTTTAACTAGTTAAAGAAAAGGATTCAATAAAAGTTTCCTAAATAGGAAAGAAAAAGATGATTGGACTTGATTAAAGAATTGATTCTGATTGAATCAGTTGAATCACTTGAATCGCTCAAAAAAGAATAAAATAAATAAATAAAGATTAAGGCTATATTTATGTTCATTTATCTATTAGACTAAATAATCATAAATCAGGCCTAGATTAGGATGCTTTGAAATTAGTAAAATCATGAAATCATTAGAATGTAAGGTAAAATAGGGTAATATAATGTTAAAATAGGATAAAACAAGTTTTCAAGTAAATGTAATCATATTAATTTCATATAAACAGGGAAACACGAG